GGAGTTTGTGCATATTGCTGTTAGTATCGCGCATCTGCCCGCGTTTCCGTCAGTTACTATTGTATTCAGGACGACACGCGCCCAATACAATAAGGAAATGCGATCATTTGATGAACGTCTTGAGAAACTACTTCCGCCGGATTCGTGAAGATTAAATTTCATTCCATCTGCACGCTTCGTATTCATTAATTATATTTCATTTAAGAATTTACACCACCTTATATTAGTATGTCATTTTTCAGCCCTTCCCAGTAACCCCTAAAGCAACATGCTTTTATTGTATATGCTTATGAGAGTATTCTTCGGTTAATCGTAACTTGGTACCACTGATATTCTTAATCGTTATAAAGTTATCCATTTATAACGGAAAGATCGGAATGGACCAGAAACGGTTAGTTATAGGTTTGTGGTAAAAATTTATTTTATACCTACTCTTCCCTTTCGCAAAAAAAGTAAAAAAAACGACGTATGTACCTATTTAATTGGTTTAAGATCTGTATAGAACAGTAAAGAAGACTTACTGGTAGTAAGTAGCTTTCTGTTTAAGCAAGCGGCTGGAATAAATACATAGTGCCATCCGCAATTTTAAAAAAATATGCAATAATAATTTTTAAATAGTGTTAGTGTTATGGTAAATTATGGTAATCTAGAAAATCAGTTTTTCTTGAAGAGAAATTTGACTCTCAGTCCCCAGGTTTTTTTATGGTACAAATTCCACTACTACTTTAACGAGTTGTGCTCGATGCATATTGGATTGCGCTGGTCAAATATTCGAAAATTGTCTTACGGTATACATGGTAGTTTCTGCACCCAAATCTCGGGCACCAACTTGACTCCCCCCCACCCACACGTTTTTTACAAATATAGAATAAGCAATAATGGCAATCAATTGTGCTCACTGCATATTGGATACTTAAAGATACTTGGTAGCTCCTGCACTCAAATCTCGGAAGCCAACTTGACTCTTAACCCCAGCGTTTTTTTACAAAATGATATTCGTAATAATGGCGAGAAAGTTTGGTGTAGTCGATTTTTGGTAAAAAAGGAAGGTTATTCACTGTCTTTTTTTGAGGCCCGAAAAAAAAATTGTCTCAGATCTACCCGGAAAAAAATTTTCTTATAGAATGTGGCCTGTAGAATCCATAATTTCAAACAGTTCCAAGATTGGGCGACTAGTTCAAAAGTTACAGCCCTTTGAATTTTCTTTCGAAATTGGTTTCTAGTCCATAACTTTTGATTGAGAAGTCCGATCGAGAAAGTACGAATTGTTTTGGATTCTACGCACCAAAATTAATAAGAAAAAGTGTTTTCCCGAGAAATTTTGGTGTAGTTGATTTTTGGTAAAAAAGGAAGGTTATACACTGCCTTTTTTTGAGCCCCGAAAAAAAAATTGTCTCAGATCGACCCGGGAAAAAAATTTTCTTATAGAATGTGGCCTGTAGAATCCATAATTTCAAACAGTTCCAAGATTGGGCTACTAGTTCAAAAGTTACAGCCCTTTGAATTTTCTTTCGAATTGGTTTCTAGTCTATAACTTTTGATTGAGAAGTCTGATCGAAAAAGTACGAATTGTTTTGGATTCTACGCACCAAAATTAATAAGAAAAAGTGTTTTCCCGAGAATTTTTGGTGCAGTCGATTTTTGGTAAAAAAGGAAGGTTATACACTGCCTTTTTTTGAGCCCCGAAAAAAAAATTGTCTCAGATCGACCAGGAAAAAAATTTTCTTATAGAATGTGGCCTGTAGAATCCATAATTTCAAACAGTTCCAAGATTGGGCTACTAGTTCAAAAGTTACAGCCCTTTGATTTTTTTTTCGAAATTGGTTTCTAGTCTATAACTTTTGATTGAGAAGTCTAATCGAAAAAGTACGAATTGTTTTGGATTCTACGCACCAAAATTAATAAGAAAAGTGTTTTCCCGAGAAATTTTGGTGTAGTCGATTTTTGGTAAAAAAGGAAGGTTATACACTGCCTTTTTTTGAGGCCCGAAAAAAAAATTGTCTCAGATCGATCCGGAAAAAAATTTATCACGATTTCGTTTTAGCATGCGAAATTGCTAAAGATATTATTTCGTAGGTTTTCCCTTGAACCAGCAGTAATCAATTTTGGTCCACCTATTTCTGTTCTTGCGATACTTTCCATTCGTTAGAAACTTCGATTTTGACAATGCTTGCAGTAATTGAACCTTTCAGATATAGCTTTAAGAATAAATTTAGAAAAATGCCGCTGTATTGATGACACTTAGCCAAGATCAACCAGGAATAGTGAAGTGGATGAACATTGAACAAGCATCGAGCCTTATGGAATAATGATTAGGAATTTTTGTTTCTTTCGATTCATTTGATAAATTTAGGCGGGGCAGCAACAAAATGTTATCAAAAACGAAATGGGCGAAATTTATGGTTCAAAGTGAGCTTGAACTTTGTGTCTTAGTATAAAAGCATGTCCAAGAAAGAAACAACCTATATCGTCCTTTGAAAAGTAGGATAAATTTCCGATCTATATACACATAATAATTGATATCAAAATGCCATTACAAAAACTGTCATTAAACAAATAGTGTTAGAGGGAATTTATATCACTTTCATGCATGAGTGGGAGGGATGAAGGAAATCCAATAATTCAGAGAGCAATATCGACAGAAATAAAATGCGCCGCTTATAATTGTCTGAAATGATTGAGTCTGCGGTCGGCAGTTTTATATCAAAACCTTATGAAGTGACATTTTCGCCATTCGATGTCCTGAACAATGACATCTGCGAATCCGTTCAGAACCAGATAATTTTCTATCGGTTAATTGACTGTGATTAGCCCTGTGCACCCTAGCGCGCTTTTGCGGAGATGTCCTATTAACTGCGCTTGAGCTCTGCCTCTAATATGGAACCCTCCCCGTTCACGCAGGATTGCGAGCATTGTCACTTATTATAGAGATTTTATGGGGTCGCTCATAAATTGATTTTCGTTTATCCGACACCTATTAGGACAGCTTATTTGTTTATAAGCGACTAATTTCCGTTAGTGATATTTCAATTTATTTTTCTAATTTTTATCTATTTCATCGTAGGGTTTGTGCACCAGGTATTTTTTACCACTAAAATTACCATAGAACTACAAGTTCATAAATTGAATCAAATATTCCAATAAGGAAAAATTTCGAAACATAAAAGGCAACATATATCTATCGTCTGTAATGCATCAACGACATATCTTGACTCATATATGTTTTTCAAATATCGTGGCATGGTGCTATCGTAGCGTCACGAGCGTCAAGATTATAAAAAACCATGGTGCCAATCCGGCTTCATAAAAAAAGCGGTAGGTAAACGTGATTGGATGTGTATATGTATAATTATCATTTAGGAATAACAAGCAACGTCTACACCCCAACAAATTCCACTCTCTCCAGAGCTCTCTTCGAGTTATTTCCTGTTATTTATAATGTGTGAGAAAACATGCGCCGGTTAATAGAACTAGAGGGGGTGGCGTTTTCGTTGCTTCAGAGATCAATTTTGTTGTGATAAAGAATTTGCAGTTACTTACTAGTATTCTAACCTAATCACATCATTGTTTATTTAATTACAAGTAGTCATTTGCATTTACTAGTGTGGAGATGCGTTATCCAAAACACAGTTACAAATTTGTGTTTCGTTGAACTGTCTACATTTTGGAAAGACCCACCACATTGCATCGAACAAGTAAAGCTACAAGTAGAGATGAATTTTGGCGTATTGATTTGACGGTACATATTCACTATATCGCAATTTTCAAATCAAATGATTTTCGTATAGGTACCACTTTAGTGCCAGGAAAATGAACAACCAGAAAATCATGTTATTTGTATACTTACAACTGTAGCACTTGGCCACTTTATACTAAATAGGTACTAAGTATCCCTTGTTAGAAGGTGGTGGGTACGAGTGTACGACCATGGATTGTCAGAAGGATTATTATGGGAGTGCTCTCATTGCTTAGAGTGGAAGACCTTGAAGAGTATACCCACGAGTGTTACTTTTAAACAAGGTAGAAAACAGAATTAAAAACTCGTGGACGCGTTTAAAAGTAACGCTTCTTTTTACTCCTAACATTCTTATCATTAACATTTCTGGCCGACAACAAATATCACCAAAAAAGCCGAAAATTACAATTACATAAAAATTAAAACACGCTTATCAAAGTTCTAGTGTGAGATGATCCAAGGGACTTCAGCGCATTTTTCCGTGGCAGATCAGTATTTTATTAGTCAGTTATGAATCCATTTTCGCATTCACCCACAATTCGCATTTTGGTGGATTTAGCTAGAAACCCTCCACAAAATAGTAGGTTTAATTTTTGGAGTCCTTCTCATAGCCCCAGTTTCTATTGGCGACACGGGAAAGGTAGACTGCGATTCGAGCTTTAAGAAACTTTAAATTGCGGGACAAAATTCACAGTGGAAGTCATTTTTGGGCGCCCGAAAACCGCTGCCCTTCGAAGATGCGCGCCTTGCAAACACGACACGACAACAATCGGACCAAAACTGCAGAAGAAGATAGAAAAAAACTACGGTAGTAAACCACGGTCGGGGATGGCGCCCAGATATCGCCGAAAGTTTTTAATTACACTGCCCGGTAGGTGCACGCACACTTCTCGTCTTTCTACAAGCGTTCTTCTACGGACCCTCATTTGCTGCCTGTCAGCCAGCCAACCAAACTGCCAAAGCGAGATGAAAACCTAACTTTTTACAAATAAAATTGCAAAAGGGGCTAAAAATGTATGCGTTTTAAAATTGTATGCGATTTTTGCATGTTGATTAGACGATACATTATTTTTTAAATTATACAAAAAAATTGTAACATGTAAATTAAGCTTTGCTAAAGATCATACTACACTAGATACCCATCGCATATGCAACAGTTCGCCTTCGCGTTAAGGAAACTATAGGGGGTTTTTAATATAAGTGGCGTATATACTTTGTATAATTGCTTAGTATGATATATGTTATATAGTGATTTTTTTTACAGATATGTGAAGCAGATCGGCTCGACGAAGTAACGAGATGACATCTAAAAGTCCGGTGAGTTTTCTGCCGCAGCCGTCGGCGTCGAAAACGTCGTCGTCTCCTTCCGGAACGTTGAACTTCTCGATAGAAAAAATAATGGAGCCCGACAAAAAGACTGTTAAGAAAAGTGATACCGATACGGAACAAGTTTTAAATTTTTCCCTGTCGTCGAATTTGTCAAGCTCGTCTCAGCTGGAATCGGCTTTTAAGAAGTACGTTCCTAGTGTGCTACGATCGCAAGAACTCTTACAACAATATCCATTTATGTATTATCATCCTAGTCAACTGATGTGTGTTGCCGCAACATCCGTATCAGTATACTCCGTCTCTCCAGATGCGGTAGTAGCAAACTCGGTTCCCGTGGGACTTTCTGCAATAAACTCAGTCACTCCTAGTCAAACCTCAGCATTGCCGGAGACTTATTTGAAGTCATGCCATATGAAACGCACAATAGGACAGGGAATCGATTCCAAGGGTGCACTAAGTACATCAACCACAAACCCCGGCAAACAGAAAAGTTTTGAATGTGGAGAGTGCGGAAAAGTTTTCAACGCTCATTATAATCTCACTCGTCATATGCCTGTACATACAGGCGCTCGTCCTTTTGTATGTAAAATATGCGGAAAAGGATTTCGACAAGCTTCAACTTTGTGCCGCCATAAAATAATACATACATCTGAGAAACCGCATAAATGTCACACCTGCGGAAAAGCATTCAATCGCTCCTCAACTTTGAACACTCACGCCCGAATTCACGCGGGTTATAAGCCGTTCGTGTGTGAATATTGTGGTAAAGGATTTCATCAAAAGGGCAACTATAAAAATCACAAACTCACGCACAGTGGAGAAAAAGCGTATAAGTGCTCAGTTTGCTCTAAAGCCTTTCATCAAATATATAATTTAACATTTCACATGCACACTCATAATGATAAAAAACCCTTCACTTGTAGGGTGTGCGGAAAAGGATTTTGCCGAAACTTCGATTTGAAGAAACACATGAGGAAATTACACGAGAATAGAAACGATGGCGAATTTATAAATAGTAATACAAGTAGTTCCGTTTACAACGCTGAGAGGGAGCTTCAGCACTTCATCAGCCCATTTTTATTACCAACACCACCATCTAGGCCACCTGTACCTTTATATTCGACAAAATTATTATGACCCAACAAAAACTGTTATCATCTTGACCGGTAAATTTTTGTGAACGAACATTAAAACCATGTGTGTATAAATCTTGACTGTGAGTGGCCTGGATTACTTTTTAATGTGCAATATGGAAAAATAGCATAAAAAAGTCAGCATATACCTATTTAACTATCGCTATTGCTTAGACTGTAAACAGTCAAAAGTTTAGGGATCCTTATTACAGCTAATAAATGTTATTTAATAGTATCCACGTTTGTTTTATTATTCTATTTTTTACTATTCTATTCTACCAGATGAAGTAATACATGATTTGATAAGATAATCACTAACTTGGGCCCAAATTCTTCCAGGACTAAAAAAATCATTTATTACCATACCATTTTAAATATGGTATTGCTTTCCCAATTTGCTATATCTTTGGCATTGTGTTATCCTTTCCTTGGAAGTACCAACCTATCACGAATATTTATGAAAACGTTCTAAATAGAACCCCACTTTTAATAACCTAAATTACAGATTAACAGATCCACCATAGTAACGTGTTCGTTTTGTAGTTGAACATTTCTATACTTCACGAGTTGCTACCTTAGGTCATATCTTTCTATATTTTCAACATGTTTCCAACGCACCTCATTTATTGCTTTTTCATCTAGGTACCTATTTTAAAATTGTAATATCAAGCGAAACGTCAGCAGGTTAGGTTTTTCGAACTGCAAACCTAGACTATAGTTCACAACCTTCGGGAGCAAATAGAAGTGATAGTTCTATAAGACCTAGTTGAGGTGCACTAGGGCTCTGAACATACATTAGGGCTTAAGATCTAATTTGATTTATTATTACATTTAAGGGATCGTGAAAAAAGTCGATATCATTCACTGAGGAGAACTTATTTAAAGTGATAGGTGGGGAAGTTGTGTTGCTAAATGCAAAAATTTTACCTTAGCTTAACAAATGGTAGGTACCTTAAGCTCTAACCAATCATAGGTTTCGACTTTTAAAGTGTTCCGTATGAGACATGAAGTAGTTGCTCTTCATCATTCAATAAGGTATCCAGCACCTAAAAACATTAGGTATTTGCTGGGCACAACCTATAATTCATTACGCATTCATGCAAGTTTTTGGGATATTTTACCAAGAAAATTGGTACATAATTTGGCATGGGTCGAAAATAATCTGTGGTCCTGAAAAATGCGTAAAATTCTGTCGTTTGGGACCCATAATCTTTGAGGATTTCTGCCAGCAAAATTTGTGCATAGGTAAAGATTTTGAGTGCATTTGGTGCCAAAAAAACATTCACATTCAAAACAAAACTCAAATTAAAAGTCAATTGATCAGGGAATTCAGGCGCCATGTCGCACCTGCGATCAAAGGCATAAATCCGTTGCAAATTAAAAGTAAGCAAAGAGATGGATATCAATCGTAGAGCAAAACGAAAAATATCCCCTAAGGACTGCAAATGAGTTGATGAATTCCGTCAGTAGGGAGATTAGCGCAGCATTTTTTATTATTACCTATTATGGGCAACATGGGATTTGGAAATGCCCACATACAACGCCTAAATTGCATTTTCAACAGAAATTACATCACTACTTGCAGCCTCGAGGGTTGTTTCCATTGAACTATCCTCGTAAATAAAAACTGTGAAAGCGGCTGGTGATAAAGATAAGGACAACACTCACTCCAACTGAATACCGCAGGATCCTCGAGATCTTCACGTATCCATCACACACCTTAAAGGGTTGATTCTGTCCCACCAGATCGGCATAGCTTATAAAAGGAATTTTTTTAATCAACATTAGTTTTACTTTTATTCGAGGTTCCTATATACAAAATTGCATATTAAGAATTAGAAAACATGGAATTGCGCATACGCAAAATAAATTTTTTGAAACGGTATTAGTTTTATATTAAGTAAATACAAAAGTTGGGTTGCGCATGGGCAATTTTTTTTCATCTGCATAGTTGCATGAGGTTTAGGGAATATTTACTAGCACAGAAACCGCAACATTCATATGTTCTTTGTAACAAGAATTATAAAAGAAACCCTTTTTTGGAGGTTTGGACAGTTTTTGGGCTATAACTTTTTGGCCCGATAGTCTACGTGCCTGAAAAACAATAGCCTGTACCAATTTTCAAATCGATCGGACGTTAAAGGTTATCATACATTCGGACAGACAGCAGTACAAAATTATAAACGCTCTCGAGTACCTATAGTAAGTTAATAATGTGGCATTATCCTAAACTTAAGGGTGTATTATTCATAAAACGAGCAAAAGGTTTATGATCATTCAAAAATAAATACCTAACTTACAGCAAATCTGATTTGGCCCTTCACTTAAGTAGAGCAGCACAGAAAAACCAATTTTTCTCATAAAAATTAATCTAATATTTCGCCACTTGTAATTGTCTCCCTCCCTCCCCTTTTCATTTACTCTAAATTTAATTTTAATGAAACAATATTAAAAATTTTTGTCGTTTCTTTTGTGGTTCCAGCTTCGGTTGTTAATTAATTATTAAAGCTAGGGAAAGCCATGTGATAGCCTGATAGGTAAGGTAATGGAAAGATTGCGCAATTACCAAGTTCTGCTGCATTAATAATTAAACGCCAAAGCAAGCTCAAGATTCGTATATTTGTCAGTTAGCCATTTGTGTCACGTTGACAATGAAAAGGAAGCTGCCTTGCTTGTTACCTGCAAATGTTATGCCATTCTTATCGGTGTGCAGCATACATAATAATGTCCTGCAGATTACTCAATTCCCAATCGAAGTTTCCATCCGTATATCCTGCAATGAAAAAGGATCACGACAATATCAGGATTACTAGTGAATCAGAACACATGGTCTGTACTACATGTGGTATTTGAGTATAGTGGCCGGATTACCAATGTTTTTCCCCTCGACTGGACAGTCACAACAGCTACTCTCTTAATATTCTTAAGCAGATTACATTCTTGGTCCGATCGTCGTTTACCTTTCAAATGCCGCTTACACTTCAACATTTCTAATGGCCTTTATCTTTTCGAATATTTTCTACGATCATTTTAAACGGTTTATCCTCCCACGTTTTGTTCAGTAAAAGTTGTATAACCACTACGTTCTGAACACTTGCTTAAATGATTGTGACAGCTTCTTTCTAAGCGGTTAACACTACTCTGTGGATTAGACTTTCTTTACCTCTATGTACCTACTATAATCATGGATTTCTGTATAGTACCTACTTATATTAGATAATTAGATCATACACTATTTAAGTTATTAGAACAATAGAAACTTCTTTCATTGTCATTTGCAGGTAATCGAGATACCTAGCTTCCATGCTTGACAGATTGAATCGAATTTTTACTGACAGATTTCAATTATGAAAGCTAGGAGGAATTAGCTAACAGATATCCACTAACACGTTTCAAGTTGTCCTTATATTCCGATTCATTTTCAATAAATGTGCTCGTCGAAATTGACTGACAGAGAAAATTTGAAATCGCTGGTGTTTACGTTCTCTAGTTAGACAAGGGGAGGTCGGGTGGATAAACCGCGCGTTCATAAGGGGTATACTCTTCCCAATTGAGCGATTCCCCTAAGAAAAAACCGCTAAAATTGATTGTAAGCAATCACCTCTATACCTTCTTTGTTTTCGAGATTATGGGACTGCGGGCGGGTGGAAATCAACCGTTTTGCTAAAAATATTAGAACCTTTTACTTTACAATCAAAAAGGTGCATAGGCATAGGAGGTAGATTAGTATTTTGCCCTGTTGCGGTAGCGCTTCCTAACGAAATTACTCAATAACTGATCAAGAGTCTCAATCTTTAAAACCCTAAACAAATTATAGCCCCGGAGGGCCGAAACTACACAATTATGCCACTGATATAAGGTACTAAATGGTAAAGCATGGAAAGGCTGCATTGGTCGCTTAAAACAGATAAACCATTCATCTCTTCATCCCGTTTAAACAAGTCATTTTCTTATTTCACTGTATATGAAAATAATTATACCCGAATCCGCCTTTACGGTGATGGGGTTAATCCTAAACAAGTCAATTTCATTTACCACCAGCAATAAAGTGCCATATTTTAATACTAAACACGTAACATGCCAGATATGGTTTCTCATCAACTGCATTAGCAATTAATATTTTCTGTGGATCTCAGAATTATTGGTTATTAATTGCCTTCAAATTAAACGTAATTTTTTATACGTCGGCGTCGTTGATAAAACATAATCCACGTACGTTTATAACGTGCGATTAGGGGTTGAAAGTTTAATTTAGTATAATAGTGAACGAACCAGAACGATTTGTAAGAACACAATTAATGAGAATGTTGACAGCACATGCCAGAAACGCCCCAACAGATAGATAATCCTTATTGGGGAGATGTTACGTCTGTTCATGATTGCTTATGAATGCCAAAGGTGTCAAAACTAGTGGGGGCGATAGGCAATTAATAAGTTCCCTAGCAACCCTTTGTCAAGATTTCCTTTTCTCTTTGGGAGCTTTTCAAATACAAATGAGATCTAATATTTGGGATTGCCGATCGTTTCACCAGAAACAATGTTGATTTGCTTAAAATTTAAGTTTAAAAGGAATTTAGGTTAAGGATATGCGCGCACTAACCAACCGATTACTTCATATGAAAGATTCGTATCACAGTTAATCGGAGCTTAATAAAGATAAGAATCTGCCAACTTGGATTTAATAAATGAAGAGGTTTTACGTTACGTAGCGATACAATGGTGTTAGGCACTGATATTAGATTAATTGAAGTACTTTTCAACGAGGTTCGGGATACTCAAGGGGTTGTATATCATATTAGCAAGGAAATTCGAAATTGCGAGAATCGAAAATTAAGATGTCATCGACACAAAGGCAATATGTTATAATTTCCCTGGTAAATCGACAAATGACCTGCTGTAAATCCCGTATCCAAATACGGATGTTCAGATCAGCGAAGATCTAAACGATTATAAGAGGGATGAATACTTTACTAGAAGTCTATTAAGAGAATTTGCCTCTAGGTTATTTTATAAAGTAAACACACAGACCTGAATGGGTAAAATATTTGTTCTTTTTCGTACCACTTCTATTGAACCATTATATTCAGAACATGTCTACCGATGCATGTGTACATTTTAAAAGAAGCGCTAATCATCCCTTATGTTCTACAGCAAATATTGGGAAACCATTATTATAATAATAGCATTCTTTTATCAATCTTTTATATTTATTTTCTTAAGGTTACCACAACGATATTGTCGGATTTAGATAGTAGAAGACCCTTCCTGTTATTTTATTATTGAAAATTTTGTTTGATGTTTTATACTCAATTTGGTACACTCTTGTCCTTATGGATAAACTATGTCGACGGCGGCTTACGCCTACTTTACGTTTTGTTGTTTTGTAATGCATTATGAGCCAATATTACGTACACTAATTTAGTACCTATCTACAGGAATCTCCAAAACGAAACGACTCAATTAATTATTAAAAATGTGTATACTTTGCTATAACTTCCTTTTATGTGACATTGTAAGCAATTGATTCCATCAATTGATCGCCTAGAATATATCGCCAAATGGATTTTGGGGAAGCGATGCCAAAATCTATTTAAAATATCGCAAAAAAATCGCAACACTTGCGTTCGTGTACGATAAATTCGCTATCGGAATACTTAATCGTTCCTAGAGTCGTTCCCAGTTAACTAGTTTCCACAAGATTCGCCTCCAAAAGATTCGTCCTGCGGAGGATTCGCTCCAACAATATACCGTTTCGCATCAAGGAACCATCTCGAAGAATTAACATTCAGGAAACATCACGGATCAAACTTCAAACAAATATCCCTTGAAATAACTCTCAATTCCCCCTATTTCTGTAATAACTCGCCTCCAAAAAATATCGCCCCAAAAAAACCATCCTTACAAGTAAATATACCCCTGGAATATTGATCCTATAAAGAATCGTTTTATTTTTGGTAACAAAGTCGTAAAAAAATGATGAACAATGCTTGTCAATTTTACCTTGGTTGTTTTACATGTCCAGTGCCGTTTTTAGGCATGGGCCACCTGGGCCCGGGCCCCCAAAAGTTTGTGTGAATGAAAAAATGTTAGTGCAAAATCTGCCGCCTTAAAGTAAATGCACATTTAAACAAAATTAATGCATAGAGTAAGGGATACCGGAAATTATAAAATCCTGCAGATCGTGTAGGTATATTAAGGTTACCATTTAGAAAGTTAAAAAGTTCTAATAAGTGATAAAAAGCCTAAAGTGGGTATTACACTGAGGTTTTGCCCATGGGTAAGACATTGACTTTACAGTTCAATAAAATAAAAGTCCGGTCATTTTCGTCACAAAATGCAAACATTGTGCCGTGTGCACGTAATTTCAATTTCAAAGCTCAAGCTAATTAAAAATCAACTGAGGAACAGTATGAGTCAGATGAGATTAACACATTTATCCCTGATGAGTATTAAAAATGATATTCTCCAAGAAATTGATTTTAACAATGTCATCGAAAACTTTGCGTTACTAAAGGTCCGAAAAAACCTGTCTAACCTGCATAACTTGTAAAATAAATAAATCTGTAAAATATCTGTTTTTGTTTAAAAATATTTTTATTGCGGGTAAGGGGGGCCTCCACGAACGAATGGCCCAGGGTCCCGAAAAACTTAAAAACGGCACTGTACATGTGTAAAACCAAAAAGGGAGATAATGGTTGTTACTGCTAAGGGTCGTCTAATTTTAACAAAAGATAATGGATGAAGAATTTAAGTACGTACGATTTTTGGTCATAGATCCTTCATTCACTAAGATTGTAAAGTAAATCCTTTACCCACTGCGGGATATCTGGAGATTTTCGCAGATATTTATTTTACCACTGTTGCCCTCATCAGGATTTCGACCAATTACAGGGTGACCCGCATAAATATATGCCAAGATGTCTGTGGATATCAAAGGATGTCCGCGCTTATCCATTTCCTATTCGACAAAATTTGATAAAACGAGATTTAATGAAATTTTGACCATACCAAAAACTAATTTTGGGTTCGTTATGTTCTTGTTGCTAGGAAATTTGTGGTCCTGGGAACACTGCATTGTTTTTTTTGCATTACAGCATTCTTTAGCTGTGTAAATTCAATGTTCTCTAATAAAAGTCGGAGTCTTCACAATTTCTGTCTTGCCTTTTGTGAAAGTGTCTTAGTGCATAAAACGAGGGTGAGCGTTGCATAATCAAAATAGAAAAATGTTATTTCAAAATGTATGTATCGTTTCTCATTTAAATGTGAACGTAAAAACCATTACCTAACCAAAGCGATATATTTCGTTGAACAACTTGCGCAGTTTATTATTTTCATTAGGGGTAGAACACCTGCAAAGGTCTCAGAATGTTACACAGTCCAACACTCTCGCACAATCACCTATGTGCTAATGCGAGCGTCAAAATCGCTTTTAACGTTGCTACTATTTATGGTTCGATGAATCTTCCTTTTCTGCGAGCCCTCAAAAATGGAAGGATTTAAATTATCTTAAAGTTGATGTAGCTAATATATCTATGGTTCAGTTAGCTTAATACAGCTTTTATTCGTTTATTTGTTCATATCACGCATGGAATGTACTCGGAATATTTTTCAAATAATCCGTTTTATATACATAGATTTTAATAAAATGTTTGATAATGATGGAGTGTTTCATTTAGAGCTAATGGTCACATATAAAATTATATTTCGTATCTCGCCAAATAAAAGAGATATTGAGGTGATCATCTTATCTCGAACGCTCTGTATAGAGTGACAAATTCTCCTCTGGTTTTGCGCTTTATAAAAATGTCGTGATCCTTATTTTCCTGCGTTTCTGATTTTCTTTCTCGCTCGCCAGTTCAGTGTAAAATGTGAATAATACCCCAAAATTGTTGATTGTAAGCGTACTGACTGTGATCTGACCGCATACTGCGTGAATCGGCCTTTATTACCATTTTGACTGTATTTTATGTAAATTACCTGTCATGCTCGTGATAATGAAATTATAGACGAAAGAGGTTATAGTGATTAGCTATGGAATCAAAATCCTTATTCAATGGTTCAATAAAAAAATAATACGGATAAACTTTTCAAAGAATGAGATAGGTGTAAATCGATTTGCTATTTGCATTCAAAATAAATGGTGCGACCTCTAACACGCAGTCATGTAATGATTTTAAATTATGGGGTGCCACACAGAAATCTGTAAAATATACTGCAGCAAATATTGATTTTATGCCCATACCTAAATGTCGGACTGTCGGAGTGGTTCACCAATTTTCACTAAGTTTTCAAATTAGACATATTTCAAAATAAAAGAACCATAACATTTTTCTGTAGTTACGTATAGATTAATATTGAAACGAAATCATGGGGAAATTATTAAATTAATCAATTTTAATGTAACGTAAATTCAAGTTAAACAATTTTCTTCCTGCAGGCTCCCATTTCAATCTTAATCGGATTATTCTTCTCCCATTTAACTTTACACCTCAAGCTTTTTAAGTTATGTTAAAGTATGTTGCACCTCCAGATTATTAACCAATTTGAAATTAAACCCTTAAATTTACTGCAAAAAAGTAGAAGAAAATTTAGATTACAAACACAATATTTTAGAAAACGAAGATAAACGGTATAGATTAGTAAATTTCAATGAAAGTTTGACTCCTGCTAGAAGTGAAACTAAACAAATTACTGAAGAAATATAAGTATTTAGGGAACTGTTTCACTCCATCAGGCAATAAACAATTCGTGCTTTTTAGTATAATAATTGTTAACGAGCTCCTAAAAGCGAGTTTATGATTTTGGACTTTCTTTTCGTCCGCCCGTTTGTCCGTCTGTGTACATGATAACTCGCGATCGGTTTCGAATTTTCCAATTCTGTTTTCAGTATTACATATACGTATTTCTATTTCTCACCCAAGCAAGAACTGATTAAATTTTCAGGGCCCAGGAGCTCGTTTGCTATATTTGATTATTTATTATTAACGATAAAACATTGTATGCATGTGTGCCATTTTATGTATGGCAAACATAGGTCGGTGTGTAAGTGTAAATTTTGCCATACATTGTTTTGATTATATGAAAAAGTATAATAGCACGTGAGAGATGATGCCTATTCAAATTATTTCTTAGGCGCAATGCCGAGTTTTAAGAGCTGTCCCTATTATGGAGCTTATACAATCGTGAATGAAATTTATCATAAATCATTGGTTCATAAGATTTTTATTATTATTATTACTATAACCACACCTTCTCCTCATAGTTTATATTTTAGAGTTATATTGTACCTAGTTTGTAGTGATAAATTTAATATAATTTTTTAACAATGTTATAGGAGATAGGAGAATGAGGTATAGGAATTTTTACGATTTTACTCATTTCGCTAAGTGGGAAAAAGTGTGTTTGGCGGAATTTTTTTTAAATTGTTCTCGCACAATCTTTCCATTGTCGAAGAAATGGAAGCCTTCCAGGGCATCTCATTTATTAGCATAATTATTACTATAAAACTATTAAAGAATTTTTGTGTGTGTTTAGATGTATCTCATATAAGCACTATCATTGATTATTTTTATTGATAAACATATTGTATTTATTAGCTGTTACGCCACTGGAGGTACTGTATATTGCTACGGTAACGGGTTGTGTCACCACATGGGTCAACTAGCGCCGTACGGGTTTGTGGTTTATTATTAATCAACATCGTTTGCTTATTTTTAACTTTCAAAAATGTACAAACGAAAATCATTGCCAACAACAAATGCATCTATAAAAAGACCAAAAACGGAAACCAAGAAGAAGTACTCCTTGGATTCCGACGAAGAAGATAATATCGAAGAGAGTGTTTTAGAGGACAATGACATTGAAGGTTAATTTTTATCAAAATAAAAGGAAATCCAAAGTTTTTGCTTCAGGTGAAGAAGAAGGCGAATCCGGCAATATCGGAGATGAAAAATTTACAGCGTTTAACATGCAGGAAGAACTGGAAGAGGGCCACTTTGACAAAGATGGGCATTTCATATGGAAGAACGATAAAGAAGTCAGAGACAACTGGTTGGATAATATTGATTGGCAGAAAATTAAGTCACTTCCAAAGGGTAGCGTTGAGAAGGGCCTTGGGGATGAGAGTGACGATTCCGACTTTGAACCATTTCAAGAAGTTGAAATATACAAAGAAATTATTCAATATATGAAACCAAAGGAAACCATAAATAAAGCTCTTATGCGTTGGGGAGGTAACTGCGATTGTAATTGTATTTCATAATGCATTTAACGAGAATTTTAGCTAAAAATAAAAATCTCTCCAGCTTGGAAAGGCTTAAACGTAAAAAGACAGGAACGTTAGATTCAAATACTGAGGTTACCAAGTTGACAGAGTTAGCCGATAAAATTTTGAGTGAAGCTGGTAATATGGATATTTACCAAGAAACATACGAAGTTATCAAAAGCAAGGTATTGATCTATTAATTTATTATAAAAAGTACCAATTAATTTGCCATTATAGATAGACAGTTTCGAAAGCAAGAAATTAAAAACTTCTGCAAAGGAGGCAAACTTAGATATGTATGCAGATGATTTCGATGAAAAAGAAACCAAGAAGCTGGGTGCCACAACGACAACAGCTGAAACTCACGTGAAAGAACCTGTTTCAAGTGAGGTGTTGATGTGGGAGTATAAGTGGAATTTAAATGATGAGAAGATCGAGGGTCCTTTTGACACTCACCAAATGTTAAAATGGGTTAAAGAAGGCTACTTTAAAAAAGGGGCTTTCGTTCGAAAGCGTGGCGAGGATGTAAATTTTTATTCTACGAATCGGATTGACTTTGATCTTTATTTATGAAACCTGTACATTGTTGTAAATTCCATTCCTTTATATTGTAATAGATGCTTGCATTTATTTGATCACACTTTTACATAGTAAATATTTACTACTTTTACTGTTACCTGTTTTTTTTAGTTTACCTAAATATTTATAGTATTGCGCTCTCTGGTGTCCTGTTGGCTGATATATCACTGCACATAGCAGTAATGAGGGTTCATTTTGATAATCATGATTCATGTCACTAATGCTAGAAGAACTTATTAGCAAGGTATATTAAAAATTGATTGCACTTACCTGGTCCAAATTGCACCCTGTTCTGCTAGCTTCAGAGCAACTTCAATCACTGCACTGAAGGTGGGCAATACACCAGGCTTCGTTTTGCTAGAAATCAAATTTCCGCAGACCAATATTGAGGAAGGCATGTAATAAAATTACGAATTTAACGTCCCTATTAATTTCTTGCTCCTTAATCCTGCTAATATAAGATTCAGAACGATGTAGAGTACTGCACTGAAGATGAGCTGGTTTTGAAACATTGTTCATGTCACTCATGGCAGAAGAATTTCTGCATGACAAATACTAGCAAGGTTTAATGTTCCCATTAAGAATTTATTACACATTCGATAGTGACAAAAATTATCAAGTCAGTGATACTAAACACTTAGTATTTCATTTGGGAATCAACCTTGCATTTTTGCCTCGAATTTTGCAATGTATTTCTTATGGCAATAATTCATTTATTCTACAAATTTATAGGTACTTCTCCATTAAATTATGAAAAAAATACCTACAAAGTACAAACACAATAATTATTCGAGGACACATTTGATATATTTCTAATGCTCGTAGTGCAATTTTAGAAATGGCATTCCTCTGTCTGATCTTTTGCCTCATTGTGTTGTTTAATATATTTCTTCTCTTGTTTACTGTATTTTTATATTGTATTTATCTTCAATAACTCAATATAAGACATTCATTGATTGTGCACCATTTTCGACCGGGTTATTAAATTTACTATTCAGTATTTAATAATTCCCATTCTTTATTGTTATACCAAAGAGTACCCATTTGGTTATAAATATACATTTCCAGTGTTTCTAGATATTGGAAGCGTTTTTTGGCGAAAAAAATATTTTTTAGGTTTTTTAACTTTGACATTTTTTTCTCCGTTTTTTGTACCTTAAATTATTGTAAGCTGTACCATTGAATTCAGATTCTTTATTCAATGGTTGTACACAGAAAACAAAAGACTTTCGAATAATTTAATAAAAATATTGCGTTGCTATTTGAAAAAAAAATTCGGTGCCGTTACGGCGCTCCAAATGTTTCTTTAAAAAATCCGGCCCATTTTTTCCGTTTCTGTATGCCTGATATACATATCCAAAATCCGTAGAGTCGTTATTTCGGAAGATTGTCAATGTATACGTAGGGACCTATTGTACCTACACACATACAGAGACGGAAAAATGACAATATTGTAGCTCAAGCTAGGAAGCTACATATAAAGTGGCAAAAATAACAAAATACTTTATTTCACCTCTCAAAATTCGCGAAATTCGTTCACATGTATACAGGAAAAATTACTCTTACAAAACATAACATACAAAAATATACAAATTAAATAATCCCATTAGTTTATATTTAAGTACAGATTTTTATTTTGTATAACTTGGCCTTTTTATGCTTAGTAATGAATTCAGATGTGCCAAGTGGTGCAAAAATCCTGCATTAGGAAACACCCTTCTTCTGCGAAAGACATGCTGTAACGCTTGCGCGGCATTCATATTGTGATAAATCATGAAATATGCTATAACAAGTGTAGCAGACCTGGATATTCCAACTACACAGTGAACCAAGACTTTTCCTCCACTTTTTACGGCATTGTCTATGAACATCGCAGCTTCTTTAAAATAAACAGATATATTCCAAGAAGGTCTATCGTGCCCTGGTATTCCCAAGTACTTGATTTTTAGAGGCGTATAGTATCGTTGGCAGGTGTTTACTTGATATTCGTCAATACCCTCTGCGGCATTTACTATATGTGTAAACCCATTTTGTATCAAAAATGTCTTATCCTTTGCAGCATATCTGAAATACAATTATTAAAGTAGATATATGGGAACTGGTGGAAATCAAGACTTGAGCAATTGCATGTAGGTACTTATATCTATAAGTGTATGTAAACACATACTCTATATAGCTAGGTAGATAATACCATAAATTATTCTATTTTTTAGGAATTTTAAAATTTTGAAATGTACGAACTTGATCCAATATGCCATTTTGAACAATTCCCATTTTTTGTACCTGATTGCACTTATAATAATATACTAAAATAAGCAGGGTTCACTTACTTATCTCCTAGAAATAATCCATCGCTAATTTGGTTAACAGAATGGATATGGGATAAACTCCTTGTTGTGTCACGAACTGTAATTGATAGACTATCCAAAAGATCATTTAGCATGGAACCTGTCAAACCATCAGTAGATTTCGGCCGTAAAGTACCCTAAAATACAAACGTAAAAGTCAAAGATGTTTATTAATAATTTGATTTTGTACACTATATACGGATTCCCTCCACATTTTGTTGGTAGTTAATTGAGAATGGTATGTCATTTAAACGTACAGCACGTAACACATACCTACTGCATAGAATAGACCATTACTAATCGTTTGATGTAAGCGCGGATGTAACTCCTCATTTATATTTAGCATTAAAGAGAACTGCGTATATATAATTCTAAAAATAAGAGACAAATAAGTTGCCAAAATGAAACAGATCTTATAAAGGGTGGATTTAGTGCTATAGACCGTCCAGAAGAAACTATACATACACATCAAGCAGCTATTAAAAAACCAGTGATTGGTTAAACTAGCCAAGCCCATTTCATTAAACACTTGAACGATGACGATGTCGTTGTGGGCAAGTGTAATACTGTGACGAAAATCCAAACAACAAATATTAAAATGCATTTTTATTAAATATGTTTTATAGATAAAGTGTACTTGCCTCAAGTTAGCTCACTCACCTTAGCGATGCATCCCGCTGAAGTTTTTGAAAATATTCGTTTAAAGCTGCACATTTTGTACAATATTTTGACCTTCGAAGGATTGCACCCTGCACAAGTTTAAAAGTAACTATTTGCATCACAAAAGTGAACGAACGGTACAGAAATCGTTTTAGCTAAGTATAAGGATAATGTTCGTAACATTGGGCTGTGTAAATAAATATTTTATAATATAGTGTATAGGTTGTGAGGTGAGTTTTCTCTATTTATGTGCCTCTAGCATTGTAAAACATAGCAGTAACTGCTACTATAACAAAATCGCCCTCCAAATAAAAAATAAACTACACAAAACTATGAAAATTAAGAACCAGAAATAAACCCCTTATTTATGAATAGGTACCAACAAAATGAAGGTCGCATTTTACGCTATTGCGTAGAAATTGGCGCAATTCTTGCACAAGAAACTGTGGCAAACAAATTCCTGTAAAAGAGACTATTTGCTGTCTGACACCATACATATATTTCTTGTATCAGAAAAATATTAGAAAAGATACAAGAAAATGCATAGTATCATACAGCCTTACGTCCGCAATATGTTATGGAAAGATGGTGCTACAGACATAATAGCAATCACCTTTTGGGAATCGTAACCATGGTTTCCTATATTAGATTTCACCTTTATGCCATTTTATTCTGACAGGCCTCATCCTTTCCTTCATATCAGGAACTCTTTGTTAATCGCACAAGAAACAAAAAAGTAAGAAACATTTTTCCTCAAAGGCAAACATTTTTTAGCTTTCAATGGACCTGCAAAAATGTTTACAAAGAGACAGGTCTGTGAAAGCTTACCGAAATCTATACATCTTTGTTCAAATAAAATTCATATTAAAATTACAAAATATAATTGAGTAATCGTGTGCAACATTACAAAAACCACTACAATACAAAAACTTCACACATTCATCACATATTATTACGCTACGTATTAGTAATAGAGGTAGTACGTTTAAATACTTTAAAAATATATTTCTAAATAAGGAGTATGATGATTAACTAACAATACAGAAAACGCCAAAGTTGTGTTGTCAAAAAGCTGTACACCTTTAAATTAAAAGTGTTTTTAGAAATATAATTTTTTTTAAAAGTGAATATTAAAATTTAGGCGTACATAATTTATACAGAGCCCTGTTACGATAATAACAAAATAATTTTCGCATATTTTATTACAAGTTTGGCAGACTAGTTTTACAAAATATGTAAAGTATGCCAACTATATACAATGTGCACAGTCTATTTTGTTATTGTCTAAATTATAATACAATTGAATATACAGGACGGATCCATACTAAATAAATACACTTTTCTCTGTACAATTGAGGAAGGTTAAGTACTTACATAATTATGGCAAGATTGTAATATAACATAGGTACAAAATTAGTGAAAAGAAATTAGTAAATTATAAATAAATTCGTCTGTATAGGTAACATATTGGTATAACAAATATCCTAAGAATCAAATTAAACCGTTTCACGATCAATTAATTATCCTTGAAGTGCTGTCTTACAGCAAATTGAAATTTCACTAAGCCTAAATGCCTCATTTAAAGTTAGGTTGGTTCGAGTTATCAAACACCAGAGTAAATTCCAAACTACAACCCTTAATCAGGGCAAAGTATACAAAACATTTAAACTTATCTCAATTTTAGATTTGGCAACATATTCGGAAGGGTTCTACTAGTAAACCACATCATATTATGTGAAACATCCATAAATTAATCATCAAACTTTTTATAATATGAAATTAATCAAAGTTAAATTGAACTGGCGTATAATAGTATCATTGGGTATATAAGAAGTTTCAGATTTATCTAACCTCGAGTTCTAAATGTTGTCCTTACACAATAAATAATCTAAAAAACTTTGAAATAACCCGACATGTTCACTAAACATTTCAATATGTTTATAATTTTTCATTTAATATAAATATTATGATCTGTAGCTTTATACAATTTCAAATGAGAAAAAATATGATCAAACTTGGCGCTTGTGCCTATGTAGTTTGCGAAGATAAATGAAAAAAAAAATTAAAGTACCGCTGCAATTTTGAACAGGCGGAAGAGGACGGGATGAGCAAATTAAATTTTGGATTCGTAACACATTTTCAAATATTGTACAATTGATAATAAAAATAAAGTCAAAAAAGAGGACCCAACTCGGGGCATATTCAGAATGAAAATTTTACTGAGAACGTGATTTGTAGTAAAATTGTAGGTTTACTACAAATACAACTCAAAATATGGAAACTAACAATTAAAGGAGTCGTCTACAAATCAATTAAAAAGCTAGTTCACATAAATTAAAGATTATGGAACATTGCATAAATACTACCGCGCTTTTATAATGTTTCAACTCGAAAAATGTGGCTACATTACCATGTATATACCGACGTGATCTGCACCACATAAAAATTGATTAGGAAAATAAATCTGTATACATATATATATTTATAAAAATAGTTTCAATATCGAGGCACTTCTGTTTTGTAATTAAACGTGGCCAAATAATATTTGGTTTAATTGCTATGAGATAAGTAACAAATATAAATTGATTAACTGCTATACCACTGAGGATTCCTGATAGTGATGATAGTGGTGGTGGATGTGTTCGTGAACGTGGCGGTACTCGTGATATTCTGAGCAGTTGTTGTGATTCTTCATCGTCCCACAAGAGTGCTGTTTGGCGCCTGTTTCTTCGCAATTACCCATTTTAGTCTTATCCTCTCCAATATTAGTGTAAAGGTTATTTGAAAACTCTTGTTCCAACCATCGAACAACCTGTGCCATCGCCCTGGCTTGGTCTTCTTGCCGATTTCGATGTCGCAAATGATGCGGAGATGAAGTATGACCCACTACAACACGGGGCAATTTTCTTACGCTCTGTTTTGGTGTAGTTTCAATGTCACTTTGTTTTTTCATTTGTTTTTTAATAGGTTTATTTACATGTTTTGTACTATTCGTTTTACCTTCTAATAGCCGACAGTGAAATGGAGCATTAGAAGAAACATCACAGTTTTTCATATTATGTTTTTTATAACAGTCGTACAGTTTTTTATTTGAAACGCACATCACTGCATCCACTAATTTGTCATAATGGCAATCGCCGTTAGATATTTGAGTGTTATTCTGCAATGCCATTAAATCAACGTAAAAATGTGTGGGGTCTACGTTAGCTAAACAATGAAGAGGAGTATTGTCTGAGTGCCCCGATTTATTGTGACGATGTCGATGATGTTTAAAGTCTTGTTGGGGCGACTGATTATTCTCAACATTACTGTGATCATTGCCGAGTTTTCTGAAATGTTGTCTTTGGAACAAGTGATACTTAAAACAATAACTTACCTGCTCATATAAAAACTTGAGTTACTACTATCCATATTCGTTTGTAGTTCAAGCTCATCATGTTTTTGAATGTTTCTTTTCTTGACTTTCTTTGTGTGTAAAAAACTTTTGCAATGTTTTTTGACATCATCTGAGGCCGTAGTTTTAGTGTGATTTTGCTCAGGTGTGCCCTTACAAACGTACTCTTCGGAGCCATCACAGCCGTCCTCCATTTCCACAGCATCTGTAGATATTCTACTGCACAGATCGGAATGATCGTCCGAATTGTCAACTGCTGGTTCAAACTCTTCATTTAACTTCCTACAGCAATAGTGTTTCCGATTCTCAAGACTTTTGTTAATTTTCTTCTCATTTGCTTCACTTTTTATAGTAACATTCAGATTTAGTTTCTTGTCTAGCGCTTTATCCTCAACAGTAGGCTGATTGTTTGTAACAGATGTACTGACATGTTTCCGTAGGTCAGGGGAAACAGTTAATTTGACTTTAATTGTTTTACTTCCACAGTGCGGCACCTTTATCGATGATCCGAGAGCTTCATATATTGTAGTTACTAGACCGGAAATATCCTTAAACAAAAAAAATTACGTTTGTATATCACAGATGTGAAATGCAAGTAATCATTTACATTAAAATTAAAACCTATTAGGGCTATAATTGTTTAAAGTTTCCTACACTCGAGGCTGTTTTTGATCAAAGTTTAATGTAAGTGAACTAATAACTTAATTACTAGTTTCATTTTTCACATCTATTTCTAAAATTGTTACAATTAGTAAAACTAGGCGTGCGTTAATTATCCATAATGAATTTATATTATGCTACTTACATCTTTAGTTATTTTTCCATGACCATCAAAGTCGTAAAGAGTGAATGAAAATTCTTGTCTATCTTGCAGTTTTGGACCTGGTGCTTCCTCGAGAGAAACGTTGCACGAGAATTCCTATTAAAATGCGTATATTCGTGCGAACCTTCATAACGCAATTTGAAACAAACCTGTAAATTTAGACGATGTGCTCCATTCTCTTCGGGTGGCGGTTGTAAATCAGAAATGATTGGTAAAGATGTAGTGCTGGAATGAGGAGGAGCTAGGGGTGGTGTGGTACATGAAATGCGGCAATCGTTACTTCTTATTCCCAACAATTCCTCTGAATCAGATACGGGTGGTTCTACGTTAGTTCCCACTGCAAATAAAAAAATTATCAGTTTTTCAAAGAAAAGAACGCACAACCCCGAGTTTGATCACCGTTGCCTAACATTTCTAATATGGTTCCCTATTTATGGCATTCACATGTGAAAGTTTTTTGCCTTTTGTTTACAAATATTTATATTTTTAATCGGGCTAATCCCACCTACACAGACTCAGAAATTCGATTAGAAAACAACATTTTTCAATGGTTAAGTTTGAAAAAAACCTGTCAAACTTCGGCAAAATGTTTCTTCTCGCGTAGGATCTGGGTATGATTCAGGATTCTACTGTATTTCACTGTCCCCTATATGTTAATCATTGGGTATCAAAATAATCTGGTGCCAATCTGCTTTTTAAAAATGTGACTTGGTGGAGGGCAAACAATTATTTTTTTTTTTTTTTTAGTTCCAGATGGAGGTCTGGAGTAGTGTGGGACTCTCCCATTATTTGGACATACCCACTAAAACCCCACCCGAGGCTTCGGCTTCTAAGGCCATTTGCCGATCTATTTCCTACTTATAGCAGCCAAGATATCACAGTTTTAAGATGCATACTAGTTACATATATATCACAGATTTTCAGCTCAAACGTACAGTCATAGGACATATTACAAACATTTTATCACAGTTTACTTATCACATTTATGGTGCTTAGAAATCGCAGTACGTCTGAGCATTTATGTACAGTGCTAAAATTTTCTTCCCATATGTCACCTATTTGATAGAAGTTACGCGCATCTTGGTATTCTGGACAAACACAAACTATATGCTCCGGTGTTAGGTTTACATCACACCTTACGCAATGAGGACGATCTTCACCGGCCAACAAAAAACCATGTGTCAAGGCAGTATGGCCAAGCCGGAGTCTATATAGTTTTATCAAAGCGGAACGATTCGTATTAATAAGAAACAGTGGTCCTAGGCTGGGCTTGACCCTCTTCAAGAATGTGTCAGATGCCCTCCACTGGTCACTCCAACGCTCATTTATTTGAGCTTTTACAAGCCTGCCTCGAACTATTTTAGACAAATCTGCAAAATTTGCTTCATGGAGTTCTAAGTGTCTCAGTTCTTCTCTAGCTCTTTCTCCTATCGTTCTACATCTATTTAGACGAGCATTTGTGATCTCATTTGTAAGCAAGTGATGGTTCGGGTGACTGTTTATCTAGAGACACTTTAAGATAATAGTTGACCAGAATCTGCTTTCGGCGAAGAGTTAAAGGAAGAATGTTTGCTTCCACGTGAAGTGAGGCGACAGGAGTTGTTGGGTATGCTCCAAGAGAATACCTTATTGCAAGGTTCTGGATTTTATCTAGTGCTCCTAATAAAGTGTTGTTACCGCATGTGAGGTAGACAGGGCTACCATAATCAATTTTTGATAGAATCAATGCTCTGTATATGTTAAGTAGAGTCTTAGCATGCGCACCCCATTTATTATGAGCTAAAACTCTGATTATGTTCAGTAACCTCCTACTTGTGGTAACAATGTTTTGCAGGTGTCTAGACCATCTTAATTCACGGTCAAATGTTAACCCCAGGAACTTGACCTCTTGGGGTACACTTATAATTCGATCATTCATAAACAGGACTGGGTCGTAGTGAGGTTTACGAAGTCGACAGAAGTGAGTGGCCTTAGTCTTCTCTTCCGACAACACAAATCCGACAGCGCTTGCATTTTCCCATATTTTATTTATTGCCATTTGTAATTTACGGGTTATGGCACCGATTGTTTTACCAGAACAGCAGATCATCAGATCGTCAACGTACAGGTATTTATCTATTTCCTCGGTGACACCCATTGCTATTTCATTAATGGCAATGCCAAATAGGGAACAGCTTAGTGTTGATCCCTGCGGCACCCCATTCTCTAACACCTGTACCTCTGAATAGGCGTCGCCCACCCTGACAACGAATGTTCTGTTTTCTAAAAAGGATTTGATAAATTTTGGTAGGTTACCGCGTATATGATACTTAAAGAGTTTTTGGAGTATTCCATATCTCCAAGTCATATCAAATGCGCCTTTAATATCAAAGAATACCCCAACCAGGTGTTCGCCACTGTCAAACGCCCTTAGAATTCTGTCAGTAAGTCTGACAAGATGGTCAGTCGTTGACCGTCCCCTCCGAAAACCAGTTTGATAAGGTACGTACACATTGTAGTTTTCAAGAAGTGTTTGCAACCGCACATTAACCATTTTCTCGAGCAGTTTGCCCAAGCAAGATGTCAAACTAATAGGGCGATAACTCTGTGCCAGTAGCGGATCTTTTCCTGGTTTCGGTATAGGGACGATGACTGCCTGTTTCCATTCCGAGGGGTAAGTATGTTCATTCCAGCAATTATTAAAGAAATTTAATATTCTTTGTTGCATTTCAGAGGTACAGTGACGAAGCATCTGGTTATGGATACCATCATGACCTGGTGAGCATGACTTGGTACTACGGAGTGCAGTCTGCAATTCTTCCAGAGTAAAAGGTGAGTTGTAATCTAAATTTTCTTCTGTGTTAAAATTGATATACGAAGATTCTTTTTCAGGTTTAGTGTCCAAAAAGGTGGGAGGATAGTTAGAGGAGCTACTAACCTTGTAGAATTGATCAGCAATAATGTTAGTTATTTCTTGCAGATCATTTATAATATTGCCATCAGCGTTTCGCAGAAACGTCGGGTAATTGAAACTGATTTTACCAGATATAGCTCCCACTTTCCTCCACACTTCACTACTGGTAGTTTCCGGTGTCATTGTGGACACGTACTGTTGCCATGAGTTTCTCTGTGCCTCCAGTATTGCTCGGCGACACTGTGATCTTTGTTTCTTAAATTCTATAAGATTATCCATTGTGGGATTCCGACAAAATTTATTCAAGACTTTTTTCTTTAACGAGATTTTTGCTTTAATGTCAGATGACCACCATGGAACCATCTTTCTTATTTTGCCAGGTTTTGATTTTGGGATGCTAGCTTCAGCAGCATTTATAATGGAGGAGGTAAGAGCTTTAAGAGTTAAATTATCCTGACTAGGGGGGACGAGCTGTTGTGTAAACCGTTCCCAGTTTGCTAGATTAATTTTGTACTTGGCTATTGTTTTAATGGCAGCGTTTTGACCTCGGACTGTAATAACTATGGGAAAGTGGTCACTATGATATAAATCATTTTCTACCTCCCATTTTAAATTAGTATGTATAGCTGGTGAGCATACTGATACATCGATTGAATCAAATGTTCCTGACCTAACATTGAAGAACGTAGGTGAGTGGTCATTTAGCAAGCTTAAATTTTTATTTTCAACGAGATTCAATAACTCTTTGCCTCGAGCATCATTTGAGCACAGATTTAGTATATTTAAATCTGTGATTTGAGGTAGAGCCCCAAACAGTGTTGTGAGAATTAAAATCTCCGACAAGAACAAAGGGTGTTGGAAGCTGATTTATATCACATGAATAATGACCCCGGCGAGGATTAAAATATACTTAGATTAAGGTCTAAGGCGGAAAAATAACTTAGTACTACTTAAAAGTATTTTTGCGTAAAACGTTGAATTTTTTTAAATAAGTCCATTGATCAAGTCATTCTTGGAAACGTGTCAGAAGGTCAAACCGTATATCAATATAAACGTTTATTAATATAGCACTTTGTTTATTTATAAAATACGATCATTGATGCTGAATTATTTATGATCGCATATGCCACGATACTAATCAATTTCTTCATTTGCATGACGCTATTTGTTTTCAATGATAATTTTAGGTCGAGTTTAAAACTTGGTCAACTAGCGCACAAATCGATTTCGAATGCTCCAAAAAACCCACATTCTCAGCTCCAGCGATTACGATTACTATTGATATCAAGATCAACATAAACCGCATTATTAACGATCATTGCCGTCTGAGGTACAATTTTCCTCGTGGAAATAGGACACCTGGTACATCGCCAAATTTGTTAATGACTAGTATCTGAAAACCTGATGCTTTTATGGGCAATAATGGAAGATGGGATATTAAGTGTACAACTCACTTTTTTACAAAGCAAAGTGGGAGTGGCAATAATTTGTCAAATATTAGTTATTTGAACATCAATCGAAACCGCCAAAAGGAAGAAGAGAGGAATTTGCACTATAGATACAAAACATCCTAAAATAAAACACAAAGTCCCAAAGTCCTGTCATAGAGAAACCTTGGGCAACATTTGGGAGGCGAGAAATTAACGAAAGCTAAATATTGGATCAGAACTATTTTTTTAAGGAAATTAATGTATTATAAACATAAACACTTAGTCTTTTTAATGCGCTCTATCTGCACACACAATTTGTACTTGTTTTGAACTGTATCAAGTATTGGTCGGCGTCGGTTATCTTTAAGAATTTGCAGAGGATGTTTATATAATAGTACTCATAATATCCTTAAAGTAACCGAACTAGAGAAATTAATTGCATTGAATGGCACTTAATTATTAAAGTGGATCCATACAAGAGATTTGCTTATTTTCTCATTAGTTGGGAACTTATCGAGGAACTTATATTTAATTTAAGTATTCCTTTGCATGATTTCAAATAAGAATTGATACTGCAACCCCTTTATGACCAACCCTGCATAATTAAAATTATTACTGCCTAGTAGACAAGATCAAATTGATAAATTACAAACTGTCCGATAGTAAAATTTCAATGTGATTTATGGTACTGCTCAGTCTTGCCAGTGTAAACCATATACTGTAAATGCATTACCTGGTACTGCCTCGGGTACTGCTCGGTGCTGCCAGTGCCTTCCAGCGTGTGTACTGTCTAAAATTTATACACTCGTTTATACACGTACCTTACCAACAGTGAAATACCCTCGGAAATACCCCTCGGGGAAATAGTTAATTACAGTTGTTGAGACAAGGCAGAAGGGCGAGAGGATTCCACATTTAAAAATGTTAACAAGTATGTGTGGAAGTAGTTCCGGAAATGGTTCATAAGGCGTTTATTATCGGGCCTATAGTTCTGCGGGAACGGTATTTTCCGTTCCATAATTTTGTCATAAAGTGCAGAATTCTCATATTTTTAGCAAATTTATTTGTAAAAAGTAGCTTTTAATCTCACTTTGGCTGGCTGGCTGGCTGGCTGGCTGGCTGGCTGCAAATGTGGGCGCGTAGAAGAACTCTTGTAGAAAGGCAAATGTGGGCGCGTAGAAGAACTTTTGTAGAAAGGCAACGGGTGTACGTGTATCTACAAGGCCGTGAAATTTGTCAACCTTAGGGACATGGCTACATGATGTGGGGTTGGCGACATCTGGGCGTCATCCTCGAGCTTAGTATACTAACGTGAAGGTTTTTCAGTTTTTTCCTATCTTCTACTACAGTTTTGGTCCGATTCTTTTCAAATTGGTGTCGTCGGAAAGATGTTGTAAACGCGCACAACTCCTGCGGAATTTTGTTTTTTGTCCTAGGGGCGAAATTAACGACCTTTTGTGAGGCGCGCGCGCGTCTTCGAGAAGTAGTCAACTTCGGGCGTCTTTTACCTTCCGTTGCGAACTCACGCGGTTTAACGTTTCGTAAATCTCGAATCGCTGTCTCTCTTTCTCGTGTCGCCAATAGAAGCGAATTGCGGGTGAACGGGACGTCGGAAGTGGCTACCGTCAAAGGGAATGTGGTATCCCCCGACCCGATTTTAACTTTAAAAGCGAATTGCGGGTGCACGCGGAAAGTGGGAAACGGTTAGTGAATGTAGTAGCCTTCGACAAGATCTGTTATTGATGGTTGAGTCGAAAGTGGCTAATAGAATACTGCTCTGCCACACAAAAATGCGCTGAAGTCCCTTCGATCTCACACGAGGACTTTGATAATTTTTTTGCACATCTACACTACTCCTGTACATATTGGACCCATCAACAGTAATTAGGCATTACAGGAATTACACAGAGAGGCAGTGATCGAGCACTATAGGCATTATAAAAGCATTATATTTACATATGCATTAAGCATTACGAGAGCAGTACAAGCATTTTTGGCAATAAAATGCTAAATAGGTACTGCCGAATTGGCAATTGGTGTACATGTATTTTGCTTGGTGGATGACCTCTCGTAGAACACGTTCCTTGAGAGCGACAATTCGTTAATAATAATTCGTTTATTTCTTCCTAATAATCCTACACGTTGAATAAAAGAATAACGACATGGAGATCTTTAACATAATAATTTAAGATATGATGCTGGATCCGGGGCTGGATCTAATTGATCTTAAACTGGGTATTTTGTAAGTATTCGGCTCGGTATTCGGTATTTACGAGGCTCGTTACGAGGGTATTTATTATTACAATACAAACACATTTTCGTACCTACGGAAGTGGTGTAGTGTATGCCCAACTGCAAAACTTCGTTTTAAGTACCACTTATAAGGACGATTTGATGCAATAACGGCCGCCTAAATTAAAGAATAAAATAAAAATATTTTTCCGATAAACCTCGTATAAATTACTGAAAACGACGTATACGGTATACAGTGTAAAAATATCTGTGAAATCGAAAAATGTAAAAATACAGGGTGTGCCATTTAAATTTCGAAACTTGAGGCTACTTACGGTCAAACCGGAAGTGACAGCAAAATACTTATCTCGAGCATTCAATTCGTTTTTACTCATACCTTCCACCTGAATTTTAGATTCACGCCACCCGAGATGCCGCAACTTCAAAAGTGAGTGAACCTAGATTAGTTAACATACGGTATATTATAGTCTCCTACGAGGTCTCATATATGCTCACCATATGAATGGTTATGAAATTACCTATCTTCGTTACTCATTTTCAGTTTTATTAGAATTTACAATCAACAGGTTTAGGTATTTACGTTTATTTATTAATTTCTTAAATAACACATTGAAAGCTTAACTTAATAGTAATAATAATTATTAAATAATTAACTTAGTTTAAAACTCGATTTCAATATTCAAAATTTCACTCATCAAATGCATCGGAAGCAGTACAACTACTATAAAAAAAGTTCAATTAATTAAATAAAAACGTCTGCACATACAGGAAAAGGAAAATAGCGCGCTATTAAAACTAAGGGCATGGGGGCAGGTAGCCAAATTAGCAGTTCTCGTCTTGCTCTTTTTACAGCAAGCCCGTCTTCCTATTTTCTAACAATTCAACGTTCACCAGGTGTGTATTTCCGAGAGAAATTTCACTACCGCGCTAAACCCAAAAGATCTCATGCTTGTCAACATCCCCGGCGATTCTGTGAACAGCAATCGGCACGCTGCCAAGTGCTGCTAACATTTTTTCGTTCATAGCAACGACGTTACAATAACAACAAAAGTGGTCAATGAAAGGTTTTAAACCGATGGAACGCGGACTAGAAAATTATATAATGGCCATTCAAAATTGACTCGCTAGTAGCGGGAAATCAAAGTTTAAATTGAGCAAAATACGTAACACATACCGGCGGCATAATACAAAAGGAGGAGCGAAATATAAAAAGCTTTTATAAAAAAATCTAATATCTACTTTATTATTTAACGGTAATAAATATCTGAGATAGCTGGGATATTTTTGTTAAGTATATTTATAACGTTCGCGGAGTCGCGACGATTGTTTATGTTTCTCACCTGTAAAGGGTTTGTAACCCTTATAAAATTTACTCCTCCACCATCTCATGAGATTACTGGCCATATGAGCAGAATTACAGCTAGACGTCCAACTGTTCATTACAGTATGTAATTGTAAATCAAAAACTATCCTCACTCTGGCAAGAATTTTTCACTAAATCGCATCTTAAAAATGCGGAACTAAAACTTTCACTTAATTTTTATAGAACGCGCGAACGCTGCGGAAATTGCGAAGAACTGCAAATGTGCAATTAGACGACGATTAATAAGGACATACTGTTTTGTTTTATTTGTATCGCACTTCACGAATCTACGACGATTACGATACAAGTATCTCCATTGAACGAATTGAACTAAAAGCGAAGCAACCAGGTGCAACAGCCTTCCTTCGTTAAGATGTGCGCGTGAATTACAACAAGCCAGTCAACACTTTTCAGAAACGCCGACAACATTTCTTACTTATTTTAATTCAATATCGTGGACACAAAAGCATCTTTCTCCCGTACCGTTTCCAATTTAATGTCAACTAGGCAATCGTACGCAATACAGTTTCGTGTTTCCCATCTTTACAGCCTCCCATCAGAGAGGCACTAAGGAGTGCGCAATTTCAGTGTTCGACTGGAGCGTCGCTTTACGAGGGATTTCTTTAAGGGATATACGCAGCGGGGCGATGTGCTTTTCACATTTTTGTTACGAGGGCTACAGACACGTGGGGACCCTCTTGGGAACAATATCAAAAGAGCCGCAGTTGCGCACAATTTTTTTACAATAATTATCGCAGCCCCAAATTGTAAAAATTAATTAATCTGAAATCTTACTATAGTTTATACACAATTATAATGCATCCAGATACTACCAACAGCGATAGCTCTTCGTTTCAGTCTTCGTTCGATTAATAGATACAAAGTATATATCCTCCTCAAATACTATACGCACCTAAAGATGAACCAGCATGAAGTATTGGTCAAGAGGTACAAGAAAATATGTAGGTAACTGCCCTGCACTCATCTACACTAATTACATCTTTAATTTAATTAGGTACCTATGATCTCCAAGTTGAAAGGTCATTATCAAAGCTACCTTTCAGCCAAAACGAATTGTGAAGAATTATATAGAATGTGTTCCAGTTCCAGTTCAGTTCTTCCTCCCGAAAACTTGAACCTTTTCTGGAACGTACAGAGGGTATTAGGTATACTCCTAATAGACTGGTTCGCTTTTCAAAGCTTCCGAGTCCTATAGGGGCATTTCAGACAATATTTGACAAGGTTTTTTGTACTAATTGGTACCTGCTGAACACGACTATCGACGTTGGTCCCTCGAAATGAGAACAGGCACTTCAGCATTCAAGATGGTGGTCAATTTCTGCAAATGCTGATCTTTCCACTCACGCGACCGATTTTTTCGATCTAAAAACGGATTATGTTATTTCTGACGTACGTCATAATATACTTAACTATTGATTAAACAGTTTGCGTAATTTGGTAGCAGAACAATTCAATTGATTAATAAATTAAATATAAGCACATTTTCAAAAGCTTTTCAACTATTCATCTTTCGCCTAAGAATTAACTTTACTTGCTTTCGGACTTTGTGGTTTGACAGGAATTGAGTGCACAGACAGACGGACTGACGATCATTGAGATCTTGGTTCCTAGGAAACGAGATTCTGTCATTAAATGGGAGTTCATTTGTAGATCTCTCTTGTACTACGTATTGCAGGGGGTAAAAATGATAATAACTATCGACCCCAGGGTCGAAAATATGCAGGGCAGCTTTAGCGAAGAAAAATAAAGGCAAATTAAATATAGTAAGTGTGTGTTTAAATACTAATAGTAACAACATGTACCTAATGTATACGTGTTGCCATTATTATCAACATTTTCAATACTTAACTTCATGAAGAAGATAACTGAGAAAGATAAAAAATATTTATATAGTTTAAAATTATGATAATTCTAAGGGTTATTAATGTAAAACTGCAACATTTTCAAGTTCAATGTACGTAACAATAATAATAATAATAATAATAATCTTTATTTCCTGTAGACATATAAAAATGTATAGGACACGTCAGTAACAATAACAAACAACATAAATAGCAATAACACATGAACTCTATTTTGGAGTTCATTTTTACGTTACTAAAACAAAAACGAATAGGTACCTCTAACCTCTTACCGCGATATTTTAATAACTATAGTGTTATGTTAAGCATACAGTAATGAATTGATAACTTATTGCTATTTATTTGGATAGAAAATCTCACGTTTTATTTTACTTTAAAACTAATTCCTGTATCAGAGTGCATCACGCATTATGCGGGCCCCTGTGTAATTGATGGGCGCAAGCCTGTTGAGGGCTCAGAATAAGAGAGGGATAATAAATAAAAAACAAATAAACTATCTATTGCAAAATTATCCATTACACGTTCTGGATTTTAAGATCGTCAATAAAAATATACTGCTCTTAGAACGTTTACATTCAATACGTGATTCAATACAAATATCTCTACAGGTTATTGGCCCAGTCTCCGTTTAATTAGTTTATTTAAGTACTGCGCGCATTTTTCTAAGAAACGGTCTTGTTGGTTTGTATACCTACAGAAACCAAGGTGAACTTGGAAGACGAAAAATACCGGATTAGGCAATAAGTGGAATTACAGAATTATGCTGCTTCTTGCAGAACATAATCTTTCGGCCAGTCAGAGTAACCAGGAATATGCCAGTTGTAATCGCCGAGAATATTTGAGCAAAACGAGTAAGGTACCTACATTATGTCTGTATTCGAAAGGAAAGGCATGACCTCAGTTTCTAATGACGAAATTTGATGTAGACACGATGCAAAATCAATTCAATTTCATAAGTTAATCCGTCGACAGGAATGTTTAGACTAGGTACCCATAAGTAGTTAGTCGCTGCAATAGAAATAATTACTGGTAAAAATCTTGATTTTCAATTTGTGCGGGCAAAAGTGTTGAATGGGGAATTGCAGGATCAAAATTTCAAGTGTTCTAGTGATCGTCATGATGAAAAATGTTCAAACTGTAACTTTCGTAACAAGGAAAAAAACAGTTCAACTGCTCCAATGACCAAAGCGTAGCTCACAAAAGATAAGAAAATTGCTCGTACATACAATGACTATTGGCGCAAATTTCTTTAACAAATGTGAAGAGAAAGTCCAGTTCAGCTGAAAAAGCCTGATACAGTACATAATGTTTTGTTTTGTTTATGTCGCTGATGGTCAGGTTGATAACAGTTCAGGGATAAGACGCAAAACCTAAATAATTGTATATTGCTGGGTACGCTCTAAATGAGTACCTACCAGGTTGTGGGATCCATTGGAAAATTGGTGTACACAAAATCAGTTTTCGTTATGAGAGTGAAAGATAGCATTAAGACATCTTCAAACTGGGTTATCTGGAACCTGGAAACCGATTTCCATACAATCGGTACTGGATTTTTCATGATCTGCTTATTATATCCACTACCTATGCCCTATTTAAAAACAAGGTCAAAAGTATTAGGCGGCCCAACATTTCTACTCATATTAATCAGGATCGATTTAAAAAAATCCCTTTCGGCTCCGTAGGTCATTTTGTTCTAATATGGAGGAATTTTCTGATTCACGAACTTGACCAAGATATTATGAGTGTTTCTTGGAAATGATATTAAATATACTGGTACCATTACAATAGGTAAGATATAGATAGAAATCTACCTCAAATTTTATTATAAACGCCAGATAGATTCTAGAAAAGTGCGCCCTCGTTTTAGACCATTTTTGGTTTTTAAGCATTGAATAATTTATTCCGTGGTCCGTTCTATTCGAAAATCAATGCTTTCAATTTCATTTCTAAAAAAATAACCCTGATTTACTGAAATCGATCTTAGCCTCTACCCACTGGAACTGTCATATTAAGACGCTATAATTATATCTAATTAACCGTGGTGACTACCGAAATTTGCATAAATGGTCGAATTAACATCGAGAATTTACGTTTTATATATGTCGCAGCCGTTTAATGAAATTGGACATTTCATGAAAAGTCTAGTCATTTATATGAAACTGTGGAACAGTTTACTTTCCAAGACCAAGCGATTGGTTTCCCTTCCCATTAGAGATCGATAAATGGTATCCTTATCGATCTAGAAGGGGAAGGGAAAATACCCCACACGTACAAATTTTCAGCGTTTCACTAAATGACTAGGCCTCGGACTAGACTTTTCATGAAATGTCCAATTTCATTAAACGGCTGCGACATATACATACTTTATGCTAATGAAATGCGTAAAAAGTAATTTTCGGTGTCGGTATGTAAAAAATTTGGCGCGAGTTTATTAAAAAGGAGATTGATACGCAGAGCGGCGATGAAAAATGAAACAAAGAAAACAGAAGTTGGTCTCGCTCACTTCTCTATTATTCTACTACTCTATTATCTAGTTTAGAGAAGGTCAGAAACATCCTGTTGGACGCTGCGTGCTCGGTCTTCCCTAACGATCCCCCTTCACCGTTAGCTAGCTATTACGAAATCCACTACGAAGTCGTGCATCTATTCTAAATACAAATATCACATTTTGAATGTCTTTGAAGATGTCGGCGCTTTGATCTTTTTTTGAGTCGACGAATAAAATAAAATATTTAAAAATTTGTTTGGCAAGAGAAATGTGGAGAATATTTTTTAGCGAGTGCAGCGGTTGATGTGGATAGTGTACGTGAAGTACATACTTTACGGAAATATGTACCTAGTGTGATGGTTTGCTCTACCGTACCTGTATAATATAGACGGACAACAAAGACTGACCAATAGCATTTAGCAAGGATTACCCGGAGGTGAGGGGAATCTTCGCTTCAAGGCCAACTTGTAATTGTCCAACATCAAACAAGGAACCGCTCCTTTGAACTCGCCGCCGCCACACGCACACAATAGTAGCCTTTATGTAGCGTTAATATATTAATTCTCTCCGCGTACAGGACGGTATTAAACAATTTTGGCTGGCATAAAAAATGCATTGGCTAATTTTCGAAGTGTTTGTTGAGAATTACAACTGCTCTGCTACACTCGTTTTTTTACTGCAAAGAAAAAGTACTACCCACTACCAACGATTTTTTTAATGTATGCCTACGCAATTTCATTGATACAACTTAGATGCTCACTTGAGTGAAGCAAGTATAAATATGCTAATATGCAACATAATCGAAGCATACAATTTAGATAAGAGTATTGGACCCATAAATTACTATCAAGCCTAAACATAATAATAGTGGTACTATTGTAATTTTATAATTAATATTCAACCTCTAAGATTAGCTTTCAGCTTCCATTCATTAGATGACTTCCTTTTCACGGAGATTGTGGACGGTTGCCAGGATAGACGTAGACAAACATCGAGAAAAAATACATTTTGAGATGTGCGAAAATATAACTGAACAATAAAAGAATTGGGTTTTAATAACGTTGAACTATACGTTCCCCAAAGTGGTAACCCCGAACAAACGCTGCTTCGTGCAAGACATCCTGTTGATCCAAGAATATCTATCCTCCCATAAATTGAACCTTTATAACAAGTTCTGCGAGTAGGTGCATTGCTCATAATAGATCGCCGACATAAATGTTGGAACAATAAACGCCATAATCTCGCAACCATCAGTAAAGATCCAGTGGCGTACGTAGAAATGTATTCTGGGGGAGGGGGGGGATTAAACAAGTTCGTGGCACATACAGTCACCCAGTGCGTACTAGAAGGGGGGGGGGGGGGGGGNNAGAAACCAATTTCGACAAAAAATTCAAAGGGCTGTAACTTTTGATCTAGTAGTCCGATCTTGGAACTGTTTGGAATTATGGATTCTACATGCCACATTCTATAAGAAAATTGTTTTTTCCGGGTCGATCTGAGACAATTTTTTTTTCTGGGCAAAAAAAAAGGCAGTTATTACCTTCCTTTTTTCCCAAAAATCGACTGCACCAAAATTTTTCGGGAAAAAACTTTTTCTTATTAATTTGGGTGCGTAGAATCCAAAACGATTCGTACTTTTTCGATTAGACGTCTCAATCAAAAGTTATGGGCAAAAAAAAATTCCTGTTTTTAAAATTTAAAATTCTTATTTTTGTCACTTCGTGAAAGGCAGGACGCAGGTACCTCACCTAAGTAGCAGTACTAAGTACCTGATACCTATTTGTTATTTTGGGCATCAAATCAATGTAGCGAATTGCCGATCGATGCCGAATAGCCAAATCGTTGACTACCAACACTGATCACTCACTGAATAGTGAATACTGAATACTACAGAATATTTAGATTTTAGTGACTTTAGACTTTAACCAAAACCAAAATTGCTCTCTATATATACCTATATATTATTGCCTTTATTTTAAAGTGGGCGGAGCGGATAGCGGAGTATTACCTAAATACCTAATAGCTATGATGATAACTCAATTCTTCTGGGGGGGATATATCCCCGTAAATACGCCACTGTAAAGTTCTATTAAAATTAAAGGGATTTCTGTCAACCGAATCATACAAACAATTATAACCTTTGCTTTGGAAAGTTACACGTTGATGCTAAAGCAATCGTTGAAGCTGCAGGCGCATCATCAGCAGGAGTTAGAACATTAGGTCGATTAGGGCAGAGATGCATCGAGGGGCGGTGCCCTATGGTTTGCTCAGGTGGAAGAGCAGTTCGAACTCGCGTACATAATCGCAGGAGACTACCAAGACCATTCCATGGCATTGTTTGACATGATGTCCTTTATTCTGGCTTATTTTGATTTTGAAATTTAATAATTGATGCCCACTTGCTCTCTAACCCGAATGCCATGTGGTAGAACGGCAAAGATATATAACGTCATGCGCGCACAAAGGTTACTTTCGTGCTCTCGTAAAAACTGCACAAAATTACTCTTGATTCCCCCCTCCTCTGTTTTGAGTCACAATCCATTTCTGGACTCTAATTGCATTATTTGTATGGGAGACACACTCTAATGCAGTTTTTGGTGGTCCCTATTGTTAGGAAAAAATCTTCTCTCAAGACTCTGTTCTGTAGAACATCTTAGGATATTGCAAGCAGATCCTCAACTGTTATTATCGGCGCTAAGAAACATATTTTAGATAACCTCTGCAGCCTAACAAGTTATGAACTAATGTTTAAAACGTCTTCCTGCTTCACCGACCTTGTCGCAAGGAATTATGGGAAATTTGCCCGCTCCTCGTGTCCCTCAATCCTTAACTAAAAGACCGTAAACGCCGAAAGTGTAAACAGTGACGATTTATGCGTATACCTATTTATTTATTTCACCGGTAAGGCTGTTCACCTTGATATACTCCCATCTCAACACTATATCCGTTTGTTTTACATATTTCATATTGGTTTTATTTATTCCTTTTGTGTTTATTTCAACTCGAGGAACTTTATTTAATTTGATCTATATATTGGTGGTAGGTACTAACTCAGAGCTTAAAGAGCAAGGTGCAGTCAGTGCATGCCATTTCTTTCCCGCTGATAGCTCTGGAGGCCTTAGGAAAGCTCTCACAAATTCCAACGACCTTCAACCTCTTCTCACATAATTTTCTATTTGGAAACCAAAAAAGTCGCTAGGAAATTTTGATTAAGATAATAGGAATGAAATTTACACAACTCGCAAATTAATTTGACATAATTCTTGAAATTATTTTTGTGAAAACACTAAGCATGTCAGCTTTGCAATAAATTGCTCGTTATCTGAAACGCGTTAAAATTTACAGCCATTACCATACGGCTCACAACAGGAGCCATGGGTATTTAACAGACTGCGATGTGAAACTTCCAGCAATTCCCGAGCCTCTTCGCATATTTAAATTATGTATTCGAAGACACTCGTGTTTTGCTTTTTAGCCGTGAGTTTTAAAATAATTTCTGGTAGGTAATATGCAATTCAACTACACATCTCGATCCCACGCTCGTTTTTAGCAAGGAAGATTGTGTGCTATTATGAGAGTTGGTCAGTATATCGCCCAGGAGATGGATCGTTTAAAATAGAAGACATAAATCCCTTTCTTTGTACTCACGCGATCTACGCTTTTGTTGGAATTAACCAAACATCAGGCTCAATAAAAATTTTAGACCCGTGGAACGACGTTGACAATGGTAAGATTAAACAATTTTGGTTGAATCGTATAATACTAAACTTTAGGAGGGTTTCGTCGATTTAATGCAATGAAATCAAAAAATCCAAATTTGAAAACGCTATTGGCGGTAGGGGGTTGGAAGGAAGGATCAGTAAATTATTCTAAAATGGCCGGAAATACTTCTTTAAGAAGCAACTTCATTACAAGTGCAATTAATCTGATGAATAAATATGGCTTCGATGGCTTTGATATCGATTGGGAGTACCCAGCACAAAGAGGTGGCGTTCCTCAGGATAAGGTGTGGAAGCTATATTGATAGTGCACTAATATTTGGATTATAGGCCAACTTTGTAACACTGGTCAGAGAATTTCGCCAAGCGCTAGGGAATGGACGCCTGCTTTCTATCGCAGCTGGTGCTACTCCAAGTCAAATAGCAACGTCCTATAATGTATCCGCACTGATTCGGTAAACATAATGTGTCAATTATTGACAAAATACATCATTTCAAGCTTGTAGTGATTTGGATTTTATTAACGTTATGACATATGATCTACATGGCTCATGGGATGGAGTCACTGGTGCCAACGCACCATTATTTTCTTCTTCTGGGCTTTCTGTGGTAAGAGTCAGCGTTTATGGTTCAACTTTTGTTTAGTGTATGAACTTCAGTCTCAATGCATCGATGCGTGGATTGCAAATGGAGCACCCTCATCAAAATTGGTCATGGGTATTCCCGTTTACGGAAGAACATTTACGCTTACAAATTCGCAATTAAATGGAATAGGAGCTCCAACTTCCCAACCTGGAGCCCCAGGTCCATTCACACAAGAAGCCGGGATAATTGGTTATAATGAAGTTTGTTGCTTTGAATAGTTTTATGTACATTTACCATATACTTACTTAAATTTTAGATGTGTCTGAAATTGTTAACAAATCAATGGGTTGTTGTATGGCATGATGCTCAAAAGATTCCGTACGCGTATAAAGGGAACCAATGGGTTAGTTATGATGGAACACGATCAGTTAATATTAAAGTCAGTTTCTCTTGCAAGGAAACGTACAGGAAGTTTATATAGCATAATGCTTGTAGGTGACATACGTTAAACAGCGGGATTTGGGCGGTGCTATGATTTGGTCTATTGATACAGACGACTTCCGAGGAAAGTGTGGCTCAAAATATCCAATCCTTACCACAATCAAAAACGGACTAATATAACAGGAGAAACGCCAGAAACTATTTGGAAAGACAAATACAATAATGTAATATAAAATATATACTTAGTAGCATCTTTACAAAGGTTAGAAACGAAGTGGTTTACTGTTTTTCGTGTTTTCTTAATTTAAACTGTTTGCTTTAAAATTCATCAAAACAAGGGTTGCACCGACTAGCTCAAGTGAGTAGTACAATTTAGATCTTTAGCTTTTCACTCTTACTGGCACCAAAACTAATTTTCTTGTATTCTTTGACATAAATAAAATAGGACTTTGTTACCTAATTGAAAATTTACGCTTAGATCCTTTAAATTTAACCCAATTTAAAAAACGTAATTATTTAACAAGACACTGGAATTGTTTCGATACCCTACTTACGATATCTAGTTCACGGTGATTGAAATACAACACAGTAACAAAAATGTTTACCTCTGAATTCGGCTTAGATTGTAGTCCCATCGACTACCATAGAAATCATCCGGATTCAGGATTCCCCTTGGCCAAGGCTCGTATTCCTGGTATATGAAGTTGATAAGAATGGACAATTGTTCGAAATATGGAGATAGATACTTTCCGCCCAGATCGAAGGAGTCCCTTCCTGGATTTACACGACTTCCGGTTTCCTGATGTCGAGGTGCATCTTTGCTGATATTGGATCAGTTACTACAGAGATAAAAACAGTTCATCAGCTTCGGTGTGACTTGGATCACATAATGCACGGATAGAATATTTTATTTTGTGCGAATATAACTATATAATATAATCGCAATCTTTATTTAATATAGTTCCTCCGAAGATTAGATCGCTACCCCTCTCAGATTTTAGAATTACGCTAAAAAAATTGTTTATTCAACACCCTTTTTTCTCATTTGATGAGTTTAACGACTTCTGTTGGAGTGGTTCGTAATTGTATCAGTCATTCTGTGTTATATATGTTTTTTTTATTATGTTTGTTGTATTATATGCTAGTGTGTTCTTTATCTAATGACGAGTGTAAATGTATCAACATGTCTGCACAATATATATTATTATTATTATTATTTTATATTTTTAGTTTGCATAATTGTAAAACGAAATTAACTTAGATGGAAAACACTGACATGCCGCTCATATGAAAATTTATAATAAATATATATAATACATACGCTACTTTGCAATGAACTTCATTTGCTTCACGTCTTCGTCGCGCGTCCGAACTTTATTTAGGGACCTCAACCTTCGTATTGTTCACACAAGGTTTATACCGGTCCGCTTGAAAATTGTGGTCTTTTATTAGCGCAACAAATACCCCTAGCTTCCTGGAAATGAGAACTGTGCGATTGCGATTAACTTTCTTAGAATGTTTTGTTTTGTTTTACTCTTGAATGATTATATGTTAATTGCAATTATTTTTAGAATCTTTACTTCTGTCATAGATAAATACTGCTCTATGCTTCTGTACACATACCATGTCGGGTCAATATATATATGTACATAGAATTATCGTTAAAACCCTGTCCATCTAAAAATACTGGCACATCTCACCATCTGTGCATTATGATCAAACCTACGAGTTGAACGCTGGAGCAGTAGGTACTACTTATTCCCCCTCAGCATTCTAACTTCATGCCTTCTGATCCATTTTTAAACATTACCCATATGAAGTGTCGCAGGAATGAAATAAATTCACCTTGAATTTATTGAATGCAAAAAACCAGGCCTTCTTTCATTTCATAGCAGACTTTTGCAGAGTGCAAAAATGTAATTAATGCACATGCACACGTGTAATTTTTATTATGAAACTATAAAAGATAGAGGTACAAAACTCTCTGAATAAATATGATATAAATATATATGATTTAAACATGTTCCATTATGGAACGAAACAAATTTTTGAGTACAACAAAATCTCAATGATTTTTTGTAATCAAAATTTACTGGAAATAGTTAACAAAATATACCACTTAATTTATTAATACTTTCAATTTATACTTCACGAGCCAAATATTAAAACTATAACATTAAAGCAGGTACTAAAGATTAGATTCAGTCAAGTGTCTCCTCGTGTCTCCTTACCAAAAAAGACATGATTTTTGTAAGTTTTTGAGTTGATTTTCTTGAAGACGTTGTAACAAAAGGGCAGAATCTATAGAATTTTCACTTAAAATGATCAATTGTAAGAAAATGTAGGTAACCAGCGGCTTAGCAAATTAATTCAATGAAATCAATTCAAAGAATATGAGTCTTTCTTGGTTAGGATGGCAGTTTTATCACATTCACTGGGCAAGTGTAAGAGGAAATATCTCCTCACCAATGTTACAAAAAGTAAACAAAAGAAAAAATCGAGAAAAAGGAACGTACAATATAAAAACTTTTTTTCATTATAATTTACTCAAGGCATGTCACACCCTCCTCATCATTGTAGTCCAAAACTCTATACAGGCACGTACCCTTTTCTCCCGAAGCACCAAATCCACAATACTCCTTGATTTGGTCCACCAGTTGGTCTCGTTCATTATTAAGTGCTAGCACCTTATCACAAAAATCTGATACCTGTAATAATACAACTGATGAAGATACCTTAGAGATACGAAGTAATTTGAGTACGTACCGAAAGAGAGTCTCTTCTAGGCTGCTGGACAGGTTTGGTGATAGTCGAAGGTTTGACTTTAATTGGCTTAGTCGCGGTCGAAAGTTGAGTAAACATTTTTATTTTAATCTTCGTTCCCTTTGGTTCCTCGACCTTTGTGTTTCGTAGAGAACGTCTTTTTTTAACCGGTTCCTCTTTTAATTTCTTCGGTTGTCTGTTTCTTTTTACCGAAACCTCTGTTTGAATTCTATTCTTTAGGTAACTTTGCGGTGGAGTAGCGCTGGGATTATAATCGAAACCTATCTATAAGAAATGTTTGTTGAAATTTGGTACGATTTAACCCGATGTAGTTACCATTTTTCTAATCATTGCGATGTTGCATCCAATTTGGGGTTCACTTCCATCTTCATCAGCCTGTTCGTTAGACATGGTGATAGCTATAATTGACCACTACAGTTTATGATTGCAATCTACAGTGAAGCAAAATGTCAGTTGCAGTTAGGTTTGAAATCCCTATTAAAAATTAAATGAAAACCGTTAGCACAGTATACAATGCAATTATCCAACGTGCAATCCAGAATCTTCTGCTTTGACAACAGGAAAATAAAATGTACCAATGAATTGGCCGTTTTTTACAGGAATTTTTCTGATTGGTCCCTGACTTTCGATCAAAATCTAGACATTAGGCGCCAAAATCTAACATTAAACTACAAGTTCCTAACATACCGACCTGCATGTGGTGTTGCATACCTGGAAGGATTTTAATGTTCTGTTGAATATAATTTATCAAACTCTCATTCTCCTATGATTAGCGTAATCTATCCTTGGTTACTGCAAAAAATTGCGACCATGCGACCTGTACAATGTATGAAACAATTCTTTGACCATTGACTCATTTATTTATTTTTGACCTTTACTTTAAGCAAAGATAATACTACATTATCTTGGCTTTAAGTGTGCGGGGTTTCAGCCAATGTTGCTGTACACTCTACAGCATCCCAACCTACGACACATTACTTATCCATGCCATTTTCTATGGCAAGGGGTACATAAATAAAAAAAAATTAAAAAAATAATAAATAAGTGCCACAATTGTCGTTCAACGGTGAGACTTATACAATATACTTTTGACATAATTTATAACACTCTTTAAACTAATTAACACAGTTCACAATACTAGTCTAAATTGTTTTGTATCCAATCCACAAATGCTGTAACTCTCGTATAAACTCCAGGAAATCCTTGTTCGGCGCACCTAAATCCATACGATACTACACCTATTTGATAGTACGTAAAATTTTTATTCTCCAGCCTCGAATACATGAGTGGACCTCCAGAATCTCCTTGACAAGCATCTTTTCCACCTTGAAGGTAACCAGCACATAGCACTCTATGATCAATTGTTGTAGTTCTAAAGTTGATGAATGCGCGGCTGCATCTTTCATTTGTAACTACTGGTAAAGTCGTTGTTTGCAGTGTCGAACTGGATGGACCATCTACAGTAGGAGCAAGTGAGTTAAATATATTCAAGATATTTTTGTTCACTTACTGAAATATAACGCTCCCCAACCAGCTACCAATGGAGTATAATTTACAAAATCGTTAGATTTAAGTGGTTCATCTAAGGGCAAGCATATTGGTTTAACTGTAGCTGTAACACGTAGGTAATAATGTACTTCTTTGCCAATAAAAACTTAACTTACGATTTTTGTGCGGTTGTGATAAGGTTAAAATGGCGATGTCGTTGGTATACGAAGTTGGATTATACTGTTCGTGCACTTTTGCCTTTGACAATGTAGACGTACTCGGCTGAGCACCATCGTCGTCAGAGTACAAATCTAATTCGCCTAAACGCGCCAAATATCTGCAATCATGGATTTAAATTCAAATTAAGTCTCTAGTGTTTTGGCAAAGCGTAATTTGCGCATGTACATAGAACGACTAATCTGTGTTGGGTGCAATGCATGGTCAACTTACAGGTCAGGTCGGTTGTGTACGCAATGTCCAGCCGTCAAAATATGTTTATCGGTTATCATGGTCCCACCACATAGCCACTTTGGTTGTTCTGGGTTTTTGGAATTGCGATATCCTAAGGCAACGATCCATGGGTATTCTCCTAAAACACAGAGTTGGTCAGAATTGGACAGTCGTTTTCAACAAAGGACGAAAAGAATCTCCCAGTCATATCATGAATTTACTACGATAAATGGCGCTTTCGAAAAACCTCCTCTTAAAGGTACTGCTAACATTTTTGAAATTTTTCAATAGAGTTAAAGTTAAGCTTGTCCGCTTTGTATAGTTTAGGAACTTCAAATCTGTGAAAATGAACGCATATATCAATAATCAATGGGCTTTTCCAAATTTATAATTTATAAAGAACTTCTATAGGTGCCTATATGCATAACTACTACCAAGTATAGGTACATAATTTGTGACACTTTAGGTTTTTAGGGGTTGTAAATGAACCGGATTGTTGAGTGATAAACAGTATAGGTACCCTCATTTATTTTCTAAGTATAAGAAGTAAATCAGAACAGTATAGTGGATCTTTCAGTTTATTTACATTAGGTCATTGTTGATAGTAATTATCAGCAACTGACCTCAAATGCTACTTTAGGAAGAAAAGATATTCAGGGAATCTCCTCAATTTGAATGCAAAAACGCTTTTTTGAGGTTTAGATTGGGGTAAAACGAAATATATCGTTTATTTGTCGAATAAAAAATTGAACAGAGCTCAACAAAAACTCGTGATGATACAAATAGAGGGCGCTTAAAAAGCGCCACTTTTAAATTACGCAGCTTTTGTTTAAAAAGTCGTTCTCATCCTGTTTTGTGCAAATTTGAATAAAATGACTACGCGAGGATTATTTATTTGCATTTAAATTCAACCTTGAAAGTAATTTTATTTGCAATTACAGGAGACTGAGACCATAACGCATTGGAATTCTATTCTACATAATTTATATTATTGAATTACAGCATGGCCTACATATTTAATTTCTCGTACCCTTGACATTTACCTTTTACAAAAAAATATCACCCCAAGAAGTTGACGTTTAGTTGTTCGAAAATTCCATGAAAATTTATTACGCCTGCATGACTTCAGGACTAATTACCTAATTACTTTTTTGTAATGTAGTGTGTAATTATCTAATATTTGCTAGACAAATAGGTAACTCTGTTTTGAATAGTCGGTAGACTGTAATAAAAGTTGTTAATAGTGATTGCATAACATAATGCATCTAAACATATTGCTTCTGCCTCATGATCGATTAAGCAAATTCTTATCGAACTGTTATTTATGTCACCGAAACAACAACTTGACCTTGTTCAAATGACACCAATGTATCATACCTATTGATCAAAATGCAAGTCAGTTTCTACAAAAGTGTTCGAGTAGGTACTTATTGGAGGCAACACGCTCCCACCCACCATAGACGTAACATTTCATTGATCAAAAGTATGGATCTTTCACGTTCCGTTTCTGCTATTAACAAAGTTAAAAGGTGTAAAGCTAGCCTTGTTAGAAATTATGACAATTATTATTGCACGCTTAAATGCATGCTTTTACATTGACTTACCCAAATACGCTGGAACGCCGTTTACTATCCTCGTTTTGGAAGGTTGATTTAATCCGCAAAAGGGCGGCTTAGGTAATCCATTAATTTCATTTTGGGATACTGCTATATCAGACGGTGGAAACGCGATCCTTTCGGACGTCTCGGTGCTTGCCATTTTTACAGTTACCCGAGGGCAACAGACGAATGGGTCTTGTCCTTCCCATCCACAATGGGCTTGTCTTAGTAAAGTTGAAACGTAATCTGAGGGACCATATTTCGATAGGAGCTCCAAATATTCCTTACAAAATTTGATAGATATGCACTGTCCATCTTGATTAAATGGCGTTGTGCAGGAGTCATCTGCGTCAGAAGCACATAATGGATTTTTTAGAAATGTTCCTCGATATTTGGTTTAGTATCAAAATAAAAATTAAAAATAAAACTAACCTTGTGCACTGTTACGCGCCACAATTAAACAGATAAAAAACAGAAGAACTTTAATCATTCTTGTGGAGAATCACATGCACTTTGGCTCCAAAAGCAAAATTACCACGCGCGCTCGACTGTTTGAATTTATAATGAATATTTAATCAAACAGAAGGCTTATTTCAACATCTCCCGATGACGTCGTTGTTCTCGGGGATTGAATTAAGGCCATATACCATCAAATAGGTGATCAATTCAGATGCTATACTAGCAGTCAAGTTTAATTATTCGGAAAGTTGCACAACTCCACGCGGATTTTCCTATTTTTGTAGGTTTCATTCAGAAAAACGTAAGTATCCTGAACATTGAACTAATTCCGCAAGGTTGTCGAGTCCCTTTTTCTTTTCTTCGCCTAATTTCTTTTTAGATTTATAAGAAGCGTTACCTCGCGGATTTACGTTGTTCTGCAACCTCTACACAAATATTGCGGCAATGGGAATGTTGGTGAATCACATTTAATACAAATTGACGAGAAACGGAACTACCTTCTAGGAAATAAGTATGGTCAAATCTTTTATACAAGATTCTTTTACCTATTAGATGCAGATGCCAAGATTTTCATTTATAAATGACATAGGTATCTTTGGCTCTTTTGGACTAGGCATAATCAATTACTTTATGATTAGGTACCTCTTCGTTAGGATTTATTAGTTTCTGTACTTATTTGGATGTGTTGCTTAGTTTTGTAAAGATTTGATTTTCGTCAATTGTCCTGTAAATCGATTTTTTTTGCTGTAGGACAATAAACTATTGTTAATATTATTAGTTCGTAAATGATTAACACACAGTACATACATAGGTAGGTGCACTTGCAAAGATAGCAGCACCATTAATTTTAATTTTATTTTATTTATTTATTTGCCCAACAGATAATAATCCAATTACAGGACAAAATGCACAAATGTGCCTAAGCATAACAATAACAACAAAATACATTAATAAAGGTAAGCCTAGATATACCGGGTGGTGCCTAGCGCGACGCAGCATAGGGATTTCAATGGTAATTTCTTTATAATCAATTACTAGCTCCCCTAATTATTTTAGAGCAATAGTCTAAATACGTTTTTTTTAGAGAAAAAAATACTGCATCTGTTCATACTTTTAGTTATAATTTTCCATTTTTCAAAACCATAGAAATCGGCAAAATAAAAAGGTTCATTTTACAAAAAATCAAATCTGCCTTGGAATTACCTAAAAAAACAGCGATCACGTTTCATTATTTGCCTTTGACGTATATTAAATTTATACTTGTTTATTAATTAGTTAAAGAACTGCAAGTGCAATAACGGTCAAAATGTCCGTCAAAACCATCAGGAAAACGACAATACGAATACAGTCAACGTTTTGGCTGATGCAGTAGCGGAAAATCCGAATATAAGTTTAGGAACAAATCTTCTTCAAATCAGTTTTTTTTTCTTTGATTATGTAGGTACTCTGATTCCGGAAAATGATAAACAAATAGTATCTGATGCAGATGCATCATACATTCTCTAAAAAAACATTACCCTAAGATGCCTTTTATTGCGTTGGTTAGTTGAAACAGAATTAAATATGAAAATCGTTCGACGTCAAACAACGATAACTTAGATGCGATGCGCTTGTAGTTTTGTTAAAAGATTCCAAAGCATCACTGATTTATAAAAATGTAATTTTTTATTTTGTCGATTTCTACGGTTTTGAAAAATGGAAAATTATAACTAAAAGTATGAACAGATGCAGTATTTTTTTCTCTGAAAAAAACCTATTTAGACTTTTGCTCTAAAATAATTAGGGGAGCTAGTAATTGACTATAAAGAAATTACCATTGAAATCCCTATGCTGCGTTGCGCTAGGCACCACCCTGTATAGGTACAGCAAATTCTGTGTAGTGTGGCATGTATCCTTACAATGATTAATGTGCTCATATCATACTGTAGTAGCCAAACTAATGAACTGTACAATTTCATTTAATGAATTATAATGCAAATCACAACAATAGGCATATCTGTTCGCATTTACACACATGATATATATGGGCGATTTCAACAAAACATTCGTCCTCGCAGAAGTGTTGTTTGTCTAGCATTTATTCGAGGAATGAAGAACTTTAATGCACTTAACAGAAATTCACAGTCCACCATATTATTAATCAACTTGTAAAGAAATGTTACCGAATTGAGTATCCTACGGGACTCTAAACTATAAGGTAGGTTAAACCTCTCCAATAGCACTTGATTTTCCATACCTCTAGCATCACTTTTAAAAGCTAGGAATCATTGTAGGTATGAACAAACCATGTTCAAATTATACGACTAATTGACATTTTCATCAGCATTATTTATTTTTGCTTTTGTCCCACATGAGTATGAAAATTCTTTATTTATCCCGTGTAAGAATTATTTAGCGTGACACAACGAAGTTGAGATGTGCTCGATTTTCCGTCGTCTGTCTGTCTGTGTGTTTGTCTGTTCCATCGAGATCTCCCTAGTGATTTCAGGTTTTTGCTGCTATATTTATAGTGCTATGGTCTACATTTGCCCGTTACTCATCATTTACAGTTGTGTTACGAGGCAATACCCACTCGGTTTTGAAACATTTTTCAAATAGGTCTGTTACAAACGATTCATTTTACGTACCACAGCCCTTACCTCTTAAGCTCGTGCCCTATACTGCCTGGATCTGTTAGGCAAAGCTTTAGTAGATATTTTATTAGTGATCTATACCGAAGTAAGTAAACAGATGTTCATGTGGATCTAAAACTCCCAGACCACATTTTTAAGCATCTGTAGATAGTAATTGACCCATTGGTTTATAATTGTGTGATGATTTAACATTTCCCCTTATTCAACAATAGTAAAAAAAAGAAACGACGACTTACTAAATCCTCAAGAATTGTCAGGCCATCTTCAAATGTGGGAGTAGAATGCAAATTTTATATTTATTATACATTCTTGGATTGCTTGTAAGTAGGTAAATTGCTATATGCAAATAGAAATCCGTGGTATGGTCTGGCATAAAAATTTTCTAATTTGCAGTTCTAAAATGTACGTTCATGATTTACAAACGAATTTTTTTAATTTGTTAACTATATATGTGAATAATTGTACGTTGCTAAACGCTCTTCGTATAAAATAACCCATGAGAACATGTATGGAAAGTGTTCTGATGAAAAACGAACTGAGCAAATTAATTCACAAATGCCGGATATTTGAAAATCTTACCTGACTACGTTTTAACTGCTTGCAAAGGTTCCGTCGTAAAATTCCTGGCACTTGACCTTTGATATTTTTGGCCGGATTGTGTAGAAATATTTTCAAAATTTCGGAAACTACCTACTAATTGATTTCTGCATCTTAGCAACCATGCACGTTTTAATAATTCATAAGTACTTACTAGTGTTTCTATAATTTATTATACAAACGGGTAGTTTAATAAAATTTCTCTCTTTCTCTGAATAGGAACAAGTGCATAATACCACAGATTTAAATATTCTGGGATTATACCTATCAGTCTGACCAGTGCTACCTACGGTCCTCCAAAATTGTTAGCCGACATGATGATGAAATTAGCTATTAGGTATTAACGATAGTGCACTTGCATTTGATTTAGATTGGTGAAGTCGTTACTTTCATATAATCGTCTGTCTCGCCAAAATCACCACACATGCCACCATAAACTACTACAACGAACGATACATTTTGACATACAGTACACTCTCTATAATCCGGCGTATTTTGATGGGCGTGATAGAAGGCTCAAGTCAAGCCACATCATTGAAATAAAGGATTAGGATTGCTAAGATGCGTTCATTTTTTAGTTTGGTATTGCACTATTTAAATATTATTTTTTAGAGATGTCATTTTTAATTCTAAAAGACCTTTTATTAGTAATAATTAATAAGTAATATTAGTGATCCGGTATTTTCACTGATACTCTGATCCGATCTGCCACATTACTGAGTCTACTATAGATCTATAAAGTAGGTAGGTACTGGGATTGAAGGACCAGCTATTCCAAAAGAACGCTATCATATAAAAGAGAATACAGCTCTGGTACGTTTATATTTTGGTTGAGAAATATTTGGAACAGTAATAAGATTTTGCAAACTTATTATAAATAATGCATCTGTAGCACTAGGTTTCATTCTACTATTTAATATTTATAAATAAAAAAAAAACTGTTTTTGCTTTACTTTACATACATGAGAGTAGACAGATAATAAAATTTATTAAATTCAAGTACCCACTCTTAAATATGCAAAATAAATAAAAATGCATACAGTTTAATAACAATATTTTCAGTAATAAAATTTTTACTGCATCTATTTTCCAACTAAATTGATCAGTTTCAACATGGCAAAAATTAAGAGACATAATTAACAAGATATATATTATAAAATATAAGAATTGTAAATGTAAAATGTAATGCATAATTAATTATTGATGATCATATATACAATTTCACATTATATCACGAACACATTCAGTATCTAACTCTTGAATAAGACAACGCATAAACGTCATCTCTTTTCTTGCATTATCGAAAATCGTACGAGGATCGCTTGCCATACATCTTAAACAGTTGGGTGCAAAAACCATAGCGAGATTCGAAGCGTCCATCTTAGTATGCTGCACGACTTCCGGTTTATTAAAAGTTTGAAGAAAGCGGATAAGGTAACAAAGCACTAATCGATGGAGAGTAGGTAACCGCATCACTAAATCACAAGCGCGTCTGCCAGTCATTGGTTCCGCTACACATTCTGAATACAAAGAATCGGGTATAAGAGGTTCGTAAAGTTCTCTCAGCCACAACTTTAACAAATTGGCGGGAACGTGCGCATCACTAGGTTCACTGATCTCCCATCGGTCCATTTGGGCTTTCAATCTCGCCACTTCGTCCACATCTGCCGATACACGAAATATACCCTCCGTACTCAAACCGTGTAACCTTAACACTTGTTGCGAAAGCTCCACCTGGGGCCACGGTAAACGTCGTGTAGGCCACCGACTAGCTTGCAGTTGCATCACCTCTCGCAGAGTGTTCCCGAACAAACTGGCTTGAAATATTTGCATTCGAGCAGATTCCACATCGTCTGGTTGTGGACGACGAGCTATCCTCTTCCCGCCGACACCGATACGTTCTAATCTTTGGCAAGCAACTGTTGCGTAATGACTTACCTGTAAAAGAAATCAGTACAGTAACTTATAAAAGTCGCGTTAACTGCCGAGGTCTTTGGCGCCATCTATTTTATTATTATATAGCTTCTCAAGTATATTCACAGCCTTTAGGTACTGTAGAAGATTCTTTATGTTATCTTTGTTTCTTAGATTATCAGGTAAGTTACCAAAGATCGAGTACATTTGACGTAAAGGTGCATATAGTGGGCATATACACACAGTGATAGGTAATGTACAGTTGGCACACACCAGGGGTGGGTCTTTTGTTAATAAATGCTTGTGTGTTGCCCTATTCTTAACCTATGTAGACTGGTCATGTCTTTTCTAGGAAGCGACAGTGGTGCTCTCCACCCATTAATTGGTGTATGAACTCTATTTAGGTGTGTATTGTACTGTTGCCATGTTTGTTGCCATAATACATCCATTTTCTTTTTCAGATATTTGTTAACGTCGTTAGAACTAGAGATCCAAACCTTTTCTGTTGTCTCATTTCTCGCTTCTATAGCTGCTCGATCAGCTTTTACATTGCCGCTTATACCTACATGACTAGGGACCCATAGGGATGTAATAAGAATATCTAGGTTTGCGAGATCATCTGCACTAATGGATGTTTTGAAGATAGATTTTGCAAACTGACTAGAGAACTCAGTGACTCGCTTATAACAACAAATTCATTTTTATCTGAATACAATTTGCAATATCTAAGAGCTTGTCAAATTGCATACAGTTCAGTTGTGTATATAGATGCGTGGATTCCCATTGACCATTCATACTCAGCGTCATCAGTAGAAAAGGCAGAGCCAGTACCCATATTTGTGCCATCGGTGTAGAGAAACATATAATCCTGATAAGAGTTGACAATTCTGTTACATTCTCGAAGATAAAGAGATGGGTGAGTTTCTTCCTTGTTATAGACTGTTAAATCTAATCTGACGTTAATATTAGGCACTTTCCAGGGAGAAACCTCAAGCGGCTTTAATGGTAACATGCATGGTAGGTAAGCATTTATTAATCCAAGGATGTGTTGAACATTCCACCAAATGGGTTTATGTAATCTTCCCCAGTCATTTAGTGATCTTACGTTACTAAACATGATATCATAGTTCATATTGCCAGGAATCTGGTGGATGTATTAAAGTTGGAATTAAATTGCATAAATGCATTCAGAAGTTATTAAAGAATCTATCAACTTACTATACTAAATTTTGCTTCATAGCTTTTGACCTGGTTGTTTTGAAATTGTTCATCGAGTACAGATAGTAAAAATGTACCAAAATATTCAATTGTAAGGTTACAGTTAGAAAAGGTGCAATATTGTTGGCACTTCGAACACAGTACCCATGCACTCCCACCAGATCTGGGACAAACAATACCATTTTATGATTTAACTTGTCCAATCCAATCTAAAAATCAAGTCTAAATCTGTTCTACTTATTCCATTCCATAGTTTTATTTTGAAGTGACTACTTCTTATCTCTCGGTATGCATTATATATGAGGTAACACACGGATTCCAAAGCTGGATATATATTACACCGCCAAGCTTACGATCCAAACGTAATAAATCTACCCTATTTTCTGAGGTATTTGTCTAGGTATTTGTGGAAAATTCTTAAACATTTTTACTAACCTATGAGATTGACTAAAAAAGGGCTTATGAAGATATTGGTCCTTTATTGAACCGAATCAAGTTTCTTTTCGCTTTTTTACCTTTTAAAATATGTCGACACTTAAAACAACCCAAACTACTAAACGCCGTGTTACGTGATACCAAAACGTCTATGATAGGTCCATAGTTATTATTATGGAAATATTTGACTTGTTTTTATGATAAGTTGTGACGTCCTGGCTAGAATAATACTTACTTGTACATGAATAGGCCATCGAGCAACATCTGGAAAACAGCGTGCGAATGTAGGATCCCGGTGCCGATTTAAATAACCAAGAAGAGCCGGTTGAAACGTAGGAGAGGGATTAATAAATGACAAAGCGATTGTAAGCAACTCCCAACCTCTTAACAATGACTCACGCCTCGGATTTTCGGTAGTTTGTCGACACAGTTGCAAAAATAGTTCGTCCCTTAGCACACACTGTGTGTACGACACTGTGATAATTTCAACCAGAAGGGAGTTAAGAGATATGCCGGGCCTCGCTTTGCGATCTCCCATGTACATCTGAACCTGCCGAAACATTTCCAAAGCCTGCCTGGCGTAAGGTTTGCTCGAGGCAAGTAAAGGGCGTGTTAGACTTCGCGAGGACCAGCTTAGAAGTTCTCTAACACTGGCTTTGCGTCGAAATAAGCCTCTACCGCCCAAGTTTAAGTTGTCCGCGGCAAATTTCTCCATGTCTCCTTCCCTTTCTGGTTGGAGAGGTGGTTCCGGTAAAGGTTTTGATGATGGAGTACATGGTTGCTGACGAGGCTGCTCAGGGATAGCCACTGGCAAATTTAAATACTCTACTGGTCGTACACGATATGGTAAGTAACTGCCCTCAGATTGATCTGAATCTTCATTGTCTGGTTCATGTCCAGTAAGAGATTCGCTTCCACTATCCGAGTGTTCGCTATCTGTATCTCGATTATTAGTCAATAAAAAATGTTCTAAGGGAAGTAGATGTGAATCATGCCAATTTGAATATAAGGGTGCTTCGGGGGCGCACTGACTGAAACTGCTGCTACGACATAAATCACTAGACTTCCGCCTCAACTGGGGGGTACTTGCGGATAAACTTAAAGCTTGTACTCGTGAATGAGATTCACCAGTTTGCGTACCCTGATGGTTTGTTGGTGTAGTTTTACAATCGGTATTATGTTTTAAAGTTTGTAGTTTAGCCAAAGGTATGATATCGCAGTTGGTCGGTTTATGCCATACAGTACACTGTGAACTCGCATTGTAATAATAGAAACGAGCTGTATTTGAATCGAATAGCTCCCACCACTGATTAGAATTTGTACGCTTCACTGGTACGCCTTCAGGTGGATCCCATACACATTCTCCAGTTGTTAAATTCGCATACATATGTTCTCTCGTTTTGGGTTCGATAATTTCGACCCACTCGACTCTGCAATTAATTATGATTAGTTTCACTTCAAGTCGAGAATGTAATGGTACCTGTAAGTGCCAGTGGCCATTTTTTAACATATTTTTTATTCAACAAATTGATCTGGCCCTTGTAGTTAAAAAGTAGGTCCCAGTTTCACTCATGATGGCAAAAGGTCCGAACCAATTGTTAATCAAATTATATTTATGATGTCCGCATTATGTCTGTGTAATTTGTTTATCATCTATGACATTTATTGCATATCAAAATATTACACAAAATATTATATGGGAAGGGCACAGCCATTATTTATTTTAACACCATACGGCAGGGCTGGCTTCAGCTTCAACGACCTCATTTATATTTAATAACTCCCATTAGAAAATAGAAATTATTTATTTGTTTCATCCGAGCATTCTCTTTGCGGAAGCTAAGATGGTTATTAGATAAAATTTACTCATAAGAATGGAATTGTGGTAAGAAAACATCAAATTATAAATAAATACAGTGACGTACTAAGTGAAAGTAGCGAAACATCAGACAAATTTGGTTGCATTCGGTTACATACGATATTTTTATCAGAGCATGCAGTTGTGTTGAATATTTTAATGCCCCTTTCTTTACACTGTCAAATTTAAACAAAACTTGGAACCCATATGGATTATAGGTTCCGGTTTGGTTCCCTTTAATGTAAAATTCTTTTTAAAGGTCCCGCTACCGGTTCTGGTTCTGTAACTCCATTAATTTTCGGTTTTGGTTCCAGTTTTTAAGGGTTCCAACATAAAAAAATAATATATATTTTTTCAGAAGAGAAGGAGAAAGCTGCGCGCTTAGAGAAGGAAAGAGGGCTGCGAGCGACCGGGATAGGATCGCCGCCGACCGTGTCAAATATTGACAAAATGTAAATAATAACACGATGTTTTCTATACAGAGGGCTTCGTTTTTATTGATGATGTACACATGTAATCCACACGCCACTGCCACATACACTTCATAAGAAGTTAGGTATGGTCACCACAGACATAACCTAACAAACCATATTATGTATTGTTTACATCTCGGAGTAAGAACTAATTTCTTGCTCTGAGATTTACATTGTTTAATCCTTGTATAATTTTGTTCTAATTTGGGATAGTGTTTCGGGGTATTAACATGGAAGGCCACACATCAAACGAAGATGTACTCTCAGAAGCTTACAAACAGAAAAAGGTTTTAGAAAATGTATCAAATTGGCAACTGGGGGAGAATCCCCTAACAGAAATAACGGAAGAGCAGTTAGATATCTTGTACCAAGTGAAGGATTTAATTGAAGAGAATTACTACGGAATGTCAAAGGTGACACTTTTTAGTATTGGGTGATCGTTAAAGTTTGTACTTCATTTTTAGACAGAGGACCAAAAATCAGTACGTACCTTGGAACAAAATAAACTGGATATTCCTACAATTAATACACACAAGGATTACGTACAGTGGATGGTGAACGTTGAAAAAGAAGTGAACCTGGAAAACTTAAACGATTACTTTGTCTTTCACGATAAACTTGAGAAACAGTCTTTGGAATGTGAAAAGTTATTTAAACATGTATGGTGTAGGTGTGTAATGTTTTGGTAGAATTTTCTTTTTCTTCTGTAGGTGGAGGATACATCGAAGTCAGTCGAGTTCTTACATGAGCAATATCAGGATGTGACTGCAAAAACGGATTCATTACATAGCCTTAGTGAGCAGCTAATGAAACAGCAAAAGATTCTAAAGGATAAAAAGGCGGGTTTAACGAAGCATCTCCATTATTTCAAGTTGTATCGCACATTATTAAGCAATGTTAATCACTATTCTTCTAACGTTAGTAGCGAGGAATTTATGGAAACGCTAAATCAGATTGACGATTGTATGAGTTACATTCAACTGCACGTTAGTTAGTTCTTTAAAAATAATACCCCCTCTTTAACATTGCAACTTGCAGCCTAATTTTAAAGAATCAAAATCCTACACTGCGAAATACGAAAATATTCTTGCAAAAGCGGTGATATTTATCAAAAGGTACTTTAACGATGTTGTGGCTAGTGCAACAAAACAAGTCACAGATCCAGATAAAGCAACTAATTTGTTAGCACCTGGTAATGACGAATCTCAACAAGTGGAATCTGCTTTTTCGTTATACTACGGTAAATTCCAAAGTGCTGCCGCTAAAGTAAAACCGATAATTAATCACATTGAAGCTAAAGTGGATAAGCATACAATGTAGGAGAGATAATTGTAATTTTTTAGTATTATGACTTGGTGTTTTAGGTATCAGCAGTTACTTTTCGATTGTCAGCAGACTTACTTTTCGTTGAGATCGCCGATTATGACTGATGCAGTTACTAAGGCATTATTGGATTTAAAAAATAAGCATAAATCCGATCACAGTATACTGTTTAGATCTGCTGGGTTGTTTGTAATGCAAATTTGTCAAGATGAATCTACTTGTTTTAATTACTTTTTCTCCAGCAATTGTCCACAGCTTGAGTACATATATAAATAGTCGTCTTTATGGTCTAACCGTTTTCTTGCAGCGAGTATTTTGGAATATTATCTCAGCAGTTGTATGACATGCTCCGACCCTGCTTGATAAGCATTTACCATTTGGAGGTTCTGACTGAACTATGCGGTATTCTGAGAGGCGAAATGCTAAACGATCAAATTCAGAATAATGGTAAGTCGATAAGACAGTTACTGGTTTGCAACAATCAATTTTGCAGAAATCTTGAGGAAATTTAAAGAAGTTATACTCCAACTGCTAGAGGACATTGAAGAACGTCTCGTGTTTCGTACTAACATCTTTTTCCATAATGACTTGAAATTATATCAACCTTCACCTGGTGATCTTGCGTACCCTGATAAATTAGAACAAATGGAGGTGAGTGCTTGGGCAAGCGGAAATTGGTACCATTGCTAGTATTTTACATGCTTCGTCAATTCTAGTTTAGATCTGTGAGGCACAGATCCAAAGGATAACATAAAAAAGATTTTGCAAAATTTCGTTTTTTCCGGATATTTCCGAAAGTAGTCGACATTTTTTCATATATGTCCCAATTTCTCTATCATGCTCTTTCACTGGTTATGAGTTATTTGAAAAGCGGTTCTCCGAGTCGAAAATGTTCCTTCGCGTATATTTTACCACATCGCGACAACCGCGCTCGCTTTCTTCAATGCCTTTTTTATCGCTTATTACCGCCAGACATACTTTGGTTCACGTTCGCTATGAAGCGGTATATGTAATTTTCCTATGTTGAACAAAATTGCTCAAAACTAAATTTTTGAAACGGCAAAGCGCCAACTTCTCGTTGAACCTCTCGGAAGGGTGATTCAAAAAATGTGATTCAGTGATCGGTTTTATTCGTATTTTCATTTTATTACTCATTCTCTTGTCTTTTCACAATGTTTATATTTATAAATCGTCATCATACAGTTTCTCAAACACACAATGCACAATTCGAAAAGGGTTTTGTGAATTTTAATTGGTCCAAATTACAGCTCCACATATTTTAACTTTAACAATATTTACAGAATATTACGGAGGAATTGGAAAGTCGCGCCGAGTCAAGGGGATCGTTGGAGTCTCAGGAGGTTGCGAACATAAACGCCAGGCAAGTGGGACAGTTCCGTTCATATACAGGAAGTATGTTTTGTGTAAACTGACGAGCTTCCTTTAATTTTGTTAAATTGGAAATAGATTCGCCTGCAGATTTACATGGCATGTGGTATCCCACAGTGAAGCGTACCCTAGTCTGTTTGTCGCGTCTTTACTGTTGTTTGGATCGCGAAATATTTCAAGGATTGGCTCAAGAGGCACTGTGCATTTGTGTTGAGACGATCGCAAAAGCGGAAAGTCTAATATCTGCCAGAAAGGTAACCTATTAGGATAATTGCCTGTTTATTTATACGGTCTTTGTGCAGACTTCTTTGGACGGACGTCTTTTTCAAATCAAACATTTGCTAATTTTACGCGAGCAAATTGCTCCATTCCAAGTCGATTTTACGGTAAAGGAAGTCGGTCTAGATTTCAGCAATATAAAAACGGCTGCGATGGGATTAATTCAGAACCGAAATAATTTATTTACCTTTAGTAGTCATAATGCTGTTTTGGAATTTTTACTGGAAGGCACTCCCAAGGTTAAAGAATACTTAATAGATTCCCGGAAAGAAATTGATAAACAATTGAAAGCGTCATGTGAAGCTTTCATTGCTAACACAACAAATTTGTTAATCGGAGACGTTTTGAAATGGATCCAACAAGTAAGTATACAATTACAGTTAACGTCTTGCTAAAGTCTTGCTTTAGGCTAACAGTTACCTGCAAAATGCCAATTCTCCTAGTCCATTACACAGCGAAGAGTTTGGAAAAGCGCAAATTCTGTCCAGAATTATTAGCGAAGCCAGAAAAAATATAAAGCTGAAAATTCCAGAAGTTCAACGTGGTATGCAACTCTATCTTGCTAACAAGGAAACAGAATTTATACTCTTCAGGCCTATAAAGGTAATTGCGAAATCTGATTTATTTTTCCCAATTCTTTTTTTAGATTAATATTATGAATGCGTTTATGCAAATCGAAACCATTTTGGAAACTGCTAAATATAGCCACGAAGATCAGCTAATTGTGGCGTGTCCGACTCCTGAACAAGCAAATGTGTTAATTTGCTCGGTATCATTGGCATCTGAGCAGGATAGTCAGGATTTGAGTCGATCAGCTTCTGTAGTACCCAAAGTTGCAAAAGATGTATCTGCACAATAATGTGCATCCATTACTAGGATTTGGATTGAGTAATAATTTAATAATTATTATTCCAATAGTTTTTCATGAATATTTTCAATACAGTTTGTTGTTGTTGTCAACTTGCCTTTCTATTACAACATTGTTAATTACCGTTCAAATTTATTCAGTACCAAAAGCAGTCTCATCACAAAGGTAGGTTTAGTCAGCTATTTCATCTATATTTACGTGACGGTGTATGCAACAAGAGCGATGATTAAGTTACATTACAAATTACATGATAATGGACATTGGTAGGTATCTACTTTCTGTACATATGTGCTAAATATGTGTGATATCTTCATCATAAGACTAGAATACGTTCAGGCGTAGACAGTGCCAGACTGTTGTGAATTCTCGAACGAAAGAGAGTTATAAGCTCATAACTTGTATGGTGGGATATTGCAATTGGAGCATATCTGAACAATGTAGTCATCTTTTCTGCAACGGTAGCCAACAGTACAGTAGGGAAGAAACGTAAAATAAAACACTGTAATGGGGTAATAGTTTAATAGTCAAGAATATCGAATGAGCAATAGTAAACTTTGTTAGCAGAGTCCCACCCCTAGGCCCAATGAGCTGGTCCTTTGTGCAGGAAATGCATGTGTATGTTAAAATTCAAGTACAGTCTTAAGGTACCTTTACACTATAATATATCTCACATGATTTTTTATATGATATGTTATATGATATTTACTACCAACATATTTTTCGTATGAGTTTTAATGTTTTACTTTACACTTGACAGGTTTTTTTTTCGAAATTGGTTTCTAGTCTATAACTTTTGACTGAGAAGTCTAATCGAAAAAGTACGAATTGTTTTGGATTCTACGCACCGAAATTAATACGAAAAAGTGTTTTCCCCAGAAATTTTGGTGCAGTCGATTTTTGGAAAAAAGGAAGGTTATACACTGCCTTTTTTTTGCCCCGAAAAAAAAATTCTCTCAGATCGACCGGAAAAAAATTTTTCTTATAGAACGTGGCCTGTAGAATCCATAATTTCAAACAGTTCCAAGATTGGGCTACTAGTTCAAAAGTTACAGTTAGGGAATGCAATCCCGCAGCAAAATCTCAATCCCGGTATTTGCGGGATCGTTAGATGTTAATCCCGCGAGAACCCGGTATTTGCGGGATCCCGCAAAATTTTAAATAAATTGGCAAATAAGCAATTTTGTGCGGTTAACTTCCGTATTAAAATAAATCGCTAATTATCACAATAAATATTCAACAAAAAAGCACCTTCAGGCTAACTTAGAACTCAAAAAAATCACCTGTAAAGCACAAATAGGTGAACTTCTAAAGGGCCTCAAAAATCATAGTGCATTTTTAACGAAAACAGTTTAACAATTATTTTAAAAATAATTTCTCCGTTATGCGTTTCATTAACAAACTTAGACCATATAGTACATGGACTGCTATTAGCCCTATGCTTTCAATACAAAATGGGTGGTCACGGCTAGAGGGCACTGTAGTCGTGGGTATGTGAATCTCAGGGTAAACTAAAGTCGTATGAACACCACTCGGATCGCGTAAAGAGTAGCTTTTATGGTAACCGCGTAGTACGGGAAGCTTTAAATACTCTTCATTATATTCTATACGTCCACAAATAAAAATAAGTTTGCTTTTTTTGGGATATCTAGGTGATTAATTAATTGACGTTTGTTAATTTATAGGTTGACAGTCTCAAATCGTGTCTCATCGGACAACTTCGGACAGACTCGTTTACCCTGAAACTCACATACCCAGGCGATGTCCTTGACCATATTATAGTTACAATTAGCAGTCCATGTACTATATGGTCTAAGTTAACAAAGCAAACAGAGTCGTCCCCTTGGTCGACATTAAGGATGAGTGTACCCTTATTTGAAAGATTACCCCAAACATTTGAAGGGTTAATTACCAATCAAGACACTATTTGACAATGTGTGTCTGAAAACACCACTACAACCAAATACCAATATACTCGTAAATATTTATTGTTTATGTAATTTATTCTTTCATTAGTAACTAATATACCTATAATCATTGATTATACACACCTATAATCAATGATATAATCAAAAGTTTACTGGTTTACTCATAAGTATTCAGCTTTTTCAGATAAGTACAACAGCAAAATGCGAAAAGTAACCATAAAAGGGCGGGATCACTTGGATATTTAAAATAAGTCATGTCATTTGTCATGCAGAAATAGAAACATCCCTATTCCACGATTTACATATTATTTCCATATTATTTCCTTACGATTTGTCTTATGACAGCCATAATACCAAAAAAAGTATAGTGTAAACACAAATCTAAATGCTTGTTACTTATCATATGACAAATCAAATGAGAAGTATGATAGTGTAAAGGTACCTATAGATGTCGTAACTGTTTCGGTTACAGTGTTTCTATTCCTGATTTGTTTGGTTGTCTTGGTAGATTTGTGCGCCACTGAGGTTGAATGCGACCAATAATTGTTTCTTTCGTCAGTGCCCTCTCTGTTCTCCGATACGCACGAACAATTTGAAAGCAGACATACAAAACTGTAAACGAGGATAGAAGATTCTGATATACGTAAACGCAAACAAGGAGAAATCGCTCTCTCCCGAATGTGTGGATAAATATCACGCCTATTTTTATTTAGTAAATTGATTTCGGATTTAATTTACTGTTACAGTTCGACAGCAATATGTAAATCGGGGCGAATAACGCGTGTTTAGTTAGTGTTGATAGTGTTAAAATTCGAGTGCAGTTAGAAACGTAAACATGGCTACTAGTCTACATATTTTTTATGCTTACTACTTAGGGCAATGAATGTAATTATCTGCAAAGAATATTGGATTTACATTATGACATCCAATATACTTATAGGACACTCAGGTATGTTAATCAAACCAAATTTCTCTTTTCATCTGTAAAAAATATGGTCTCTGAATCTTCCTTGACCTGTGGCAATTTTCAAGTTATGTTGTCGATGATGAAGTGTATCTTTTTAGAGGAGTGCGGCCGTTTTGCAGGCATCTGTCTGCATAAGTGATGAACCTATTTGGTTGTCTCTTCCCGTGTGCACTGCAGCACAGCTGGTGGAGTGTAGGCAGTGAGCAGTGCATGACTGAAGAATTTGTTAGCAGAATGGGTGCAAATGCTTCGTCTACTACTGGAGACTCCGGAGGACTGCATGGTATGGGGCTGAACGACTCCTCGATATCTGGATACCGTGATTCGATGGGTGTGATCGTTAGGTATGTTGTGACTTGGAGGTTAAGTTTACCTTTTGATCTTGCACAATTGAGGTTTTCCCGGAGTTGTGGTATGGGAATTTGAGGCACGTAAATTTTAGTTGATTCATGCAGAACTGAATGTTGATTGAGTGGATTTTCCTCTGGATTTTAGCAATTTTTGCCATTACCATACTTTCTTTTATGCAGAGGTGTTGAAAGTAAAATTAACTGTAATGCTGTGATTGGCTCAAATTTTGATTATTCCTGCAAATGTTTGGGAAAAGCACGACATTAACTGCCCATTCCTGTCTCACACATTGAGTTTAATGAGTTAGGTATATTAATAAACTATTATCATTTACTGCCATAACTATTAACTCTCTTGGATTATCCAAATGGTTCCTCAAGTTAGTTTAAGATATAGTTCTGAGAAATTATCCACTATGTTGGAATTTGTAACGAAAGACTGAAGACTGACTGGATGTCAAAATTGTGAATTTAAACCATCCGACACAAAAAAAATGTCATCAAAATCCGACCAGCCATTTAGTTCAGCCACAAACACATGTAGGGAAGAATTTTCAATACAGGGTGTTCCTAAATATGAAGTGCATATGAAAGGGGCCAATTCAAAGGTTTTTTTATTGTTATTGTTGAATAATCTGTGGTTTTCAAAATAAGTATACAGGTCGAGATATAGGGTAAAGAAAAAGCTTCGAATGATTAAAAAAATACAAAATAGTTTCTAAAACATTTTTGATATTTTAATATATATATTAAAAAATTTTTGGATCTTAAATTTTTCGAATTTGTTTAATGATATACTTATTCGAGGTTATATTTCACATACTTTTTAGATTAAAATGTTCAAGGTGTTCCATTTAAAAAATGAGATGAGATCCGACAACTTTTTTACCTAACCCCTTTCCGAAGGGGCAGATTATTTGAATACTTCCAAGTGGGCTTTGCAATATTTCCGGAAATATCGCATGGTTAAAAACGAAATATTTCCCATAAATTCTTGAGAACATTCTTTTTTTATTACATTTTTTTATGTATGTTAAATAAACAATTTAAAACTTGATGCGTTGTATTGTTTTAAAAAAAATAACTTTATTAACAGATTCATTGGGTTGGTATATTGTAATCTGTATATGTAGAATAGCAAGTATAGAAGATGAATATTACCGAAAATTCCCAAGTATTCTCGAAAGTTTCCGAATATTCGCAACGATAAATAAATTACGGGAATTTTACAACACTACCTGAAAGGGGTTGATTGAAGCGCGCCAACGAAGTTTTATCGGTTGTTTGCCCTGCATTCAATTAAATATGCAGTAAGCTGGCGTCGCATTTCACTATTTGTGCGTAGTCATACTGTAAAAAATAAGGTAATCACTTTTTTTTGTATTATTAGCGTGCCTTTAAGGGTGGTCGTTTAAATAGTAGGAAGAAACTCCTTAAAGAGTCGGCACCTTCCTATTCTGGAAATGTCATTAATATTTTATGTGCGAACCACCTAGACCTAAAAGAAAAAAAAAAGTTTGCAGTTTAATATTCATTTTAAATAATGAACACCTTATAATAGTTGGGCGAGGGGTAAAGTACTTTAAATTTTGGGTACACTAAAATTCTAGGAAATTTCAAAAATTGTATAAAATATATGTGTGTGCATGTGCGTTTGGAAAAAAATTCTAAAAAATCTTAAGACAAGTTCTAAAAAATTCTAGAAAACGCTTTTTTTGCTGCACGAAGATTTATACAGCACAGTGTGATTTGGCAACACATCACCACCATGTCCTGAAATGGCATCTCATAACTCACAAAACCTCAAAGGACTTAAAATGTGTACACTGTAATATATACGAAGTTCGCAGGGTCTGATTGCTGTCTGTATGTCTCTTATGCCTGCGTTCATCCGATTGTGCTGAAACTTTAGAGAATGGTTGGACGTATGTTTGGAAACGTTTCTGAGTTAATAAAACGGTATTCTAAATTCCCACGGGAACAGGAACAAAAAACACGTGATTTTATGTTATACAGTCGAAAAGAGACATTTAGAATATAGGTTTCTTTGAAGGTGTATTTCGAAAGAACTTCCCATGGGTAAGGAGATTGGCGAAAGGCCTACGAAGTTCGTACCCCCTTACGAACTTCGGCGGGACTGCTAGCATTTAATTATTTGTTAATCGGCGGTTTCCAGTTTTGTTTAAATCGGGCCGGTTGTTTACATTGTTTAAAAAGTGCAAGACTTTGCTCATTTAAACTAATCTCTATCTTGAATAATAACAAAGGTACGCATAAAATTCTACTGGATCTGAGACACCCTGTATAACCCAAGAAGCTCACTTCTTTTCTAACCATTGGATCCTTAATTTAAAGAATGGAAGGGCTACTTGTAGCAGTGCCGTAACTAGGCATTTTTCGAAGGGGTGCCGGATCAGGTTTTGGCGCCTTATCACTTACCATTGAGCTATAAAACACCGTACATTTTTGAGAGAAACTTTACACGAAATTTTAAAAGCACTGCGCTACTTAAATTTTAGAAAAATGCTTTGAATAATTAAGTCTTTCACTCAACGAAGAATAGAAATACGTTTATTTATATTGTTCCCAATTCTCGCGTCAAATTTAGCTATGACATAGGATACAAGTCGTAGAAATGATTGCGTCTTAGAATAAGGGTGCAAATGCTGGTCACACTAATACAGACTATTGTATAGATCACAAATAAAGTATTATTATTATTAGTTTAAATTTGCAGCCTTTTCCTACCGCTGTAACTTTGTTCTACAAGGGCCATTCAGAAAGTAGCAGACGGTTTGAAATAAAAAGTTAAGAAAGTGTAAGAAACAACTTTTATTATATACATTTGGAAGCTACACTCTTAGGGTATTTTTCAACATAGTCGCCATTCATATTGAGGCGCTTATCATAGGGTGGTACAAGTGTTTTGATTCAAACTTTGTATACCTCCGCCGTCTGTGGGGGCGTCAGAAGTGGGTACCAACAAAGGGAATGTGGTAGCCCCCTGACAAGATCTTATTGATTGTGGAGTCAAAACTGGCTAATAAAACTACTGATCTGCCACACAAAAATGCGCTGAAATCCCTTGGATGTTCCGTTCATCCTAAAGGACCGTAAATTTAGTTTTAATTATATTTCACTGCACCCTGTATTCGTCTTTAGCAAACTATTAGAATTTAACCGCCGTTCTTGTCTTTTATGACTGGCCTATACGGTACACCCTCCCCCATTCAGAGCGCGGTGCCGCGGCACCTTTGGCACCTACCTAGTTACGCCACTGACTTGTAGTATGTAGGCGTAGGGAGATGTGCTCTATTGCTATCACTTCTGTGTATTTTCCAAGGGAACAAATGGAGAGTTACATACAATACATTTAAAAAGTTTTATTTTTGGGGTAGTATGAAGTAAAAGATTCTCTTACGTTTCAGGGAAAGAAAAAAGAAGGTGGCAGGATTAGCAACACTAAAAAAGAAATTTATTAGGCGGAGACGTTCATCGAAAGCGTGTGATCATGGTCGCATGCTTCGTGAGTTAGTTTCGGATTGGAGTCCGTTAGAAATAGCGGCGTTGTTAGAAGAATATGAAGCTTTAGCGGCCTTGAAAGATTTATGTGTGCAGGCCGAATTAGCGAGGCCACCCGCGGCGACCTTCAAACAAGACTTATCCGCCCTGTACGATTTTAAGTATTGCACGGACGCTGACCTAGTTTATCGCGGGGCGTGTTTTCCCATACATCGCGCTTTATTATCGTCTAGGTGTCCGTACTTTCGGGATTTGCTGGCGGGCTGTCCGGGATACGGCGCTAGGATTTGTCTCGAACTGAGAACGACGACAGTCGATGTACAGTTATTTTCCGCTTTGTTACGTTATCTCTATACGGGTGATATATGCCCCCATGATACAAATATAGATTTAAATTTGCTTAGACGCTTACGTGAAGAGTTTGGAACACCTAACGCTTTAGAAACAGATCTGCGATATTTATTAGAAACCGGCGACTACGCCGATGCCGCTCTTGTGTTCACATCAGATGGTTCAGACTGCCAAAGACCGGATTCGGGAAGTTCGGAATACGGATTTAGACCTAAGTTAGAACTGCCGTGCCATAAAGCAATTTTATCGGCGAGATCTCCTTTCTTTCGCAACTTGCTTCAAAGGAGATCTCGTACAGGTGAAGAACATACCGAAAGAGCTCTGCATATCATTACGAGAATTGTTTTGGATGAAACTGTGATACCAAAACGGTAAGTTTACGAGAAGTGGTCGAATGCAGTAATTATTGCGTCGATTTATTAGATATGCGAGAGTACTCCTTAACGCCATTTATTTGGATCAAGTCGACCTATCGCTTATATCAAGAGGGGGATGTGGCGGAGGCCTCGGTGAGGCGCAAGCTTTAGCTCATACGGGACGAGCTAGACCTTCGCCTCTCGAGGAAGCAATGGAATTGTACCAAATTGGCAGATTTTTGGAGTTGGATATACTGTCTCAAGGCTGTGAAGATCTCATTCTTGAATGGTTGTCATTGGAAACTTTATCTGTGGTATTGCAGTGGTCCCATCAACCTCACGGTTCCGCATGGGTTCATCGACAAGTAAGTTCTACTTCAAATTAAATAAATATGCGGATATCCCGAAAAGGCCACCGACATGGTAGTAAACTGACCTTTTACTATTCATAATTTTGTGAGAGGTTATCATCAATATTTCATATCAATTTCCAGTAAATTATGAAAGAAATTGACCTACATTTGAAAACTATTGATGATTACCGATGGCCTTGATTCGAAATCTTTCAGAATTCAAATGATGTCATAAGTTGATATTACCGCAATGGACTGCTAAGAAATAAATTTAGGTATTTTAACTTCATTATTAGTGGTTTTGGTTTATTTTATTTACTCATCGGTAAAGGGCCAAGTGTTGCAGCATTATGCAATTCATAATCTTTCATTTTGTGCAAAAATTCCATTTTATCATCAACTTGTTTGCATTCTTCAATAAGGTATTGCTAATATGGAAGACATCTGTGATTTCAATAAACCTGAAAAAAACTGAAATTTTTCTCAAGTTAGAATGGGTTTAGACGAGGGTTTAGAACGATGGCAGGACGCCATTTTCACCAATGGATATATTTCTTGCAGACGTCTCAATCGCCCTTTGTGAGTACCCCCTTCCGACAATCTGTTCTTGAGGTATAAGGGAATATACTCGATCACGATAAGAGATCTAGAAGGAGTGCTATGGTTGTTAGAAATTAATTCCTTTCGTTGAGACCTGTCATTAGAGTACCATGAAGGATAAAACTAATTCCACTCCTCCCCTTCCCCTCCACCCAACTTGCGTTTAAACCAGCACTTTGCCACCAATCTGATTCTTGCACGCTTCTTAACAACGTGATTGAAATTGAGTAACAACTAATCGTTTCTGTATTTTCACTTAAAAGAAAACTAGTTACAGTTTACAATGAACTCCCACGAAAGAATGTGATGGTTCTTGAATTGTTTTCAATCGCAAATACATGAAATAAAATTATACATAACCCCCCAGCATTATATTAAAAGCGGCAAACCAGCAAAGAAGGGCACAGTAACCATTTCCCTGTGATCCGCAGTATCCTTATGGTGGTGAGTACACCAAAATGCCATGCGCCTGCTTTCATAACTTCGCTAAGAATTCAATTTCAGCGCGTTTAAAATGGTACGCGATGGTTCGCTAAAATCAGCTTAGACTGAATTTTCAACCACATAAAAATTCACAGTGCACGTGATCGCTCGCGAATGGGTCTTCGACTCCCCCTCCCTTTCACTTCTTTCGCTATTTGAATCTAGAATATGGCAACCGCGCTCGCATTCCGAAATAAGTTTCTGGTTATCGCCAGACATCCTTTCGTTCACGTTCGCTATGAGGCGGCACATGCGGAATATATTCATCAAAATTCTTAGCAGGACCGTATATTATACTAGTACCAGAACACATGTAATTTATTAATATAACATAAAAGATGAATAATATTTAGGCGCTGCACTTCCTACGTGAAGAATTCCAAGCGGTCACGCAATCGTCCGTACTTCATCAGTTGGACAAAGTGCAGTTGAGCCAGGCACTAAAGAATCCCTTTCTACAGGCGAGCGAATTGGAAGTGCTGCACGCCGTTCTGAAATGGGGCGAGCACGAATTGATTAGAAGAATGGAAGATCGAGGTAAGGGTACTTTTAAGTTAGCGAGCTTTCTGATTAAAGGTGTTTTATTAGAACCGAACTTGTTAAATCATACGGCTCACTCGGTGACGCGTAAAGGTGTGAAAAAGAGAGATTTGAGTGACGTTGAATTGCGGGAAATACTTTCCGATTTGCTCCCTCTGGTGCATATTGATCATGTGTTGCCTCCAAATAGTGATATATTAAATCAGGCTATTCGGCGGGGTTTAGTTAGCACTCCTCCCAGCCATATGATTGGAGGGGATGAGAATTTGCGCGTTAACGCCTGGATTCGGGGAGGTAAAAATAATGGACTGTTTGTGAGGCCGAGACTGTTTATGCCATATTATGAGGAAATAAAGGTGTTAGTGGAAGATCAGTTGGTAGAGGAGGTCGAGCTGTTACGAATGCGAAGGGCGCGATACATGCAAGACATTCCCGATACGTTGTACATGGTGGAGGACAAACCGAGGGTGCACGGAGCTGCAGGAGTCGATGTTCTGGCCGCGGCTTTACCCGTACCGGACCCCGTGATAATGAAGGCCATGTTGAAGAGAGAGCAGAAGTTGCGTCAATCTCCCAGTTGTCAACGCGCCATAAATATGCCGTTATCGTCTCGTCACGAGATAAATAGACAAATCAGACTTAGGGTTGTACGTGAGTTTAATTTACCTGATCCTGTCGCCGATATGTTAGAGAGTTGTTTTTGTGTTCCCGATCCTGGTGATAATGATATTAAGAATGTTAACGAGGATGTGTTAGTGCAACCTTCTCCGAATAAGATCGCAGGTGGCTCCAGAGGAGGATACGGGCGAAATATGACATTTCCCCGTCAGGGAAATTTTCCACACCGTCACGAGCTACCGGCCGTCGTACCTGAGGGAGACTTTCGTTTTCAAAATGAACCCGAAAGCAGTTCGTGCAGCGATGGGCATCTCTCTGATATTATGCCAGACGTAGCAATGGCAACGGCAAGTATAGGACAGCTTCAATTGCAGGAGCAGCAGGAGATGGAGTTAGACTTAGGTGACGGTGCCACACACATTCACAGCTCGATAGCAAATAATCAAGGACTTCCTAACCCTCTACATCACCCGTTGGGTTATCACAGGTATGCGCCTAGTACGTACCCTCATCATCGATCTGATTCACAAACCTATCATGCACACATGCCACGTTTTTTATAGTTTTAAATGAGTTTAATGATCTTAACATGTCTGTATAGTTTCATAGCTATTAGATTGTTAAAGGAATAACGTACAGCTGTGATTTTTAAGGTTTAAGAACCCTTAAAAATTCTAATTTTAGTATTTCCCGTATTTCTTAACTCTTGTTATATTGTTGTTTTTATTAAATCTGTGAACTTGTTTAGTAGAATATTCCATTTGTTTCTTTAAAAATATTACGTTATTAATGTCTATTGATGAGTGATCATATGCATAATTCATGTACCTGTATGTGTGTTTAAGCATTTTTGTACATATATTTATATATTTAAAAGGAAAAACTCGGAATGAATGGTGGTGGACGGTGGGCTTAAGAAAACAGCCAAACAACAGCCAGACTAAAAAATACTCAGTATTTATTTTTCGTATTTAAACGATTAGTTTTTATTTATTATTATTAATTAGGTTTACCACGTTTTGAGATTGCTCGTGTAGTCCTTTTCAAAAGGCAGCACAAAAGTCATAAAGTACAGCGCATTCAACCTATGAAATTTGGTTCCTTTAGTCGAATATCTTAGTTATTTGGAAACGGGTGTAACACTCGAAAATGTAATTATTAAAAAATAGATTTTATTTTAGTAATTTGTCTACTGTATTAAACTGAACATTCGATACATAATTTGTTGGTAGCGTCCGACTGAAGAACCTATTAAAAACAATTTCGGTGTTTTACTTGTCGTAACACAGAATCATTAATGCGGATGCACCACTATGGAATTCAGCAATGTTTTAATTTCTTTACTACACAAAATATGCTTATTCTTGTATACTGAGAACGATGTCGATTGCTTGGCTATTTTCAGTCGATTTTTGATAATTGAACATCACCAATTTAATTTCTCAGTTTCATTTAACATGTGGTCGATTTACGCATATGCATAAAATTGTGTGCCAAATTTCTGCCCGGTACGTATAGGGACCATATACAGTGCCAAGAATCTAAAAACCTTTTAAATCGTCTTATCCTATATTTTTTATTTAAGACAGGGTAATTTTGAAGTGCAACTACACGTTCCAAAGTGGTGTATTCGTAAAGAAAACGTTATATATGTTGAAATAATAGTCTGACTGTTCGGATACGCTGTTAACGCTTTATTCAGAAATTGAATTTCTCTAAAAGTGAAGGTGTACTTAAATATGCAGAATGCTAGTGCAAAATTGAGCATTCCAATTATGTAACAACGAAAGTTATATTTTACTAAGTGCAGTTGAATATCTATTACTAGTACCTACTAAATTGTACTGTACAATAATTCTTTATTGTATTAGCTTAGATATGTTGGTGGCAACTGTTCTTAATTTGGAAATATCCAAAAATGTGTAAATACTTAAATAGTATCGAATAGAGAATCATCTTGGAGGACCATACTGAACTATGAGTTCATAAAATATTTATTAAACAGTTTTAAGTTATACTCTTTATTTTCTTATTAAACATATGTATGTATTCCTATTTATTTAATCTGTGATAAGTTTTCCTGGTTCTCATATTTAGTACTACTACAGATGAACTTACTTACAAAGGTGTGTATGGTGTTTCACATTTCGACAGATATTCAAATAAAGGAAAAACCACAGATGGCCATTTTGTGATATGTAGATGTTGTAATTTCGATATTGTTATACATACGTGTTAGTGTAGAAAGTTTCACGTTACTCCAAAATTTCGTTTAAAATTTGTACAGAAATCTAATTTTTCCTGAATACATAAAACCAGCTCTTTTTTACCGTATATACGTATACGAAAAGTCTGTGGAATTAGCGACATTCTAAGCCGAAAATAAAAAATCGTTAAATAAGAAATGTATAAGGAAAAAAACCTTTCAGTACTAGGCAGTCTTTGTTTCTATTATAACCTTCCATTCGTGAAAAGATTTTATCCATTTTTTCTTCCTCTGCAAACTATTGAATATAAACTGTATATAATATAAATACATATAATATATATTATATAGAATAAACTGTATGAATATTTGTTTATTTTTTTATTTATACATTTTTTGTTTAATTTAAGTGACCAGTTAGAAATGGATAATGAAAAGCGTTTAATAAAAATATGTACTTTACCGACTTCAGTTGTTTAATCTGTCGGGCACCCTCTTTGTATCAGTCATTTTTGTAATCCAACTTTATAATCATACTAGACTTTTATAGGCTCTGTAGCAGCGACTGTGTGGGACTCTTCTAACTAGGTAAGATTTATCCACTAACCTTGTGCCACTTCTCAGATGAGTTAGTCATGGCATATGGCATGGTACCAATCATGAACCCAAACCATGTCTCCACCTCTTGTCTGCCGAATCCATCTTGGACACTCAAAAATAGCATGGTCAGCGGTGTGTGTCTATAGAGACAGACCGTGTTTTCCCCGTGTCCGGTCAGAAACTGGGTAAGATGGTAACCGACCTCTCCGTGTTTCCTCTCTACCCATTTGTCCCTCCCATTAATATTCGCGTCCATGAATTTCTTTCCTCCCACCTTTGCTGCCACTTACATTATTCGTGATCTATCCCCCTCTCCGTTCGTGCTCTAATTGCAATTTGCGCTTATATAAGCACTGCAAATCCTGACTGCCAGCAGTCGCCGCCCCCCATTTCAGTGCTAAACTCCATACTTCTGCTCCAGAAATACCTTCTTCGGCACAAAAACCCCGGCATCTCCCACACAAACACATGTAACAAATATGCTACAGCCCATAGCAACAAAATGCAAGAGAAAATACACAAATAAAAGACCTCAAATTGTATTATAAAAATCAGGTAATCGAATCAATTGCACTTCCAAATTCATAAATACAAACACAAGAGTTGCCTCATAAATGCAAGTGGAGCACGATAAATCAAATCAGGTAGTTCAAGTACAAAACACATCATACAGTTCAAATTAGACAAAACAACTCGTGAAACGGTAAATTGCATGAACAATAAAGATCACATCAAAAGCAAAGTATCAACTTCAATTAATTTAACACGAAAATTACATGTAAGCCTGCCATGAGTAAGTATTCCTGTCAAAGTCCATTATCGCTCAAACAAAATACATAAGCAAAAGAAATGTTACTTAAAGGGCCCTCGTCTCGTATATGCCCAGACACAAGAGCTGCAGTCCGCACGAGATGTGTAAGCAACAGATACAGCGACGAATCGGGCTGTATTATGCACATACTTCCTTCATTGAAATAATTGTAGCCTTTCGACACGGACCACTAATTCTGATTGGACTTTTAAAAGAGGATGTTTAATGCATTTGACGGATCTGAAACCACACTGGGAGGGAGGTAGGAGAAAAATAAAAAAAACTGGTTTTGCAGTTTAGGAAGAAAATAGGTATGGTTCTGTTCTATTGATGTTGTCTGGACCGGATGCTGTAATGCGTCCAATTTTAATGGGGTCCACAATCATTTGGGGAAGTGTCGGACATAGAAAGGGATCATCAGGGGCGTTCTTGCTTTCGACAATAGATTAGCAGCTGCCTTGCTTTTGTTGGTGGAGATTATATTGCCTCATTGATCAATTAGGTGAGGGCTTCGTAGGTTTTTTTGTGACGCCACTACCGACCACCATATCAGAAGCTCGGACCGGAAGTCACTCTGATCCAGTTGTATTCTTGTGGTTTCTCATTGTATTAGTTAATGCTGATCCGTGAATATCGGCCTGATAAAACCCCTGAACTCTCGCGAGTAGTAATTTAAGGTAAAAACCACAATCTAGACATTGTTTAAATGCTTTAATTAAACAATGGTCTAGATTAGACTGTGGCAAAGATATATAGTCTGATCTTGGTAAAATTAACCTATAAGCCAGAGCTGGGCAGTATTCGATTTTGTAAATACTTTTTGGTATTCAAATACTTTTATGGAAGCAGTATTTATAATTGTAACTCAAATACTTTCACAAATATTTAGTATTCGAATGCCTCGCAAAGTATTTGAATACTTTGAGAAGTATTCGAATACTTCACATGGTATTTGAATACTTAGCCTTCCTCCAAAACAATTCTTACTTTTTCGATCAGACTTCTCAATCAAAAGTTATAGACTAGAAACCAGTTTCGAAAGAAAATTCAAAGGACTGTAACTTTCGAACTAATAGCCCAATCTTGGAACTGTTTGAAATTATGGATTCTACAGGTCACATTCTAAAAGAAAATTTTTTTTCCGGGTCGATCCGAGACAATTTTTTCTTCGGGCCTCAAAAAAAAGGCAGTGTACAACCTTCTTTTTTTTACCAAAAATCGACTCCACCAAAATTTCTCGGGAAAACACATTTTCTTATTAATTTTGGTGCGTAGAATCCAAAACAATTCGTACTTTTTCGATCAGACTTCTCAAAAAAAGTTATAGACTAGAAACCAATTTCAAAAAAAAATTCAAAGGGCTGTAACTTTTGAACTAGTAACGAATCTTGGAATTGTTTGAAATTATGGATTCTACAGGCCACATTCTAAAAGAAATTTTTTTTCCGGGTCGATCCGAGACAATTTTTTCTTCGGGCCCCAAAAAAAGGCAGTGTATAACCTTCCTTTTTTACCAAAAATCGACTGCACCAAAATTTCTCGGGAAACACTTTTTCTTATTAATTTTGGTGCGTAGAATCCAAAACAATTCGTACTTTTTCGATCAGATTTCTCAAAAAAGTTATAGACTAGAAACCAATTTCGAAGAAAATTCAAAGGGCTGTAACTTTTGAACTAGTAGCGCAATCCTGGAACTGTTTGAAATTATGGATTCTAGAGGCCACATTCTATAAGAAAATTTTTTTTCCGGGTCGATCTGAGAATTTTTTTTTTGCCTCAAAAAAAAGGCAGTGTACAACCTTCCTTCTTTACCAAAAATCGACTCCACCAAAATGTCTCGGAAAAACACTTTTTCTTATTAATTTTGGTGTGTAGAATCCAAAACAATTCGTACTTTTTCGATCAGACTTCTCAAAAAAAAGGTATAGACTAGAAACCAATTTCGAAAAAAAATTCAAGGGGCTGTAACTTTTGAACTAGAAGTCCAATCTTGGAACTGTTTGAAATTATGGATTCTACAGGCCACATTCTATAAAAAAAAATTTTTCCGGTTCGATCTGAGACAATTTTTTTTCGGGCATCAAAAAAAAGACAGACCTTCCTTTTTTACAAAAATCGACTCCACCAAAATTTCTCTGGAAAACGCTTTTTCTTATTAATTTTGGTGCGTAGAATCCAAAACAATTCGTACTTTTTCGATCAAACTTCTCAAAAAATATCTCAACTAAACTGTACAATTGCTCTACAGATTTTGCAAGACTCCGTCCAACTTGAAATGCCATTTAAGGAAAACTAAGTCCAAGGCACCTATATTTAGGACGAGATTAGGCATTTTAAAAAAATAATGGATGCATAAACCGCGCGTATGAACGCAACCGAATTTAAACGAACTATTCCACGAACGTGACCGGAGTTAAATGAACTATTCCACGTATTGAGGGGAATGGGGAAAGGAAAGTTCCACGAGAACGAAAAGTCCACGCGTCCGGTCTCCTCAAGGCACTGAGTTTTGAGTTTCTCTTTCTGGTCATTTTTGAGTTGAGACTTGCCGATTACAGTTGTACTTACTTTCTGAAAGTAAATATGATCAGTTTAATTCACATTTTCATTGTGAGTGTGTTGTTTTGTACAGGATACTGTGATTCTTGTAAAAATGCAGAAATCTCTTCAAAGTCTTTTACGACACAAGATGCTACAATTGTCACAAATATAGCATATATTTCAGAATTTAGTGTGAAATGTGGATCGGGGTCTCTATCGCATGCATATGCCGATGTTGAAGGTACTGTTGTGCCTGTTTTTGAAACTGCACCAAGTACATTTCAAGTAAGATCTATCAATTTGTTTGCATTCTCTCTTAAACACATTTTTGTAGGTTAGTTGGACTGAGGAGATAAAAAATGCCCGTCGTGGTGAGATCAAGATTCGTTTATTTGATGAAGATGGTTACACTGCCTTGAGAAAAGCATTAAGAGCAAATGAGGACATCTCAACTGTATCGCCACTTTTTTCTGTTTCTGTCAGTCATCCAGGTGCATTCAATGGTCCTTGGTTAAAGAGTGAATTTCTAGCGGTTGCTCTCTCAGTTGTTGTAGCATATTTAGCTTTGAGTTCAAGATCAAAATTGTTGTCATAAAAGTAAAATTGTACATTTTATTGAGATATTTTTTACAATTGTTATTAATTTATACCAACATCGTGTGAAACATGTTTTAATTGTAAATACACACATTTATTTTATTTGTTGTTTATTGCATGGCAAGTACTAATGAAGCCTTTCAAAATCTTCCGGAGAAGCACTACACCAAGTAAACCTTGGGACGCTGTTTGGCTGTTAACAATCTTTGAAAAGTCTGGTTTTCAGTGACTAAAGAAGTTTTAAAAATGTATGGAGAATGCGAAAAACTTCAAACTATCATGAATTTCTAAAAAAACGTGTACAGTTGAAGAATTGAGGCACTGGAAGACTTAAATTGGCATGGATCTTAAATCGTCAATGCCAAGTGAATCATTTTACAAATTTTATTGTGCTGTACAATAGAATATATTAATATTACACTTACGTTATTATTAATATACATGACTAGCATTTCAATATATAAATAAAAAAATTTTAGTTATAAAATAATTACAGTTTTGTACATATAAATTAAATAATCTCTTTTTAATGAGCATTTTTCTGTACATCATTGGATCTCTTGAAAATACCAATAAAGTAATTCTTGAGCCGTGTCGCAAAAGATTTATGAGCTGCCTCAGAACTGTTCCATACCCAATTCCTCAAGAAAAATCCCCATAGGGGTTTTCTTTAAACCAAGCATTTCCACATGATTAGTAATTTTGTTTCTAAGATTCCGTAAACGTAAAGATGCATGGATGAAGATGACTACAATATGAATTGATTAGAATCTGTAAATTTGACATTCCTCGTTTGCTCGTACTGCAGAACGGTAGCAATATTCCCACGAAGAAAATAAGTAAAGATCCTAACATGTACGTTACAAAATATCCACCGCTTAACAACAAAACGACTGACACAATTGGATGTTTTCTTTTAAAATGATTTAACCGTGGTTTATCTCTGATAAGGTACAGTGTTAAAAGTATTATTAAAGTAACTAGTACACCACATGCCATTTTCGTCGGATGAATTACCCTACAATAAAATTAATTAATTATCGAAAAGGGTGTAATGGTACACATACCCTACTATAATAAATGTGATAACTGCCAGAAGAAAATAATTTGTTTGGTAGTACAATAAATTTTTGCACACGCGATTGCCCCATTTCTCTAAATCTTTTACATTTGGAATTTGAAATCTTGCAGATTCCAATAAAAAGTCATCTAGAGTGCGTAAGGGTGCAAACTCAAATTCGGATACAACTTTTTCGCCCATTTTAAATTTTTCAAGTGCTACTGATAATTGACATGTACTACTTCATACAATCAATAGTAATTACATCGGACTTAATAATAGAATTCTTTAAATTATCTTACAATGATGTCATATAAGTACACTTTCATTAAACACACGACATGCACTCGTTCTTCATCGATTACTGCGTCGTTAGCAAAGCTGCACAGAGAGGGCGCTGTAAGATTCGGAAGGGGATGGTACCAGCTTCGTATCTAAAATGTGGTACCAGGCTGTTGCTGTCCCGGTTGTAAAATCCTTAGGGATCCTTGCGCCATATGGCATTCCTCCCCATAGAGTCTGTAGAATGTAAAGCACCACGATTTTCTCATATATAGCGAAAAGAAGCAAATTTTCGAAGGTTCTGATACAAAATGTCTAAAGGATATAAAAAGAAACTTTGATCGCGCGGTTTTTTATTCAAAAATCTCTGGCACTAAATATTCCCTTCAGGATCTCCAAATATTCTTCGGTTGAAATTAACTTTTTCCCTTGCACCTTAACACCAATGCTGTCGCAGTTTCGAATCTAACTTTCGGGTACTGAAAACGTAATCACCCGTGGTTCAACGCGTGCTATATCTTTTTTTCACGGTTTTAAACGAATTTTTATGACAGTTCTTTGACTTTAAGTTTGTCCTGGCTCAACTCATAAACCCCCAAGTTCACTTAGAACGAACTTTGGACGAGTTTCTTTTATTTACACATGCGCAATTGTATTTTACGTACATATTACTTCTCTTCAGAAATGATTGAAAAACTAGGTATTCTATACGTTGGACGATATTATGGATGCCGCCTATGTACCTACTCAGTACGCAAATGAGAAAAAGAAGTTAAAATAAAAAAATGTAACTACGAATTATCACGTTTATGATAGGTGTTCAAGTAAAAAGAAATATTTTATTTAGGTATTTGACAAATACAAATGACTTGCAAGTAATAACTAAGTAATAACATTTTTATTGACTTGGCAAATTAACGAACCAATGAATTAACAAATGGCATGGGAATCTCCCAAGGAACAAAACGAGCAACACCATCTGTCATAAAAATATCCATAATTTCGTACACCATCTTGAATCTGTTAATAATTTGGCTTAAACCTTGAGTAGGAAGGGGCTCAGGTTCAAACCAATATTCACTGTCCTGGTAATTGGCGACCGGCTTTAGGTAAAAGAATGAACTTCTCCTCGTAGATGGGGGACTAGAAGAATTAGTTAAGTCTGCTCTTTGGCTAGATGCGTCGCGATGCACTCACCTTTTCGACAAATAAAACTCCATAATTTTGAAGGGGCATCGTGAGATATTTGACCTATTCGGAGCCAGTTCATGTATGCAATTGTAGTCTCCTGCAGATTTAAATTAAATGTCATTATCATTAAAATCAAGAGAATTTTAAAATAACCTAAGCCGTTTGGTTCAAAGTAATAATATGCGTGTAGTAGCTCTACACCAGGAATAGAGCTGTATATTAGATTTTTGGACAAATTTCGTAACTCCAGTAAAGTGTGCTCTTCAACGGTCTGAAAGACACTGAATTAATTTAAACACTTGCAGCGGTGAAATGAACTCACTGGCAATTTAAAATTTTTCAATATATAATACACGACCGTCCATAACAAGGCATAAGGTGACTGTATGTTTAAGTGACCGGATTCCCACAAATAATTTTCGGAAACGCAACTAGTACGAATATAGTCTAAAAATGTTTGATGATAGGTACCTCTGGATAAATTATTACGTTACCTATACTTACTGTTATCACAATTCAAAGACGACAGAGCACACTCATTTAATTTTCTTCTAGCCTCCGTATATTGGGAATGGATAAAGATATTTGACACATGCCCACACGTACCTAAATATCGCTGTATTTCTGTAAAGAAAATGCTACTTACAGTAGTATAGACTGATTGATCTAGTTTACCTAAACATATATACATCAAAATATCTGCACGATATTTGTCTTTTTCCGATTCCATAAATCTAGTAAGATGTGTATTCAGCTCCATTGGGCTGAACCCCTCAAGACTGTGCATTGGGGGCTGTTCTGTAACGCTTTCAATAAACCGCTCTAGTAATTTAGCTGCACGCAAATGCTGAAAAGTTAACAAATTCGCAATTAATTATTTGAAAAAAAAGTTACCGTTGCACTAATAATATGCGACCATATCAGTTTCACCTCCATGTTTTACCTTTGTTATGTTTAACATAAACAATATTACTATAAACAAAACTATTGCGATAGGAAAGAAATTTAAAAATACGCCCTCACACTGATGGTATGCGATGTACTAATTGCACTGTTTCCGTTTGCAAACCGCGCCAATATTTTGAACCATTGGTGGGTGCGCGCCAAATTTCCAAAGTCATTCAAATGCAAAAAGCAAATTTCGTTTATTGTACATTTTTGATTTGGTCCGACGATGTGTACGATACGTACAGTTCATGTCTCGAATTTAAAATTTTGTACATTATATAGTTGCACTACCAGGTATAATGTGTAAATAATAATTATTATTTTTTGTAACAGTAGTTCCTTCACTTCTCGATTTTGAATACCTTCGAGAGCGAGAAATGAGTGTTCAATAATTTTTTATCAATACAATTATTCTACCTGTACAGTAGTAGTGCAAAACCGGAACCTATGATATATATGGGTTCGAGCCCCTGATAATTATACTTATGTTTGAAAGCTGTTAATGATACACAGGTACTGATATTTTTTCAAAATTCTTAGAGAATAGTCCTGTATTAAATCAAACTACATATTTAAGGTCCTTGCTATTACATACACCTTCCCGAACAGGGTTACTTACACCAAAATCATGTCCCTGGACGCGCGGGACTCCTCTTCTCGCACGAAGGATCTGGATGCTATCGGAGGCGCATCCTCGTTTCCGATTACCATTTTCCGACGTGTGGGATCTCCGACTCACCGCTCGCTTGCCTGTCGGGAGGGGATGTTCTGGGCGAGTATCGCCTCTTTCCCTGATTCCCCTTCGACCATGTTGGAATGTGTGTTTGGGTCTTAAATGTTAATATTTATTTTGCCGCATACATTTACAATGGTGTTCGTGCATTTCCAGATACGTCCTTGGGTACAGAGCAAATCATGACTGGGTATATGATGGATATTAGGCAGGTACAAGAATCAATGAGCACTTGTGATAGGTAGGTACTCAAAACTTACAGGTACACTGCAGATTGGGTACCTACCTGCCTATTATTTCAAACTAGTTTTGCTACAGAATAGGTAATAGAGATGACCCACTTTTAGGCAAATTGTCCTAGAGTTCTGGAATCTTTTGAAATAGGTAGGCTATACCACTGAAGAAGTAAAATTATTTATTCAATGGCTATACCTTGAAGGTATGCCAGACGGCCTTCAAATTTTATTGTCTTAAGGGGTGATCCCACATAAAATATATCCTGTGATACTGTTTCCAAAAGTAAAACATGCACAACTTTTACATACGACAACCATAATTTGTTTTAGATTTTGCATACGCATGCATCTTAAAAATGGACACGTTCTATCCCTATTGGTATCCTAAAGGAATTGGTTTTTACAAACTATAACTTTTCAGGATCAATTCGTGATTGCGAAGAGGGGGGGGGGGGGCAGTTAGAAATTAAATTGGTTTTATCCTTCATACAAAAAGAACTGTTTTCTACAAACTACCGCCCGCGCGTGCCCATAAAGGGAAGAAATATCTCCATGATTAGAAGTTATTAGATTTAGTAAACCATCATCGGACACATTTAGTCGATACTCACGCCCCTAATGTATGTAACGATCAATGCTTCACAATTTTCAAATTTTTATTCACACAAGTAAATTACATGACATTTTCTATTTAGCTAAGTTATTATTCATTCGGCAGTGATGTATTGATAACGTATGAGTTGTCTTCTTCATTTGAGGTAGGTATTAGGCGCTAAAATAATACATGGCACAAGAAAAATAGTGTATACACACATATAAAAGATTTGAGTCTATAACTACATTATCACATAAAAGTTATGGCAACATACAATTTAGTTTCTAATTATATTCCTAGAATCAATTAAGAAACAAAAATGTTAATCACAATTAATTCTGATATTGAGAAACCAGAATAAAACATATTAGGTATACAAAATAATATAAACAAATTGGCAACCTAATAGGAATTGTCAGGAGCTTTGTTTTCACAGACGTTCTAATATTTACATTTATTATCCATATAGAAGGGTGTATATACGCTGTTTCTTCTATAAGCTCTTTGATATGTTTTGTAATTCTGTGTACTTTGAGCGAGCAAGTTGCTGTTTCCTGATAGCTTCACTTATTAATCGTGCCCGCTTCTTGTATACGGATATTCTAAGTCAAAAAGTTAGTTTAGTTTATTCTCATTGAGAGTTATTATGGATAAGTACAAAACAAAATCATCGAGCGATTAGAGTGTAACATAATACTTATATAGTAGTGAAGCTTTGTTAATTAAATATAAATTATGATTGCTATTCAAGAAAGAACTAGGTGCATGAATGCCTAATATGCAATGTAATTTCGTTATACTATATTCAATTTAAATGCCATTACAAATGACTGAGTATATTTTCAAGTTGTGGGAAGTTTATTTGGCAGCGGTGCCAGTTTTGTCTACTATTTTAACTTACCCTGCCCTGTTTAGTTTTGGAACAAACGGCGCCTCATAATAAACTTATCATGGAGTGCAAATAAACAATTAGAAGTGCTGATAAAAATAGAGTGTATAAGTGTGTATTTATTCTTAAATGTCCCAATCTTCACAAACCGTAAGAAACTGAACTTCCTGTTATTAATGGAGGGAAGGAGAAATTATTTAGAAACCAGAAAACTTAGCCATAACCAGTTACAGCATCCATGCTAAAATACCACACCGCTTTGGAACCCTTGCACATGCAATTAGGAAATTTAATTAGTCAAAATAACTTAAACAATTTTATTAATTATAATACTGCTCATTAGCGTTAGTAAAATACAAATTATATCCAAATCTGCAGACATCACAGTATCAACAGAGTATGTTTGCATACTCTTCCATTACAGCTAGTTTTACACTAATAAGGAACCCACAAGTTAATCTACACTATTACATAGGTACCACACATTTAAAACAAAGAAATCCTGCAACAAAATCAAATGTGATCAACAGGACTTGCAAAACATATAATAAACCTACCTCACCCAATAAAACCAGCAGTAAATGAGACCATTATAGCAAGCAAACCTGTTGCTATTTGTCCATAATTCGAAGACGTCCTCTTTACTGCACTCTTAATATCACTTTGATTTCGAAGATTGTCAAGATCGTTAACTCTAACTGTCTTTCCAAACTTATCTAAGAAGTCCAAAATTACCCCATTTGTCCAACCGAATCCCCATTGTGTGTTATATTCTCCACCGCTGCCAGATTTACCTGCGACGGTTGCGTCATACTAAAATTACGAATGTATAAGTGCCATTAGCTGAAGTTGTCAGTTACCTTTTCAAACATCGTTTGTGTCTTTTGGAACGACATAAAATTTGATCGTAGCCACGTTTGCGCCAATTCAAAGGCGAGTCGCAGAGCAGCTTCGTTGCCCGTATTGTACAAGCCAGTTACCAGAGCGCTCTGTAGGGGAGGCCATGCGTTAGGAAAATCCCATTGCTCCCCGGTACGCTCCTTTGTTGTCGGCGTGCCTCCTGGATACATAATATTTTGGGTTTGCAAATATTTTAAAATTAATCTAACAATTTTCTCCGTATGCTCCTTTGGGTAGCACCCCGTCCATAAAGGAAATATGTTCGAAATTGAAAAGTAATCCCTACTAACGTTGTTTACTAAATCGAAATCCAACCAAGTCCCTATATCCTCGCGCCATAAAATGTCGGTTACCGCTTCCATCCATTCGTTGGCAATGTCGGCATATTTTTGGGCTTTTTCTATGTTGTTTAAAGTATGGTAAAATTCGGATAATATGGCCGCGTTCCAATACATTATAGCGTTTAAGTCGGTAGGAATTATCCATCTGGTTTTTGTACTTGTTAAATTACCTTTATTGGTGCCATTGTGTATAAACCACCGACTGGAAAAGTCCCATCCCGACTCGGCAGCTGCTTTCAATTCGGAATATAGCAGCTCTTTTTCGCGCTCTTCCTTTAGAAAACTTGCCATCTCGACGTCTTCTCGATATGATTCTGGCCTAGGCCCGCTAGACAAATCACCATACACAGCAAATTTGTAATGTTTTCCTCTGTGAATGACAATTTTAGTATGATTTGTCAGCCAGTAATTGAATTCCTTTTCCAAAGTTTCAATATGGTTTTCAATGTAATTGTAATCCTTAACGGTGTCCACGTACAATTTCACAGCCGGTATTAACAGTGGAGGTTGAGATCTTGCAAGGTAGTATACGCGACCACCGTTAGGAATATGTCCGTAAGTGTTTGTTATGTATAAAAAGTTATCAAGCATTCCTTTGGCAGTATGATACATTTCTGACAATAGAAGTCCCTGTATAATCCAATAAGAATCCCAGTAATAAAATTCACGAAAACGACCTCCGGGTACAATCACCGGATTTGGTACCCAAATAATACTATACTGCTGGTGATTTTCTTTAACTTCAGGTTTCATTTGTCTGCCCAACAGTTTCCAAATCTCGTTAATATCTGAACCCCACTTTTGAAACAGTGGATCATGAACACTTCCTAAAAACTTCGGACTCTCCACCCAGTCCACCGGCAAGTATTCTTCAAATTCCTGGCCACCATCTTCAAAGTTACCATGAACAAATTCTATTACTTGCGATTTTGTCGGAACATTATTGCACGCTTTCATGAATTCGTCAAAGTTGTGCAGCGTTTCATTTGGGCTGTACTTCATTTTCATATCGACAAAAGTCTTTGAGTCTTCATAAACCTTTGCCATTTGAATGGTGTGAAGAAGACGCCCATGACAATAGATGTGACTACAAGTAAAAATTATTTCACGTCAATTTACTAGGTATTTGGGATTTACCTGGGGCACGGGGGTGATAGGTCATCCTCTGTAATTGCAGGTTGGACCGTGTATAAAATCATCAAGTACCATAAAATATTCATCGCTTCGAAGCTCGTCATGATAATGTTTGTTTAGAAACAGATTTATGCTAATGTTCCAAGCGCTGTATGTACTAGATGATAACTTACTTTCTACTTACGGTAGGTAAGTAGACCAACGACGAGATTGCAAAATATTTTCATGGGCGCCCTCCTATGAAACAGAAAATTATAAAATGCCAGTAATTAAAAAATATTTGTTAGTTTAGGTATATCCCAAGTACAAATCGGATCCGACTGATGGCTAGGTACATTTTGAAGGTAAATACTACTATACTACTATCGCATGCAAGAGAAGGTAAGCATCTCACTTGCTGTACACGCACAGAAGGCGTACTGGTAGGTTTATCTGTCTTGTTTGTATCCACGTAAAAATATAGTAGGCACTTGTAATAGTCATGATAACGATGTCACGCGGTAATTATCTGAAAAACATGTAACCACATCTTTTGGGAGTTACTGCCTTGTCCTCGTCAACTTATAGTGGGCAAAAAATGGGTTAGGTGCAACATGTAACTTAGGATCAACTGATTGAGTTGTAAATGGTTGGGTACTTTTGTGAACTTGAACTTGGGTTACTTTTCATCCTTGACCTAGGCACCGTTTGCTTTCGGTCTTGTTTTATAAAATCATTACTTACTAGGAGTTCGTACAGAATTCCCTATAGCCTTTAAACAATATTCAAAGCTGACTGAAAAACAATGCGATTGTCACGCCTTTATAGCTGGCCTTGATTCACTTGGTTCAACTGGTATCAACCGACGGAATACGAAGGTTTTTAGTTGTGATTCAATAAGAGTTATTATTCATGCTAATGACGTAGAAATTTAAAAAAAAACACATAGGAAATAACCTCGAGTTAAATAAACGTTTCACCCAACAGAGATCTTAATTTTCTCATTCAAAAGGGCAACCTTTAGAAACAAAGAACCATAATACAGAAATCGACGCTATCGTGCAGAAGGCACAGAAAAAATCTTAAATCAGCAACGTGTAGATATTCTGTAATCCAGTGGTGAAATATTAATGCTCATTAGACAGTCAATAAAAAACGCAAAATCCAAGTTGTTTCAGTAGGTACCCAACCATAGAGATGCTGCGCTGCTGGGAGCAATACCAGGAATACATTGATTTTGTTGGTAAGCGAATTCACGTGCGTTACTATGCACATATATAGGTAGGTATATAGACTCATAATAAGTTGTCACATAGTGGCCTAGAGGTTGAGAATATATAGCCTGAACGCACAGACAGACGGAAACTCGAGGGCCCGCTTTTCGCTAGTTCCCTATAGAAATGTAGGTAGGTACTTATAGTGCCTGTAGATGCAGAAAAACGAATAGCATCACTTAAAATATTTTTTGTTGGATACAAGGATATTAGAGGAACGGCAGACAATCATCATATGTACGCGTGGTTTGCATAATTAAAATGTAATTACATTAATTATATTCGCCATGAAAACTTTCATAGTTGGGATGAATGATAAAGATTACTTTCGGCATGCCTCTCTTGGTAAAAAAATCCAGTAATTTAGAGCATAACGTCGACATCGGGCGCCTGTGTCGGGTCGAAGTCGAAAACTTAGGACATCGCTGCGACCCCCGACGGATCGGCATGCCTCTCTTGTTAAAACAAATTCAGAAATTTGGAGCATAGCGCCGCCTCGCCTCGTTTATTTCAAAAACTTATGACATAGCATAGACCCCCTACTGGTCGATATGCCTAGTTTGTTTAAAAATTCAGAAATTTGGCCTCGCCTTGCTTATAGTTTTATGAACTATATGTAAAGCATTTGATCACGAAGCGTCTCGTAACGGATGAGATGAATTTAGTCCCGCGAGCGAAAAGAAGTAGTCACTTCAAAAAAACTTGAAAGCTGTAGAAACACCTCCGATGGACTGGCGAACAGACAAAGTGGTCGTAAAATGAGAACGTTCTTGGAAAAAATAGGTCAAAAAATAAGGAAGGCCCTTTTGACATTTCCCTTTATTTATGAACCGAATGAAAAAATTTATTATCTAAGATAATTAAATGAAATTTTGTATTTTTAATGTGTGTGTGTTTAATTACAAGCGCACAATTAGAAATATAACCCTTAAATTCTAAAGGTTTCGTTAACATACTACTCTTTTAGCACATTCTTCAAAAAGTGGTCTGATCCTTGTCTGTGCACCCATCGCCCTGCCGGTCTGTATTAAGGCATATGTATTACTTTTCATCCACTTTGAGTTTTTTTATCCCATTTTGTTGCTCGTAGGACTCCTAGGTGCAGTAGGTATCAGTACATTGCACGCTCCAGGGTTTACAATTTCAGGCTGATTACAAAATTTGCGCACAATCTTGATTTATTGGACAATTTCGCTAGGGAATGGGTAAACAAAACCAAAATGCACTTCTTCAGTGGATATGTCACGTGTGCTTGACGTGCGATGTGTATGAAAATAAAACAAAACACGATTTCTTTCACCTTGACCGTTCAATGCGTATGATAATGACAGAACAATGTTAAATTTCATTCACCTTGTACACTAAGAAGCTCTAATTATGTAAGTGTTATGGATTGCAATATCTAAATCTAAATGTACGGTGATATTTCAAATATGAGATGGAATTTTGCCAGTTTCTAATATAGCACTCGAAAATAAAATATAGCAATCCGCAAGCAAATGCAGGAGCACAACGATATACTTACAAGTGAGATACGTGAATGCCCACGAAAACACCTTAAAACTGCACCGTACCTAAACAATTACGCGTCTTAAATGGAATTTTTCACATTTCAAATGTTTAATTATTTACCTCGGTAATACGCTACGTTTTTAAAGTAAAATCCCCGCGTAAATCTTTACGCCACACATGTGCTGCCAGTACTATATAATGCAAGTAAGATGTATTAAGTACATACAGGTATCTATCGCGTTTTATTTTTATCTCGTTTAATCACCTAGTTTTCCCATACAACCTAATCTCTAATCATTCAAATACAAATAAATTATGTAATGGTCACTTACATGCAAAAATAAAACGTTCGCCGCGGATCACAGATCTGCTGCAATGCTGGCAACAGAGTAAGGAAGGTATTGTTAAAAATATGCAATCATATAATGCAATCACCGTCTGTTATAATATGGACTGTGATAACAGTTAAACCAGAAACGCATTATTTACTAAATGAATATCGATATAGGAACACAAAACCCATTTTTAAAATTATCGGTCCTTTGGAAATTGGTGGTTTTGTGAGGATATAGAATAATATTCATTAAAGTATTAGTGTAGTAATGATGGTGACGGTTTTTTTGAGCCCCGAAAAAAACAGTGTCTCAGATCGACCCGGAAAAATTTTCTTATAGAATGTGGCCTGTAGAATCCATAATTTCAAACAGTTCCAAGATTGGGCTACTAGTTTCAAAAGTTACAGCCCTTTGAATTTTCTTTCGAAATTGGTTTCTAGTCTATAACTTTTGATTGAGAAGTCTGATCGAAAAAGTACGAATTGGTTTGGATTCTACGCACCAAAATTAATAAGAAAAAGTGTTTTCCCGAGAAATTTTGGTGCAGTCAATTTTTGGTAAAAAAGGAAGGTTATACACTGCCTTTTTTTGAACCCCGAAAAAAAAATTGTCTCAGATCGCCCCGGAAAAAAAATTTTCTTTTCGAATGTGGCCTGTAGAATCCATAATTTCAAACAATTCCAAGATTCGGCTACTAGTTCAAAAGTTACAGCCCTTTGAATTTTCTTTCGAATTTGGTTTCTAGTCTATAACCTTTTTTTGCGAAGTCTGAACGAAAAAGTACGAATTGTTTTCGATTCTACGCACCAAAATTAATAAGAAAAAGTGTTTTCCCGAGAAATTTTGGTGGAGTCGATTTTTGGTAAAAAAGGAAGGTTGTACACTGCCTTTTCTTTGAGGCCCGAAAAAAAATTGTCTCAGATCGACCCGGAAAAAAATTTTCTTATAAAATGTGGCCTGTAGAATCCATAATTTCAAACAGTTCCAAGATTGGGCTACTAGTTCAAAAGTTACAGCCCTTTGAATTTTTTTTCGAAATTGGTTTTCGAGTCCTATAACTTTTGATTGAGGTGCGTCGCCTATCATTGTATTTCAGCACTTTCATGCTACGACAAAAAATTGATAAATTCATTGTAAAACACTTCAATTAAAACAGAATTTTTTAACAACCTAACATCAACCCCAATTGGAGAAACGTGTGAATAATTTATTAATAGTGCAAGAAACTAAATACAGCATATATAACTTATAAATTTCCAACGGGCCATTATGATCAACAGGCTAGGTGGCAATCGCCACCCGCCCCCCCGTGCCAGTCCGCCCCTACCCTCAACAGCTGCTTGGACCCAATTATCTAATCACTCGCTTGCAATGAGTGATAAATTAGAAGAATATGTGCAGATGGCCCCCCAGTAAACTAGAAAATATATTACAATATTGCAATAATATAACGTATGTAAGGCGAAGTGAAGTGTAATGTTCGAAATATCCTAGATGTGATATTTCAGCGATATCACAAAGTTGTATTGCTTTTATCAGGAGATCCAAATTTCATAAAAATCGCGCCATACATCAGAGTTAGTTCTACACATGTGCAAAAATCCATTCAATGGTAATATGTTCACCAGATTCAGTTTTATGAGAAGTAACTGTATTTAAAATTTCGTTAGGTACTTAATAAAAAATAAAATTGAGATGCGCTTGCGTAGAAACGGAAACTTACTCGATATTTATTTCGCCCACCCCAGGTGTTGAAATCAGTCTTCTACGAGGTCCGAGATCTCAAACCCTCAGACGCACGGAAAAGCATAATCTGCATTCAACACACTGTACACCCTGTATATGTGCATACCTAGAGAAAAGAAGATAATTAACAGAGCTCTACTGATAATAACGTGTTATCCTCGCTTACCCCACATCCGCAGTTATGCGGTCGTATGATCAGATACGTCTATTGAAACACTGGAGTGGTGTATGTGTAAGGCGCTTTTGCAACGGCAAAAACTCAACTGATTAAATTCAAATTTAAAACACAAATGAAACGGCAGAATCGGAGGCCTACAATGGGTTTCCGATTCACATCCTCCCTTTTTTTTAAATACTTCCGACAGACTAAACAGATACACAGGGTATAACATGTAAGGAAATGGATATGTTAGAGTGCGCCACAGCACTTTTTTCCAAATAATTAACGCAATTTTTATTTGGAAATTACGCCCCCAAACTTTACGTTTCTTTTTATCAGGCTGTTCGACATAAGAGTGTACGTACACAACAAAATCGCGAATTTTTGTTTTGTTGTTCATAGATCTTCAGATAATCGTCTTGAAAGTAACAACGAATAAATTACTAATGTTCTCAGAGAAAAAATGTCAAAGAAATCACATTTCAATTTTCAAAAATGCAGCTTCTACTTAGATAGGTACTGAGTAGATCTTTCTTTGTTAGGTATTGCTTGAAAAATTGTTGATTACTAATAGTTTTGTGACAATTAATGCTTAAGATTTTCAAAAAATAAGATATTGTGGGTTTTCAGATATTGTTCGCGTCTAGAAAATCTGGAGATCAACCTGAAGGCATTTTTCATATTCTACAAAAAAAAACTATTCACAAACATTTGAATCAATGATCACATGATAGGGTAATTAAAACAAAATTTGAAAATTATAAAACTTTATTCCCTGTAACAGATTTGGACCCAATTAACATCACCATAGGAGACACCACATCAATTTAAAATTTCGTAATTTCTTGTGCGGCAGCAACAATATGCTTAGCTGAAATGCCGTAGTAGTCCAAGAGAGCGCTTGGAGGTCCAGAACGGGGAACTGTTGGAATGGCTAATTTCTTCACAATAATATCTCTCTCTTCCGCAACGGCAGATAACACAGCCTCTCCTAATCCGCCTTGTGGGTAATGATCTTCGACTGTTACAATTCGTCCGCCGACTTCTTTAGCGTGCTTAATTATGGCATCCTTATCGATTGGTTTGACAGTGAATGGATCCATAACTCTCACATTAACGCCAGACATCTCCAGCTCCTCTGCTGCCTTTAAAGCTTCTTGAACGGTTACGCCTGCACCGATAATTAAAACGGAATCTTTGCTAGATTTCTTTAAAATGTTAGCTTTTCCAATCTGTCAAAAATGAGTTGTGAACAAAACACTAATCAACGAGATACAAACTTACTGCAAAAGTATGATCATTTTCATAAACAACTTTAGTAGCCGGACGATTTGTTCTGATAAAGCAAATTCCCTTTGTGTTTGCCGCCATTTCTACAGCACGTTCACAAGCCACAGCGTCCGCTGGGTAAAAAACTGTACTACCAGGAATGGCACGGAACATGGCAAGATCTTCCAAGCCCATTTGACTTGGACCATCTTCTCCAATACTTACACCACAATGAGAACCGACAAAGTTTACATTTGTTTGAGATATGGCACCCATACGAATCTAGCAAGATACAGTTAAAAAATATGAGTACGCAGTGAATCCAACGCTACCTGATCAAATGCCCTTGTCAAGAAAGTTGCAAAAGTTGAGACGAAGGCAACTGTACGGTCTCTGCACGCAGCCCCGATGGCGACTCCCACCAAGTTTTGTTCGGCAATAAAACATTCAATGAAGCGAGTAGAATCGATTTTCTTGATCTTTTCCGAGTAGGTGGAATTTTTCATATCCCCATCTAAGGCAATGACTCTAGAGTTATTTTCCGCAATTTTGGCAAGGGCAGTTCCATAAGCTTGACGAGTAGCAATCGCTTCTCCTAGTTTATAACTGGGAGGAGATGATAATTTAATGTTTGAAATGTTCACCGGAGAGACGTCATCTTTGAGAGGCTTGCGGGGTTGTATCTTGAGTGGACCTTTATTTTTGATCATTCCCTCCAAATGCTGTAGGACAATGCTGGCCTGATCTCCCAACGGTTTACCGTGCCAATTTTCTACATCCTCAATTTTGGGGAAGTTTTTACCCTTTAACGTTTTCGCGATTAAGGCGGTCGGTTTATCGCTAGTGGTTGAAGCGACGTGGAACGCTTTGACAATTTCTTCGATATTGTGACCGTCGATCACAATCGATTGCCAACCGAACGCTTCCAAACGTTTTTGGTAAACCTCCACATTATGTTGTAAACTGGTTGGTTCTGACTGGCCTAGACGGTTGATGTCAAAAATTGCGCACAAGTTGTCGAGCTTATAGTAGCTGGCGAAATGGATCGATTCCCAGATTGATCCTTCAGCACTTTCACCATCGCCGACGAGACAGTATACCCTGAAATTACAGAACTCAATGTGGTACTAAAAAGTACAAGGGTAGTCCTCTAAGTTCACTTGACTAAGTTGAGTGGTAGAGCAACTGTTGCACATTATTCAACGTGTTGAAATTCGCCTAGGTTGATTTACTTTGTTGTAAACCGAAATTATTCATGTATGGGACTCAATTCGCTTATAAACTAATATTTTAATCGTTTGTGCCTCCATGTGTACAAGTTGCAGATATAAACCGACTTGTAGATTTAAGAAGTGGGTGTGTCCTTTACAAAAATATTTTATTAAGTCTGAATAAACAAAAAATAATCTTATCTGGTGTAGGTACAAAGATTGCTCGAGTAGCATTTTTACACTTTTTCTAATTCACCTCCTATTTTCCCCAACCGAATTACATGTACAATGAAATCAGATCTGCACGAGGTCATATGTCTTTGTATTAAATGCAGCTTGACTGACATTGACACAGCAGATGGTTAATTTGTTAACTATAATTAGAATTCAATGACGGTCTATGTATGATTTTGATTTTAGATCGGACTAAGCTCTGATTAATAATTTCATTATTGCTTACTTTAATAAGTTTTTCAATTGTGAAATTGTGAACACTAAACACTAATAATTAGATACTTATTCCTATATGTTCACCTTTTTTTTGGGATAGGTTTGAGCGAACATTTTTACACAAAATGATGAATTAGCGGTTGTTTATTGCTACTTCATATATCGTACTAAGACTTATTTGCAAGGTTTGTTGATGTGGTAGGTGTAATGCGGTTTAGTTCGACGTATAAATGCAGTAAGCCAAAAACAAGTTACATATCTCAAATGGTCTAGGGCTTTATTGTAGTAAATTACTTGTGGTACAAAATAATTTAGAGGCCAAATTCGCCTTAGATACAAAAAATACAGCAATAAACAGGTGCGATACTTAAAAACTTACTCACACAGACACATAGATAAAACAGAAATTATGAAATAGCTCACTGCTAATTAATAGAGGGTATTATTCTGATTATTATAACTTACAGTGTTTTTGGTATCTCATTCGAGCTTCTTAATTTAATGAATTTTAATATTTAGGAAACTTATGAACTTTAGCATGCCGTGTGCTGTCAGGATGCGCGGTGTCTGTTGTGTTACATGGGTAAATTGTATCACGCAAAAGTAAATCTTCAAAACGAAGCATTGAGCAAGTTGATGTAGGTCTTTTTAGCGCATTTTCGAAAAAATACGCTATTATATTCGTTATGACTGGCTGTCCGGCTGAGATCTCGGCAATTACAATAGCTAGAGACTTCAAATTTTCACTAAAAGCTTTCTGCTATAGTGTATAGATGTGCAGGCTCTAGTCTATTTTGAGTTAGATTACTTGTGAGATCGATAATTTTAAATTTTACTAATAAAATACTGATCTGTATTACCAAAAATGCGCTTTCATCATGCATAATGCTGATTTATAACTTGTTTGTATTATATGGCACATGTGATGCTAGATTTCACAAGTTTTCTTGAATCACGAATTTCTCCATTTTTTTAATATCAACCATATGCATATCGATTGCTCTTTTGAAATATTTAAAAAAAAAGCATTGCATTTGAAAAACAGTTGCATCGATTTTCGGTTAAACCGGAAGTGATACCGAAACTTTCAATATGCGATCTGATAAAAAAATGTGACAAATTTTTTGTATCTCACCAATAAAAGAGATATTGAGGTGACCCTCTTATCTCGAACGGGCAATAAACGATCCTATGTAAATTTATTAATATTTTGTTAATGAAAATCGCAAATTTTTCTGTATACGAATTTATTCTCCTCCGCCTTTGCTCCTGAATAAAATTATAATAATTTGAAACCACATGATTATCGGCTTATCACATTCCTTGATTTTTCCCCATTTCATATTGCACAGATTATTTTATCAAACCTATTTTTGTCCTTTTAATAAATACCGTAATGCTCCGAACAGCAAAAATTCATACATATCTCTATACACAGAATCTATTTCAGGTTGTGAGAGTCCGACCAAGTATACCTTAAGTGCCTTGGTGTACAGATGGCGACACCCGCTCCAAACAAATACCTTTTCTCTAACTTTGTATTGAAATGACAATGGAAGTCGAGGAAGATCTACCGCGAGCAAAGGCTAGTAGTACAATTTCCTAGGCACAAGAGAAAATTAATTACAGCTATTGCGACAAATATCTAGATTTAATTGTTGCTTTCAAATGTTTTAAAAGTAGGGATTATGGAAATTCATAAAAGATATGATATCTAGGGTTATCTAAATGAATGCACAGCTAGTGGTCATTCACATTACATAACATTCCGGATGGCATGTTTTATAGTCAGTTGTTAGCAACTAATAGAAAAAACTTCTTCTGTATATTACAAATTATAAATGAGGAATAGAATGAAATTTTTACAAATTTACAGAAAATGAGAATCGAGTTTGATTTATGTAACAAAAGATAAAAGTCTTATTATCTATAACATTGAGTTAAAGTGTAAGGTCATTTGGGAAAGAAACGGAGATATCAAATGTAACTCCAAATGGGGTAATATTAAGTTAGGTAATTAAAGAAATAGAAACAAAACCTTCCCCATACTTGTTGATGTAGTAGTTATTTAGTGGGACTAGTTCCGAATAGAAGTCATCATGGCTTGGTAATTGTTTACCTAATAAATTGCAGTAAAGTTTAATAAATTTGCAATAATTTACGGTAGCATGAGGGAAAGGTTCTTAAAATTTTTAAACAATGACAAATTAAATTGATGACACATATTGAAAATATAAATTATTAACTAACATGTTAAAATTATACATGTGTATAAAACACGAGCATACATGTGTATGTGTAGTCCATCATTTGCACTTTTAAGATGTCATCAATTTAATTTGTCATTCAAAATCTTAAGAACCTTTTTCGTCATGCAACCATAAATTATTGTAAATTATTGAACGTCACTACAAATCAGTTGTCAACAAGTCAGAAGATGACGTTAAGTCGGAACTGGTCGTACTAAATAACTAATAAATCAAAAAGTACCGGTTTTTTACATAGCTTATCTGTATAAAAAAAAATAAATAAAGTGCAGAAAACCACCTGTTTACCTGTAATTGGCCTTATCATAGTTTTTTCCGACAAATGCCATTCCCGCAGCAATTGCCAATCCTTGACCGAGAGATCCAGTGCCCACATCGATGAAGTTGAGTCTTGGAGTCGGGTGTCCTTCCAAATCGGACTCCAAGCGTCTCAATTTTTGCAAATCACTCACGGGGAATAAGCCGGCTTCGGCCCAAGCAGCGTACAAGATGGGGGCTGCATGGCCTTTAGATAACACAAACCTATCGCTTGAAGGATCCCTTGGCTCTAAAACTTTGTAACGCATTGTGTTGAAAAAGAGCACGGACAGTATTTCGGCTATCGACGAGCATGATGTTGGATGTCTAGCAAATAAGCATAAAATTAGTTATAACATCTAAAAAGGAAAAATAGTTCAATGTCATACATACACATTTGTACGCTGTTTAACATTAAAATTAACATACCCCGAATTACAGGCACTAGTTGAGGTGATGCTATGAATACGCAATTTATTTGCAATATCCTCTAAAATTTGAACTTCAGCAGACTTTTGAGCAGGCATGTTCGTTCTCGGTCAAACAACACTAAAGTGAAGGACAACACTACCGGTTAAAAGTTAAATAGTTGCAAGTCTTATCACCTAAGCATGCTCAATTCAGTCCACATTATCAAGGAATAAATTCGGAATTAAAAAAACTAACCCCACTTTCAGAAAGGCCGCATGTAACCGGTTTTGTATTGTATAAATTGAAATTGGGATTTTTCGCCGCGGGGAATTGCCCTAATTACCTACGTAGGTACTTACCCAGAATTTGAGGATTGCGTCGATGTTATTGCATGTACGCGAAGTTTATTGGCAATATCTTTGAGTTCTTGTACAATTTGGGCTTCTAATTTATGATAACCACCCATTGTGATCGAAAGTTAAATAAACATATAATCAATAAAAATTAAATTGTGGGAAAATGTGGACGGCGAGGTTGTGTTACCGCGGTAATAAGTGAAGTAACAAGCGTCCGCGCACGTCGCTACTTCTACAGTTAAATGTGAGGTATAACTCCCTCAGTTAGCGGCGTTATAGTGAAATCCTGCGTAACATAAAATAAATACATACGTTCATTCTAACAGTACTTGGTCGTTCCATTAGCGCGCGAAAAGTTCGAATTTTTGCGCACTCATTCCATTTAAAAATCTGACCACGCCTCCTACCGAATGGCGGCAACCACCAGAGCAAGAATCTTATTCAAAGACCACGTGTTTAGCTCATATCCGCCTAAAGTATCGCCTACACACAGCGCACATAATTAAGAAAATACATAGTGTGTGCGTGAAGAGCGTTCAAACGCAATTACGGGACAAATGGACCTCAGAGAGCACCTGGTTATCATACGGCCATACAAAATTTAACGTCCAAATTAACGCAAAAGGCCAAAATGGAAAAAGATCCTCCTAAACTTAAATCATGCGGTTACCTTATATAGAATTCCCAAAAGGCGAAATGCGTTGAAACGGTTCATTTCTTCAAATCTGGGACTAGTCTTTTATTTATTAAGCGGCAGAGCAAAGCTTTATAGGGGAGTCGACGGTGTCCGTCTGTCCGATAACTGTCAAACGCTTGAACCTATTTAGTTCAAACTTTGGACAATTTACCTATATGCCACAAGTAATGAGCCTATTGAAAATGGGTCAAAACCAATAACTCCTTGGGGTCACGCCTCTCTGTCTCAGCCAAACGCTTGAAACTATTTAGTTCAAACTTTGCACAGATGACCTATGTGCCACATGTAACAAGCCAATTGCAAATGGGCAGGGGCGGACTGGGTAACTGCGGGCCAGGTGGAATTGCATAGGTTACGGGCCATTAAAGTATTAGTGTAGTAATGAAGGGGGGGGGTTAGCTCTGAGGTGCACCACAAAAACATTTTAAAGTACTCCTTTCTCGAAAATCAATTACCATACAGTTTTTTTTAAATTGCAGCTGATAATTAAAAGTAACAAAATATACAATCCACACGAGGTGCGTCGCCTATCATTGTATTTCAGCACTTTCAAAATACTACGACAAAAAATGATAAATTCATTGTAAAACACTTCAATTAAAACAGAATTTTTTAACAACCTAACATCAACCCCAATTAGAGAAACGTGTTAATAATTTATTAATAGTGCAAGAAACTAAATACAGCACATACTTATAAATTTCCAACGATCTACAGGCCAGGTGGCAATCGCCACCCGCCCCCCCGAGCCAGTGCGCCCCTGGTTATACACTGCCTTTTTTTGAGCCCCGAAAAAAAATTGTCTCAAAAAATTGGCTCAGATCGACCCGGAAAAAAATTTTCTTATAGAATGTGGCCTGTAGAATCCATAATTTCAAACAGTTCCAAGATTGGGCTACTAGTTCAAAAGTTACAGCCCTTTGATTTTTTTTCGAAATTGGTTTCTAGTCTATAACTTTTGATTGAGAAGTCTGATCGAAAAAGTACGAATTGTTTTGGATTCTACGCCCAAAATTAATAAGAAAAAGTGTTTTCCCGAGAAATTTTGGTGCAGTCGATTTTTGGTAAAAAAGGAAGGTTATACACTGCCTTTTTTTGAGCCCCGAAAAAAAATTTCTCAGATCGACCCGGAAAAAAAATTTTCTTATAGAATGTGGCCTGTAGAATCCATAATTTCAAACAGTTCCAAGATTGGGCTACTAGTTCAAAAGTTACAGCCCTTTGAATTTTTCTTTCGAAATTGGTTTCTAGTCTGTAACTTTTGATTGAGAAGTCTGATCGAAAAAGTACGAATTGTTTTGGATTCTACGCACCAAAATTAATAAGAAAAAGTGTTTCCCCGAGAAATTTTGGTGTAGTCGATTTTTGGTAAAAAAGGAAGGTTATACACTGCCTTTTTTTGAGCCCCGAAAAAAAATTGTCTCAGATCGACCCGGAAAAAAAATTTTCTTATAGACTGTGGCCTGTAGAATCACTAATTTCAAACAGTTCCAAGATTGGGCTACTAGTTCAAAAGTTACAGCCCTTTGAATTTTTTTTCGAAATTGTTTTCTAGTCTATAACTTTTGATTGAGAAGTCTAATCGAAAAAGTACGAATTGTTTTGGATTCTACGCCCCAAAATTAATAAGAAAAAGTGTTTTCCCGAGAAATTTTGGTGTAGTAGATTTTTGATAAAAAAAAAGGAAGGTTGTACACTGCCTTTTTTTGGCCCGAAAAAAAAATGTCTCAGATCGACCCGAAAAAAAATTTTCTTATAGACTGTAGCCTGTAGAATCCATAATTTCAAACAGTTCCAAGATTGGGCTGTTAGTTCAAAAGTTACAGCCCTTTGAATTTTCTTTCGAAATTGGTTTCTACTCTATAACTTTTGGTTGAGAAGTCTGATCGAAAAAGTACCAATTGTTTTGAATTGTACGCACCAAAATTAATAAGAAAAAGTGTTTTCCCGAGAAATTTTGGTGCAGTCGATTTTTGGTAAAAAAGGAAGATTATATACTGCCTTTTTTTGAGGCCCGAAAAAAAATTGTCTCAGATCGACCCGGAAAACAAATTTTCTTATAGAATGTGGCCTGTAGAATCCATAATTTCAAACAGTTCCAAGATTAGGCTACTAGTTCAAAAGTTACAACCCTTTTAAAGTATCGAAATACTTTGCGAAGTATTCGAATACTAAATATTTGTGAAAGTATTTGAGTTACAAATACAAATACTGCTTCCATAAAATTTAATTACAAAGTATTTGAATACTTTAAAGGATTTGAATACTAAAAAGTATTTACAAAATCGAATACTGCCCAGCTCTGCTTCAGATGGGTTCAGGGCCGGATTTACCATGATGCCATGTGAACCCGAGCCCATAGCGGTAAATTTTTAGGGGCGGCAAAAAAAAAAACAAATTTGAGAAATAATTCTACCGTACTATCGTAGAAAAATAACATAGCCTCTTAAGAAATTGAAGTTGGAATGTTACGCACACTTTTACCAACTTAAAAGTAATCATAAAATATGGAATAATCGACGAAATTATGTGAACTTAACCATTAAGATTGTGGAAAATTTGAGGTTTCTCCCGCAAAGTTTTTAGCGCATTTTTGAAAAAAATACGCTATTATATTCGTTATTGCTGGCAGGCCGGCTGTCCGCGTGAGTTCTCCACAACTACAATAGCTAGAGAATTCAAATTTTCACTAAAAGCTTTCTGCTATAGTGTAGATGTGCAGGCGCTAGTCTATTTTGAGTTAGATTACTTGTGAGATAGATAATTGATGAAAATAAATTCGATATGGGTGTCGGAGGTGCTATAATTTTACCGTTAGATAGCGCTACCAGTATAAAAACTTATTATTTACTTTGTGATTTGTTTTACAAAATGAAGACGTTCCGTCAATTGAAATTAACTAAAATTAATTATTTAACGCAGCCAAAATTACTCGTGAGATCGATAATTTTAAACTTCGCTAATAAAATACTGACCTGCATTACCAAAAATGCGCTTTAATCATGCATATGCTGATTTACAACTTGTTTTTGTTGAAAACGCTTAATTAAAATAACGTCACGTAACCGTTAGATTATCTGAATTATCTGAAACACGATTCAGTGGTTACATCTTTGTATATTGGATTTCATTGTTTAAACTGTAAAATAAACTATGGAATAAGTTATTTGAAATTAAAGTCTTTTATTATTTTGGAAAACCACTGCTGAATTTCACATTGTAAATATTACGTAAAACGTATATTCTTAAAAGTAAAATTAGATATAGCCCCATAATCACCTCCTGTTGATGTAATGACTAAATTTATTTAAAAACTAAACAGTTATTTTTTGTAGTTCAAACAACAGATATGGTATTATACTTTGTTTCAATAACACATGTTTTTACTATTAATTAAATCAATCTGAACAAATTAGGAGTAAAAAATTTCTGCAAAGAGTAAAGTATAACTTTGGTTGGGGTATTTTTAATTGTTTGGGGGGGGGGGGGCATTTAGATCCGGCCTAGATGGGTTGGGTACTTTTCACGTAATGGAAAGTATGATTGTGACTCCCCATGATTTCTCATATGTCCCGAGAAACAAATAGCCCAGCTGAGGAAGTGCTCTGCTTCTGAACTTATGCACAAAAATCTTCCTTTTCAGCTGAAAACCCTCCAAACAGTATCAACAAAACTATGGTTATATGGGAGCTTAAAAAAAGGTGAACATCCCGTGATGGAATGCGTTCATGGAAGAAGCAACTGCAGAGAAATACTGTTAAACATCCAAAATTATATGTCCGCCATTCATCAACCATCCCCCGTCCAATTTTGACACAGTTCTCAATGCCCTGCATAGGATCAATAGATATGGTTATGAGTGGAAGTGATCTAAACTAAAGGAACTGCTATTTGTGCCGAAATAGCATTGAGATGTTGCTTGGCCATGCTTATTCTAAAGCGGCGAGATCCTATAGTTTGGCATATCTTTTCTTGGTAAATGAAATTATAAAAACAATTCAGTTGACGGAAGTAGAATACAGCATTATTGAGGACATTCTTCTGAAAGTTCTTGAATTCTGCCAGCACAAGAAAATGCGAAAACGCTCTTTGCAAGCTTGAAAGCAATGCACCAACCGCAAACTAACGGAAGGTCGTAAAATTGAATCCAAGTACAAGGATTCCAATGATGCATGATGCATTGGAGAAAATTTTACGGGCCAGACAGGAACTGAGAGAATTAAGGCTAGCTCATGGTTCTCCCGACCTCCCCTCAAACGGTTTTCGGAATTTATCATTGGACACATGTGCACTAAGTCTCGATTTCTCATTAACTAACCGATCGATCTAAAAAAAATGGTTTTGTAAGTAACGAAAACCCCTTCTAAATTATTTGACGCTCATCCCATTTCAAAATTTTTGGCAACCCCTAACACAGGATTAAATAAAAATTGACCCGCTCGTTATAATAATCGACTAGTTTAATTGCTTTGTCAAAACGTTTATTTTATGGAAGTACAAGTTTTCGTTGGGA